ATTGGCTTCATCCTTGTAGCGTTTTTTTCTATCAATTAAATGACATGGCTTCCTTGGAAAGGATTCTCGCTTCGATTTATTTTCATTGGCTGCTCTGAAAGAAAGGCTTCTCTTAAATTTTTGGAGAAAAAGATCTTCAAAAAATAATATAGTTTCCATTTTCTTTTCAGCCAGCTTCCTTTAACTCAAACTTTGAATACAATTAAACCTTTTTTCAAAACACAGACTGCAGAAGAAAAACTCCTCTTTGTTTCGGGACCGTTCAACCTATCATATTATACTTATTGATCAGAATCCATATTTGAAGCGAATTTTTTTTTTGTTACAGTTTCCCCTATGTTTAACAATTCTTTCTTCGCCTGTATGATCAATCTTCAAAAGAACAAAATCGAATCGTTTTTCTTGCCGGATCAAAAAATGTTTTTTTGCAAACTTTACCGCTTGACTCCGCTTGAAAGGTAGAAGTTTTTGACGAAGGGATGCTGAAAGTGAAAGACAAAAAACGGAATTGCTCTTTAGAAGCCGTCTGGAGCCTTATCCGACTGAATATATTCATTTCTTGCTCGTCGCTCCTTTTTTGGGGCTGCCTCTTTATTGGCATCATTAGGCGACAATTAGGCAAGCGGTGTGTGTGGACGGAAGATTTGAAGAAAGTGAGCGCGAAATCGATGAGACTCTTTGATGAAGTACACTTTTTGTCTTCCTCTCACCCGCATCTTATTATTCATGCACCCCTCTTCTCCTACACAAAGACACTACACCCGGACACTGGCGTCGCCGTCGCCGAATCCGCGTTTTGGAAAGGACGAAAAAGTCACCGATGCCTCTTTTCCGGTTGGTCCTTACTTCACACTTTGTCTCGAAAACTCTGCTCAACATCTCCTCAGTTGCATAGTTCTTCGGCAAAATGCAAAAAAAAAGCTCTGCAACCTTTCGTTCAAAAATGTGATTGTGGTCAAAATCCATAGTCCCTTCAATAAAACCTTAGGCTTTCAACTTTATTACATCCGATTTAAAACGTCTTAGCTTGAATTGGCAAATTACTGAAAAGTCATCTTCTGCGAGGTACGAAAAAAAGTTTTTTTTTTGAGGTCGAATAATTGTAACTTCAATTTCATTGGAGCGATAATTTGTAAAAAAAAAAAAAAATTTCAGACAACTTCTAAGGTCTCAAAAAAGCTTCTCCAAACGGACTGTATCGTTCAAGTTTCGTTTATGAAATAATTCAATTATGGACGACGAAACATAAAAAGAATTTCGCTGGACGTGTTGAACTCCTACCGAGAAGATTGTGCTATAAATCTTCGGAAGACAATCGAGATGTTCACTATAAGCTGAGTTATTCAAGAGAACTAGCGATGCATGAATTATTAATCCTCTGAAGACTTTCAACCGGGATGTTCTCTCATTCTGCAGTTTTTTAGCACTGGAATGAAGTCAACAAAGTGTTGTTTCATGTTCTGTTCAGCAATAATTGAGCCTTAATCATGAAAAAACTTGAACATTTTTGAAACTAGTGTAATGTGTACTTCTTAGGGGAGCGGCTAAGAGAAAGAAAAACTTTGAAAGCACTTTGTGTCAAAAACAGCTGAGATGACAGTGATTGACAGATTATTGGAAAGAATGCTCCTGACAAGTCAAAAAAAAAAATGAAAAAAACAATGAAGCAGTTTTTCGGGACGCCGTTCTAATTTTAAGTCAAGGCTCTTCTGAAGAAATTTAAGCCTTTTTTTATTGAAGTATATTTCTTTCGGAGAGCGGTTTCATTTTTTTTTGAAAGTATCTCTTTACAGTTAATAACCAGCTAAAAAGTTTATTGAAGTTTTCTCAGTGATCAGATTTTTTTTCGAAATTTGTGGAAAAAAAGGTTTTTTCGCAATGGACCTTTAAAACTCACAAGGTGAACAACTTTCAAAATTTTTGAATATCGTACTCGACTGGTTACTTGACTGAGCATAAAGCGAACTTTAGAGCATTCAGTTTCGAGAAATATGAATGATGAGTAGCTCAATCAGAACATTCCAATAACTTTTGCAATTGAATTCACAAGAATCAAAAAGTTCTCGTAAGATCGAATTGTTCATTTGAAATCTAGATTTAGTTTTGAAAGAAAGAACTGTACTTCCGCCGGTTCTCTGCGGGACTCCATTTTCGCATCCATCGTACAGGCGGAGAAACGTCGGACGATGCGAAAATTGCCCTTTCGGCGGGCCCCGCGGCGTGCCGCAAGCGTTTCTTGTCGGCTCCGCTCCAGGCACTTGCCATTTTACACTCGTTGGCTTGTTCGATTGATTGCGATCTCGATTTTACGAACACTTGCATAAGCCTGTGCGTTTCTTCCGGCTAGAACTCTCACAGCTCGTGAAAGCTACACGGGTTACTCGATACCTTTTTCTTTTTTTCCTGCTTTGTTTGATTTGGAGGCAGGCTCTCGTCGGAATAACAAATAAGTAAATATTTTTTTGATTGATTTTTTTATTTGGAAAAACTTCGGTACATATATCTTTTTTTCGTCACATAATTTTCCAATTAATGTTTATTCTTGATAATTCCTATCTAAACTTAGTTCAAATCTGTTCTTGTCGAAAATAAGAAAAAGTTTCCGATGCAATTATCGAAGCCGAAATCTCATCAAAAGTTTTTTTTTCTACATTAAACGTGCACCAGAACATGTCGCGAAACGACTTCGGCTTTTATAACTTTCATGCTTAGAAGTCAAAAAAAAATGCTCGAAAACTTTGTTGATATTTTACTTGGATTCAAGTACTCGTCATTATTTTGTGGTCAATAATTCTCTTATCTCTTTGATTGTGACCAGCTACTACTCGCTATCTTACTACTATTTACTACTACAGTTAAAACCCGAGTTTCATAATTTTAACACTGAAAAAAGGTACGAAAAGATTACAGCTTTTCCGAAGAGGACCGGACGTTCAAAAAAAAAAGAGAGTCGCCTTGTTTGCGTGCAGAAAAAGAAAGTTATTGAAATTCAGCAAGTGTTTAAGTTTACTCTGTGGGAACTCTTCACGCTTTTTTTTTGTTCTTTTTTCGGAGGACTCCAGAATTTTTCTATTTTCGAGAAGTTTCAGAGTGTTTTTCCTAGCAAAACGTTTTCATGTTATCTTTTTGCTAAAAAAGAAAACTTTTTTCCGGTTTCTCTCATAATGGAGGTTGATTTTAAATCTGAATAAGTTCTGTTGTTTTAAAAGTATCCCCAGATAAAGCTGGAAATATTGTGAAAAACGGCTTTCCGAAAAATCAAGCTTCGAAAAAAGTTTTTTTTGTCATTTTCTTCACTACAGACCCATCTAGGGCATCTGCCAGACTAAGATTTCAACGATTCTTCCGGCTGCAATTCCGTTCCTTGCGCAATCTCAAACGCGCATGACATTGAAACGTTTACTTTATTCACGCCTTTGTTTGCTCAATGCCCATTCTTAGGTGACACTTGCCTTTTACATAGGCTCGCCCTACTTTGGAACCAAAATTTCGAATCTTCAAGGTTCATCTGGTTGTTAGCATCAATTTCAGTTTCAAACCGTGCTCATCGTAGTGCCATTCTGGAAATTTCCTCAAACTTGGTCAGAAAAATATGGTGTATACATTCGATTTCCTCGTAGACTCAAACGTTAAGTCACTTATTCGAAAAAAAACTTCAAGAAAAACTGAATATTGAAAATGCTTCGAAATTCAAAAAATCCTGGAGGAGGAATTTTCAGGAACTTCATATTTTTTTCGTTGAAAAATGTTTCGATTGATATCAGGAGGATAAATTTATTTTTTTGAAAAAGTTCTTCGGAAACAAACAAAAGGATAAAATTGTAGTGTTACATGGTTTCTACTGAGAAATTTTAGACACTCCATTCGTCAAACCCGAGGTTTCATGTTATATGTTTGGATTACGAATCAGAGGTTTATTTAAACTCTGCTGTTTTTTTGGGAAATTTTAGGCAAATTTTCTTGATTGAGAAAAAAATTTTTCGAACGTAAAGAAAGCTTTGCTATAAGCTGATGAAGCTTTTAGTTTTTTTTTTCATCGGAAACGCGTAGATTTTCAGTCGAATATGATCCTTTTTCTCTTTTTCTCTTCTCATAAAGAGACGTTGCTAATTTGAAAATTAAAAAATCGATCGTCAAGATTAATCAACCACGTTCTTTTCAGTTTTCTTCTTTGCTCATCTTCATATTTTCACTTCTAACTATTTTCTCAATTAATTTAACCTGCTTTGAGTTGTTTGACAAAAAATGCCGCATAATCGTGAAATTCAATCTATTGTTTTATTGAAGCTTCCATTTATAAACTTTATTGCTTCGAAAAATTGAATCAAACACATTTGTGAGAGTTTCCACGGAGTAGCAAATTCATTAGACAAGCCGCGCAAAAATCGGATGAACGAAGAAAAATTGAGGATCACGAAAAAGTGCGTCGGAATGTGCAAGTTGATAGTTTGCCGACGCGAAATGTAGGCCCGGCACTTCAAAATACACGATTCCACGTTATATTGACATTATTTTGTCATTTGGCCTCAGATTTTAGTTTCGCTCGAAGTTTCGCTCGAAGTTTCCCTCGGTAAGCAAGGTTCTTGAACCAAAACGGCTCTCACACTTTTTTTTCCATATTTCAGAAATTATCCAGATCTTTTCCATAGCCGGAAAATTTTTAGACGGCTACAAAGTCGTATCCAATGAATAATTAAAAATTGATATTCAATTTTTCCAGTTTCCAAAGTTATTTTTCAATAATCACTTAAGTTCAAAATGAGCCAGAAAACTCTTCAAAACCTGAAACATGAAATGAAAAAGTATTTGGTTTTTATATATGCCTCGAGCTGAGATTCGTAATAAAACGCCCATGGAAGAAACCCAATTCTTTTGCAATTTGTCGTTGCCTATTAACGGCCCCAATTCTTTTTTTTTTTGCCAACACTTTTTTCGAATATTTTTTGTCCATCTTCATTATTTGCGACTTTTTTTTTCAATGAAACTTTTCAGGTGCAGAGATGAGAGGACTGGAGAACGATGAGTCCGAGCTGCTTCTCTCCCACGACTTGGTCATCTCGGAAACCATTGAACAGTCAGCATTCTTTCTTTTTTTTTCCAAATAAAATCAATTTTAGGGGTCCTTTCTCGACGTGTTATAGAGCTGTAAATGGGGAACAGAAAAAAGAAATTTATAGTGAAGAGTATATCTTATCAAAAAAATACGAAAGCAGTACGGGTCTAGGTAGGAAAGGTTGGTTTTTTATTGAATATTTACATTCACTATATCACATAAACATTATAAAACATGGGAGAAAAAGCTTCCTTAAGCCATTTTTCCCCGTTCTGAAAAAAGCTGAAACAACATTATTCACTACTTGGGAAAATGTGTTTTTGCTTTGGTTTTTATCTTCGATCGGAAAGAAAAAAATATAACGCGAAGAAAATTAGAAGTTTTTTTGAGAATCTGGTTTTGATTTTAAAAAAACCATGTTATAAAGTCGAAGCTGAAACGTTGAAACGAAATTCATGAAAGTTTTAATATTTTATCAAAAACCGTGTTTCAATTGGTCTTCCGAGAAAAATGTTTATTTACTTTCAAATTTGAACTTTATCATCTACATCCTAATAACTTGTTTTGAGGACCACAAAGCTCATTTTTTAAGTTGGCTAATTTTGATTATCGTCAATCCTCCCTAAAATGCTCAAATTTTAACTTTTAATTTGAGAAAATTTCTACTTCCTCACAAAAGGTTTTTTAGAAGTAGAAGCTGAAGTGAAGCTTTGCCGGTCCCTGCAACATCCCTACATTTCTCGGCTGGACCGCGTGGTGAGCAGCGAGAAATGCGCACATTTGGTTTTCGAAAACCTCGACGGCAACGACATCTGCTTCGAAGTCGTGCAACGGGCCAGCAACGGATTCGTATATTCCGAGTTTGTTGTTAGGTAGGCAGTATTTCCGCTCGGTTTGGATTGCTTCCGTTGGTTTTTGCTGTTTTTTTTTCCCGTTTCCTTCATCCTACCACTTTAAATAGTCGTTGTGCTCTGAACTTCCTTGAAAGCCGGAAATTTGAGAGAAGGTTACAAAAATCAGAAAGTATGGTGAGCGAGGCCGGAAGAGTTATGAAGAAAAAAAAAACTAGACAGAAGATCGAAGGGATCAGCAAAAACATCGGAAATTTTCCAAATCCTATGATTGTTAAAAAAGCCGCAAGAATCAACTATGAAGCTCACGTACAGCGCTTGAAACTGAATAAAAACTAGTAATCAGCACCAGACACAAAGTCAAGTTGGAACAATTTTTTAACGGCCCCTGTTCTGAGGGCAAACTCGAAGAACTAAATAAAGAAAGATCCTCAAATCAAATCACTTCTTTTTTTTGAAAATGCTAAAGTTGGTTTTTTTTTTTTCTTAGGTTCTGCTTTCTTCAGAGTCTTGAGGTCGTTCAAGAAGCAAAAATACAAGCAAAATCTTGAGTTTAGAAAATATTTCAAACAATTTCTTCATCATTTTTTTAAAAATCACTCAATATGCCAATAATGAAAAAAAGTATGAGAACGAGACTTTCAGCCATTATGCACGGCAACTTCTCGATGCGCTCGACTACATCCATTCAAAGCAAATCGTTCACAGAGACGTCAGGCCGCACAACATTGTCTTGGCCACGTAACTCAGTCGTTTCTCTCCAGAATTATTCTTGATAACTTGTAGGAAAGACAATTCAGCTGCCTTAAAACTTTGCGGCTTCGGTGTAGCTGTGGATTTGACGTCGCCTCATGGCCATTCGATCAGCGGTAGGTTTTGACTACTTTTCATCTTTACGAAGCATAATAATTCAAATTTCAATTTCTTCAAATTTCAATTTTTTTCAAATTTGAAGTCAAAACTCATAGTTATTATGGCTTGGAAAGAAATAAAAATCTTTTTTTATGAAAGCATCAGAAAAACCGAAGATTTTTCGAATTTTTTTATGAAAAAAATCACTTTATTATCCATGAGTATTTTGTATTTTTTTAAATGGAGCTTATACAGAAATAATAAGATAGATACTCGTTAGGATTCCTCAGCTACAAAGTTTTCGTACACGATTTGAGAGCAAGCTTATTGAAAGGGGAGGATTTTTGCTTACCAGGCCGAGTGGGAGTGCCGCAGTTCATGTCGCCGGAGATGGTGAGCCGAGAAACCATCGGCACCGAGAGCGACATGTGGGCGGCTGGCGTCGTGCTTTTCCTGTTGCTTTCCGGCCGTCCACCGTTCAGTGGATCGACAGTCGAACTATACGAAAAAATAGCTGCTGGCAGATGCGACGTCCGCAACATCCTAATGCCGTTTCCAGTTCATTCATGTGTTTTTTCAGCTTGAGGGGAGCCTTCTCCATGTAACGGAAAACGGCAGAGATTTGGTCCGACGTCTTCTGTGTGTCAATCCCAGGCAACGTCTAACAGCCAAGGAGGTGAGATATGCTTCATTACAGTTTCCGCCTCTGTTTAGACAATGATTCTTTGAAAACGAAATTTTTTCGGAATTTTAAATCAGCATGCGGGAAAAATACGAACAGACGACAAAAAATCAGATTTTTATAGATGTTTATGAGCCGACAAACTTTGAAAATACAAGCATTCATGAACTTGAATATTTTTCGAGAAAATCGTACTTTAAGTTATTTTCGAAAAAAGCTCCAAAAATCTTAGTAGAAAAAGGAAGGACATCCGTGAAAATAATATCCATTTCCTTCTGCATAACTTCACCGGAAACGTATCGAATTTCACTAACTTTACTGATAAACAACTCTTAAGAAAAACTCTTTTTAATTTTTTTATTTTCCTCACCAAAAACCAGAATGAAGAGGTCGGCCATCAAACCAAAGAACGAGAAAGAACAGATAATTTAGGCTTTGCAACACGAGTGGATCCGTGACAAGGAACATTTGGCACGACGTCGACACATGAGTGAGGCCATCGAAAACATGCGTCGTTACAATGAATCAAGGAAGCTCAAGGTTTGCTCCACCGCACAGAAGATTCTGACCGAAACGATGCGATGTCCCCAGAGACCAATTTCATTTCGTCACAAAGTACACTCTCACGGTTTTCATTAATAAAAAAAATTTTGGAAAGCTATCCAGTCAGGAATTTCTCGAACTTTGACCATAACGCGCTGTATCAGAAAAACATTCTGAAAAACTCATCCTGTGAAACTTTCTAGTTCTTCAGAAAAAAAGACCCTCGAAACGCGTAAAATATACCTTTTTCGTTATTTTGAGTCTTTATTTCTTGTAAACTAGAAGACTTCCTGGGTCTTTTTCTAATAATCTATTCATCTTCTGGTCAATTTTCAAGACATTTCTAACTGCAATGTAAAATGATAGTCTTTGTGAGAACTTCTACCTCGTTTTTCTTTTGGGAAGTAAATTTTGAAGAGACAGAGTTTCTGTGAAAATTCTGACGAATTCCCAGTACACAGTTTTCTATGGAGCTTCCAAATTAACTTTTGCGAAGAAACCTGGAAATTTTTTTCATTTTTCTAATCAATCAGAAAATTAAATTTTTCCTTTTTAAAAAGTGTCATGTTTATTTGAGTACACAAAAATTTGCAAAACGATGATTATTCAAATATCTCATTCATGAGAAAAAAACTTGGTTAATTGTCTAAGAAAATTATTTGGGCAAGAAAGTTATTTGCTATTCAAACACAAGACCAAAAAGGCTTTTTGAAGCAATGTGTCAAAAAAATAAAAAAATACTTCAATCACTTCGGAAAGCTTTTTGAAGTGTTTGCAGCAACTGATTCTGAAATTTTCTAAAACAGACAAAAACTTGAATAAAAAAAGGTTTCGTTTCATTTTTGTTCCCAACAAAAAATCTTCAAGATTTAATCAAGCCTTAAGAACTTGAAGAAATGGGCTCGCGAACATTTCCTCCATCCATTCGAAAAGTTCAGAGCCCATATCTCAAAAAGATCTAAGCCACATCCCAAGAAGAGCTCCAAATCGATGCGTTGACACCTAAAAAGAATTTATTCATTTCGCGGCTTGCTTGGTTTTTTTCGTTTCTTTCAACGGCGTTCTCTTCAGCCGGCCTTTGCCGTTCGATTAACCGTTTTGTTCAATTTAAGAGTTCGGTTCTCTCGGCGGTGAGCAGTTTGAAGCTGGGCCGTTCCGCGCCGTGTTATTTTGGCGGATCGTTAGGTAAAGAAAACAAACGAGGACTGGCGTCAAGTTGCAAATCACAGGAGGAGACTACTGCCAGCGCGACGGCTGCACCTCTGGACAAGACGAACAATTGCCGGCCGACCTCAAAGGCGCCTACAACGTTGGTTTTTCTTCCAAACTTTCTCGTTTCTGACAGTTTGCGGTTGATTGAGAGACGTTTGTTGGTTGCCATGTGACCGCGCTTGAGTTGTTCTCAGAATTTTTGGGTTCTGAGAAATCCTTTGGGGTACTAGAAATGAGCAGAGTTCGGCCTCGATCTTGAAAGCTGTCTTAAATGTTTCCTTTCGAGCTATTACACCTTTCAGTTTTAATGTAAATTAGAAAACAAATTCATTGCTCAAATCCTGATGAAAAAAACTAAGAAATATTTTTTTGATAACGTGACGAAAATTCCTCGAAGCAAGAAAGTAAAAAAAAGGAAAATGATGAATCTTTCATGCATATGAAGATAGCCTTTTTTTTCTCAAAAAAACTCCTGGAAAAAAAGGATGATAAATAATTAGACACGCTTCCCACGGCCTGAGCCATTTTTAATAACTTATATAAGGCAGTGAAAAATGAAAAAAATTTCATATTTTTCCGGCACGGCGCTTTTTTTCCGTTTTTTTCTCGTTAGTTTTACAGTTTTTTTATGATAGTTATTCAGTAACATCAAAAAAATTGATTCAAGTTCATTCATTAAGGTCTTTGATATAAAAAAACTTGATTTTTTTCAAGTTTTCTTTTTCTTGAAAAACGCCTTTTTAATTTTTTTTGATAGCACTCTGTGTACGATTTTCTTACTGTATATACATCTAATAAATATTTAACTTGCGAAAATTTTTCAGAAAAAACACCTTGAAATTATTTTTTAGTCATCGCAAAAGAGAAACTGGAGTTAATGAAATTTGAGACATTTCGACTTTTCACCGGGTACGTCGATGAGTATTTTTTTAAATTCTGCTGAAATAATGAAAATAGGTTTTGTGTAAGGTGTAATTTTCCGAGCTTTCGGAAGTCAAAACTCTCAAAAGTTTTTTTCACCCGTCAGGTGTCAAAGATTTTCACTTCAAAACTTTTTTCGAACAACCATGTGGCAACAAAGTTGATCAATGACCCTCAGAAGTGTGTCAGAAACCTCGAGGTAATGTAATTCCTAGTTGCGGAGATAAAAACGCGAGAAAGAATGAAGAAAGTGTGGCAGTCGGCGGCCGGTGTGATTGATCGAGCCGTGATTAATGATGGCAAAGCTTTTAGGTGCTCGCCTCGCTCGACGCCATCAACTGTCTGCTGGACGGCGGCGCGTACAAATCCGACGACATGAATTGCCAGCAACTCATGGACGACGAAAATCTCCGAATTCTATTACGGGTGAGCAAAAGAAGAGCAGGAGAGAAGGGAAGAGCAAAGTTAGTCGCTCGCAATCTTGCGGCCTTCCCGATTTAGTTACGGCTGGAGGAGGTCTGCGCAACTTGAATGGCCTTCTAATAGAGAGCTGAAGATAATTTCATTTCATTTCTTTTGCTCCTTCTGATTGATTTTTGAATAACCAAGAATTACGCTAGAACATCAAAATCTGTTTATTTCTTGGGAGAATGGAGATCTGAAGAATCTGAGAAAAAAATGATCTATATTTCTGGAAAACTTTTTTCCATTAAAATCAGGACTAAGTTCCGTTGGGAGTTATCAACTGCTATCTTTTGAACATTTTTTCGGTTATTAGAAAATCAGTTTTTTTACTTTTACATTATTGATTAATTTATGATCAGAATTCTTCGATTAGTTCCTAGAAGCATAAGAAATGTGTTTGATAGACGATGGCATGGAGCATGATTTTTTGAAAGTCATGCTCGAAAAAAGTTAGGTCTTCATCTTTGGGTTTTTACAATATTCAAAAATTAAACTCTTTTAAGTTCAAACGATTTCTAAAAGAACTGTATTCTTTTATTGAGATAGGGAAGTGTGAAAAGTATGGAGTGTCATCGGGGAGACTCAGACTTTGGATTGACTGACTGACCTACTCCTTGACTGACGGACAGACAAGTTGACCCTCTGCCCTCCTTCAAGCCACTTAACGACCCGCCTTCCGTCGTAAAACTTAGCCTTTCGATAAAAGCAGCGTCTTCATCTTCCTGTCTTCCGCTCCGCCTTTCGGCTTCTGGCTGATCGACGCCGACTATCAGAAGACTGACCTGACTTCTGACCTCCGGCCAATTAACGGACCGCTCCAAACTCATGAAACATATCCTTACTCAAGGGGCTGGTCTAAGTGCAAAGAGGCGGCGCTAGGCGCTGATCGATTGGCAGTGTGGCTGCATGTCGACGGACGTCGCTGCCGTGAAGCTGTCTCAGCAGGTGAGTGGGTGGAGCAAATGCGCATCTTAAGTGTGGTTCTCGAGAGCCGCAGGTATCCTGTCTAGATACACACACATGCGGTATTCGCATGGATTCGACATTGTTTCACAACTCGTTACTTGCTATACTCATCGGCTCGTTCTTGATATTCTTTGTTTGCGTGCTGTGCATCGGCGCATTGAGTGATCGCGGCCTCTGCTGCCACGACAGCTCGTTCCTCACTCAGATCGGCGGCGGTGGCGGCGATGCCAGCCCGCGCAGATGCCAGTGTAATGGCAAGCAAGTGGAGCGCGAGCAACCCCTTGAATCTGACCAGCAGCCGTTCAACACTGGTACCATTTGCTGCTCATTTGAACCCCTCTTCCGGCTGCTTAAGTGCCAATTTGCGGTGTAAATCTGTGCACTTCACGCTTGTCGGAAGTGCTTTGGGTCGTGAATTGACACTTCATAGACAACGTTTTTTTTTTGGATGGAAGACAGAGTTGAACTTGATTTATGAGTTTTTGAATTTTTGATTATGTCATGTCTGAAGTTAGAGGAAGACATATCTATTCACGGTTTTTTCCAGATCGAATGATGTTCAAATTAATTTCTGAATTTGAGACAAAATTATCAAGAATCAGTCTCAAACCTACATATCAATATTATTATGCTTTTGTGTAGATTTTATTAAATTTAGTTTTTCAAGAAGTAGCACAAAAAAATGAAGTAGCATTCCAAAATGTTCACAGAGTATCTAAATATTAGTGCAACCTTTGAAAAAAATGCATTCAGCGCCTTTCAAAAATTACAGTGAAGAAAGGTTTTTTTAATGATTCTCAGAAATACCTCAAAAAAATGATATCAGTATTATGGGCGGTCCACCAGTTATTAGGGTCATTAAAAAAATTTTTTCAGAAATTCAAATTATAAATTTTTTTTTCTGTTGTTATTTTAAATAAGAATCTTTTTATTCAGAAACGAATAATGAATCTGAGAACAGTATAGAATCGAAAACAAACGTTTACAGTGTTTATGTTGCCGAATAGAGATTTTCAACGTTTTTTTGTGAAAGCGAAATTTTTCGGAAATAAACCATTTGAAAAATGTACTTTAAGGAATATCCGTGAGAATCGACTCAAAACTGGATTGATTTATTTTCATTTTCAGCTGTATGACAAGATCTGCGCGCTTCCCTGCGAGCCGGTGCACACGGAGTTCGAAGCTTCGGCTCTTCGGAAAGAGGTGAGCTGTCCAAGCATTTTGCGCTCTCCTTTTTAGGTTTGATGTGTTAGCGCCGTCATCCAGCGAATCTCCAGGGAATCGCTCCTCACTTCCCCTATTTCCTTCATTAAACCGCCTCCTCAGCTCCACAAAAATCCACTTCGAGCTCCTAGTCCCACTCGGACTAATTAGTTCGAAAAGAATGTTTGGTTAGCTTCGGCTAGTGAGCATTAGATGTTCAAAGCCAATCTCTAGGGAGCAATGCCGGTTTTCTCGAAAATGATGGGGTTGAAATTTTGAGTGTTGAGAGGAGACGTTGGAAAAAGAAGAAACACTGAGTTTTTCAAGTAATTTTTCACCAAAAAGAATTTTTATTACTTCAGAGTGTGCAATCGATCAACAGCCTGTTGATACCCAGTCTGGAAGCTCAAGAACTGCGACAACTTCTTGATTCTGCTCATTTAACGGTAAAAAAATTTATAAATTTTTAGATATCTCAAAAATTTTGAAATACAGGAGGTTTCGAAAAATACCTGAAAAAAATGAAACTTTCAAAGTTGATTGTGACCAATAATTATCGCTGATGCTGAAAAAAATAAGATATTCATTTGAAGAATTGAGAATTTATTAATATTTCCCCAAAGTTCTCACAACGAACTTCATAAAACTTTTCGTCGTTTTGAAGAGTTTTAATCTCTCAGAGCTGCGTTCAAGCGCTTGACGTCGTCGTCTGCGAAGTTCACGACGGCCAACGCAACGATTTGCCATCGTCTTCCTCGGAAAACGCGGGCCAAGTGGGTTTTTTTTGTCTTAGAAAAAATGACATCTTTACAACGTCAAATAACCATGAGAAAACAGCTGAAATCTTGAAGACATTTCTCGCGTTGGGTAAACAGCAGAAAACGCTAAAAACTTCTTTATTTGCTCAAGAAAAAAGAAACGGTCAGGAGCTTCGGTATATAAAGATGGATATGCAGTAGAGTTGATTTTAGTTATCTTATTCTCTCTAGGACTGCTCTGATAAAAAGTACAATTTATTTTTTCTCAATTAACCGTTAAGTTTTACCCTAATTAAAAAAATGTTTGGAGAGGATTAAACAAAACTTTTTTTTCACCAAGTTTCACTCGCCTCCAAAAAAAACCTGAGAAAGAGTAAGCGCACTGAAAAAAGTTATGAAGTGAGCAGCGAAGGAATACGAGTCCAAATTCGTCGAAATTGCAGTGTTATCCGGGAGAAGGAGCGCCGTACCTAAACGGCGGAGTTCTGCCGTTGGGCTCACTCCGAGCAGGAACTTCTTTCGAGCCCTACTCCAACACAATCAACGCCTGTTCGTTCCTTTTTCAGTTATATAAACAAGAGCCAAAAAGATTCAGCTCAAAAATTCTGAGCGAAAAAAATGTTTCCAGTTTTTTAATTTTAACATCAAGTTTTTTTCATTATTTTTTTCTTTTCTTCCTTTAGGAATTTTTCAATCTCTTTCACATAATATGATTTTATTTGAACATCTTTTTGATTACTTTTTTTGAATGCCCTCGTCATTAGACGAAAAAAATGTTTATTCAAAGCTTTTTCTCTTATTTTTCAATCAAAGTTTATTAGGAGTTCTTAGATCGGAGAGTTTCGTATTTTTTTGCTAAAGAATTTGTAGCTCTGAAATAAAAAACACCAAAAAAAGTCGAGCAATGTAAAAAAATGTTTATAAAAAAATCTAAAATCTTTTTCCAAAAATTTCGCGACTTTAAAGAGCTCATTTGTGAAAATTATGAAATCACGAATATTTTGGAATTGAACCGTTTATGAATTTCTCGCCAAGTAAATAGTTCCTTTTTTATCCGGTGATTTTCAGCTGGCGACGACGACGACGACTTGTACGATTGCATGTCGCGTCTTCGGCTTGTCCAGTTCCAGAAGGACACCCAAGAACCCATGGGAATCACTCTCAAGGTATTGTTTTTCCATCCTTTCATTTCCTTTTCTGCCTGAAATGCGATGCATTCTTTTAAACCAAGCCAAATCTATTGGAATAAACCCAAAACACTTGAAAATAACACTGGAGTTCTCTAGACTGGATGAGCTCTTCTCACGGCTATCTAATTTCTTGAAAACCATTTCCAAAAAAGTCAATTCGTGAAGTGAAAAATAAAATAATCATGTAAACGACTGGCAGAATAAAATATAATTTTCAGGTGAATGAAGAAGGAAGGTGTTTTGTGGCCCGAATAATGCATGGCGGAATGATACATCGACAAGGTAATTGAAAAAAATCTGGAACATTGAAAGTTGAAAAAAATAATTCGAATAAGTTTGTTTAATTCTAATCAGCAACTTTACACGTTGGCGACGAAATCAGAGAGATAAACGGGATGAGTGTGGCCCACCGAAGCGTCGAATCACTTCAGGAAATGCTTCGCGATGCGCGTGGACAGGTTATCAATTTCAAATTATCATTTAAGTTTGGTTTCCTTTGTTTCAGTGAGATAAATATTGTTTTTTTTCCTTGTGTAGAAGCAAACTGTTTCATTTGTGAAAGATTGAAATAAAAAAACAAAAACCGTAAAAAGAATAAAAGTTTTTTTGTTGTGATCACCTGATCACTTTTTTTATTTCAGGTCACGTTCAAAAATAATCCCTTCTTATCGGTCGGCGCCACCGGCTTGCGAGATTTTCGTGCGAGCTCAGTTCGACTACGAACCTTCACAGGACGATCTGATTCCTTGTCCTCAGGCGGGAGTTCCATTCAAAACGGGCGATATTCTTCAGGTGAGAGGGTTTTCTGACTAAGTTTGACTTTTGCTTTGTAATCTGCTTTTTTTCATAATATCAAATTATCAAAAATAATTTTTCAAAAAAATGTCTTTGTGAGGGCCAAAAAAATGTAAAAAAAGATAACAAAAAAAAGGATAGATAAACTAGAAAAAAACTAAAAAAATTCGCGGTTATTTTTTTATAGAAATGGTTACTTTTTTTCAATTTTTCAAAGTGATGTCAATGTTTGCAATGTATCCCATTTTCACTTTTTTGGCAAGTAAGAGAAACTTTAAATCAGGAAAAGCTCCATCTGAAAAGATCCTTAAAGATCAAAAAAAAATTCAACTTGGAATATTCATACCTCATGATTTACTTGGGGGACTTTTTAATTTTTGTTTTTCAAATAATCAACCCAGATGCGACATGAGCAGACCAAAAAAATAACATTTTCGACGACTCCTAAAAAAGAAGACACGGTTTTGTGGCAAACGAAGTAAGAAAAGGGTTTCAGGTGATCTCAAAAGACGATCACAATTGGTGGCAAGCGCGGTTCATCTCCTCGTTCCCATCCATCGGGTCAAGTGCTTCGAGTAAGTCGTTGTCTGGTGTCGAAAGCCTTTGACTTTTCCAGACTTGCGCCAGAATCAGCAAATCGCCGGCCTCATCCCCTCCCCAGAGCTTCAGGAATGGCGGACGGCGTGTCTGGCGATGGAGCGCGCCAAGAACTCTTGTGCGTCGTGTTTATTTCTTGCACCCCACATGCCAACTCGATTTGCAAGTCGACAGAATATGAATAAGACGTTTCAGCGCACTGCATGTGGTTCAACAAGAAGAAGAAATACTACACCACCAAGTACTTGCAGAAACATTCCGCTTTGTTCGACCAACTCGATTTGGTGACTTATGAAGAGGTGAGGGACTTTCCGGAGAAAACGAAGTGTCATAAAGTTGAGGCGATAATCTCATGTTGTCCGGAAAAATGATAGAAAATGGAACCTCCAAAGTTTCCAAAAAAAAGTTTCTCAAAGAGACTCGATCTCTTGTTTTTTGTTGCTAGAACTCATTTTTGATCGTTCAAATTTGAGTGAAAACGATCCTTATTCACTCTCCCGATCAAGCTAATAAAGATTTTCTTCTTTCAAAATTAGAAGCACAGAAACTCGAAAAATATGAGCAACGTGTATGTGAAAGACACTTTTTGATGTTTTTGAAAGGTTTCTTTTTCTCGCATGAGCTACTGTTCTACGGTCTTAAATCTTCGCTTCATTTGTCAATGGGGTTTTAAATCTTTCCCTTTTCGAATTCTCGGTAACAAAAGTGGAGTAAGAGGAAAAAAGCTAGTCGAATTTTATGCTGGAAACTCGTTTTTTGGTTGAGTTTGGAACACGAAATACAGTTCCATCAGAAAGGATACGACAAAGGCCACAACTTTTTTGTAAAAAGTTCAATCTTACTGAATTTTTCTGGAGTTTCGATGACTGTTATCTTCCCCGCTTCGATAAAGTTCCAGTTCACAGAAAATACCAGGAAGATTTTTTCGCGTTTTTTTGGTATCTTTTCTGACGATACTGTATGTATTTCTTACATTCATGGTATAATTTCATTTGAAGGTGATGCGACTATCCCAGTACCGACGGAAAACGCTAGTTCTTCTCGGCGCCCATGGCGTTGGACGACGGCATATCAAAAACACTTTGATTCACAGACATCCGACCAGATTCGCCTATCCGATTCCTCGTGAGCCTTCAAAACTGCTTGATTATGATACCAGCTGCAGAAAATTAATTTTGATTTTTTGATGCCACGAGATTTGCCATATTTTTGAGGAAATATTCAGTTTTTGCTAGACTGTTTAGACATATCGTCCGTTATTACGGTCTCAATATAAACTCACAAAAATCAATTGACGCTTATCCAGTAAATTGAATCACGGAATTTCGCCGATGAAAGTCACTCAAAGCTACAACTATTAAATTTTTCCCCATTTTTCGGATGAAAAAAAACTATCAGAAAGTCTTGAATCCCAGGCTTTCCATAAATGTTTGTTTCCATTAGCCAACTGGAAATAAATATGAAAATATTTTCAGACACGACAAGGCCTCCACGAAAAGATGAAATTGATGGAAAACACTATCATTTTGTGTCCAACGACCAAATGATGACAGACATCCAGAACAACGAGTACTTGGAGTATGGAACGCATGAAGACAGTCAGTCCGTTTCGTCAATATTTGAGTTTCCTTATTCTTTCCAGGCATGTATGGAACGAAGCTTGAAACCATCCGCAATATCCATAAAAGTGGGAAAATCGCAATTCTTGACGTTGAACCGCAAGCTTTGAAGGTGGGTTCTTTTCAAAACTTCTTTTTTCCATTTTATTTGCAAAGGGAAATGATCAAATGTTGCGTTTTAGGTTTTACGAACAGCTGAGTACTCACCTTTTGTCGTATTCATTGCTGCTCCCAACCTTCAAGGACTACAAGATGTTGGTTTTTTTAAACTTTGAAATTGAATTTTTCGAACTTTTGAAGTTCGAACTTAATCAGAGACAAATGGAGTTGTTAATTTTTTTCCAATAATTGAGTGGAGAGATAATTTGTGGAGATTACTTATAAGGAGCGGTTTTTTTCGCCTTAAGCAAGGTAAAAAGCAAGCTGCTTTATTCAAAAAAATAGGAAAATATTAGTAAAAAAACATGAAGACCAAAGTTACTGGTACTAAACTTTGAACCTACTATCTAAGATAGAAAACTTTCGGAGCCTTGAAAGTTCGGTGAAATGGATGATCCCGAATTCAACAATTTTTCAGGTTTTGATGGATGGAATAATAGAAAATAGACCATCTCAGTTTAGAATTTTTCTAAGTCGAAGCCATTGCAACCTCTTATATACGAATTTTGAAATCGGAAAGTATGACTATTTTTGGCTTTCAACCTACACAAGAGAATTCTTCTACAAACCTTGTAGTCATGGATTTCAGCCGGATGGTTCTCTGGAGCGACTTCTGCGTGAGTCGGACATTCTGAGGCAAGCCTTCGGTCACTTGTTCGACTACATCCTCGTGAACAACGACATTGACGACACCATCGTCCAGCTCGAGCGACTCGTCGAAAAACTTCCAGCGAGTCCTCAATGGCTTCCGGTTTCTTGGGTTTATTGATATGATCTCTGATTAGTGTGATTGTAAAGAGGTTGAAATCTCCATCTCTGAATTTTCCAAAATAGTTGATTAAATCAACAAAGAACACATCTTTACTTCAATTTGTTTATTTTTTTCTAGAATTTTTAGAGGATGCACTATTTTTGTTGTAGTTTTACCCACGCTAATTTTTTTTTCTGATTATCACGTTTGAATCCAATTCACTGCCGTTATTCCTTTTAAGTGCGGCGATTTTAGGCTCTATGCAAATTTTGTCATTGCCAAGTGTCAATATCTTTCCCTGTATCCTTCTGAAAACTTCTGTTGATGGTTCCATTTTACGTTACTTTTGATACGGTTCTTTCGCTGTCTTGCACTTTCGAGAAATAACATATATTTCAATAAATTGATGAACACAAAAATAATTGAAAACTAATTTCATGATCTTCTTATGATCGGATAGACGTAAATGTCAGAGAAATCTTTTTTTTAGTTTTATTGCTTCTGTGATTTTGTACATCTCGTCAGTAAGGAGATTGAAAAGTGACATTAGCGTGATCAAGTCAAGTGAAACATAAATTCAGGTGACTGTGATAATGATAATTGAAGAATTCAATAATCTCGATTATCGCATCTAAAGTGTATTCCTTCTTGCTTCGGTGACTGCTTGTAAATAACTTTAATATTTGGTATCATAGATGCTTTGAAAACTTACTTTAGCTAATGAATAGTCCGCGAATTCGACAAAAAAAAACCACATTCCGAATATTCCTGAAAATTTTACTGTTGGACTCTGAAAACCGCTCTTTCCGCCCATCATTTGATTTCAAAATAATTGTCCTTCTAAAAAATATTTTTCCAGTTTTTTTTTTTCGGTTTGTGTACTTAAAAATCTTGGAAGTTTTTTTCTGTGAGAATATTTTTGTGCTAAAAATGAGATAACTGAGAGTCTAGAAACAAAAAGAAATCCTTGAAGTTTTTCAACATTTTTTTGTTTGAGAATCCCGGAAACCCAGATTATTCGGAAAAGCTGTTGTTTGATCCATCATTCCGCTGGGAAAGTGTTTGGAAGTTGTTATTTTCCTTCTGAGAAGACAGCCCCACATACTGAAAAATCCGAATAACTTTTTTTCTTTTTGAATCTATATTTAAAGAATAGAATAAAAAGCTCTGGGTTATAACATTTTTTTCTCTGAACTTTCAAAGTTTGAATTTTTTTAACCGATGCTAGCTGATGACCAGGGATAATTCAGGAAATTTTCAATGAATCATAGCTAAACATTTTTTTCCCTTTAATTTCATACACCAAGGAATTTTTTTCAGAATAATTGTAGAAATCTTATGAAGTATGGCGCGAGGGTTTTACTAAAACTTTTTTTTAAACATTATGCTTCAAGTTAAAACTCTGACTACTTGAGTCGCTTTTAATTTGGGCACTTCTAGACCGAAAGTTCGTGAGCTGTTGTTTTTAGAAAACAGAAGGCGTCCAGAGTGGTCAAGAAGTTATAAAAAAAGCGTGTACGGCTCCGTGCGGTAGATCTCATTGCGTGTCTGGACTCTCCTCTCTCTTCCCACACGCCGTGACCCTTCGTCCACCTCAGTCGTCCACCTCGGCGTCCATCCGCCGCCGCTCTCGCTGCTCAACGGCACCTGTACAACCTTTATCAGTTCTTATGATAAGCTATCCTGTTTTCTTCCGAAGTTTCATCTGTACAACTACCGCGCCCCGTTTTGACTGTTTTCCGCTTGGTCGGAACGATCCTCACGCGCGCAACTTCTTTGTTTGGGTCTCTTTGAATTGCTGTCGGAAATCGTCGCTGCTCGATCCTGTTTTGGCTGCGTTTTTTTCCTCTTTTTCTTTCGTATCTGCATTATAGTTTGTACCCTCTGGTTCAGCTGTAAGTCCATCAAAGTGTGGAAAAAAGTCTCTCTCTTCCGATTCGATTTTTGTTTCGTCCGCGCTTTCCATTGGGAAAATGTTACAAAGGGTTCCGAGGTTTCCCTGTGTTTTCATTCTCATCGCGCACAATCTCGCAGATGCTATTTTTTGATTCTATCTTCTGGAATGGCTTTTCAAAGTTTTGCTATCAGTTATTTTCAGAATTTCTTTTAAAATGAAGCTTTATTGAAACGAACTTTTCAAATTCCAGGATCGCAGTTGATTTAAATACGAATTTGACGTTTCTCGGTATAAGAATTCCTCTAAAATTTTCTAGTTTTACCGCGACTCACAAAAGCATTCGAACAGCATTTTTTTATCACTTCTTGATGCAAATTAATGCTAATCTGAGAAACATGATCAGTAATAGCCTCTCATGATAATTTTAATATACAATCCATCATTAAAACAACGCAAAATAAGTTTTGTGAACTTAACGCGAGGAATTCGATGGTCTGAACTTTCTCTGTTTCAGAGAAAGAGAGATTTTTAGTTGGTCTCTCATCGTCCAAGTTTTGGCGGGTTTCGGCGCGAGGTTTGAAAGAGTGACAGGGATTTTTTGCCTCTCATTTTTCTCAGGCCTTTCATTTAGTCTCGTTCTGTTCTCTCTTTTTCCAAGTGAAGATAATACGCAATTTCTGCGATGAGAAAGCCTCCTATTTTCCGATCTCGCAACATTAATCATATGCCAAGAGCGTTTGTTCGGCGCTTCCAGAGAAGCTTTTGGCTGTGTAAAGCAACGTCGAGATGTTTCTAAATGATATAGTGCGTCTCGTCGGTTTTCGCATCTGCTATGGTTTCAGATCAAACAGCTTTTCGATAGGAAGAATAAAGTTTTCCAATTATTTTTCCTTTTTTTTTTCTTATTTTGACAAAAATCTTATACGTTAAAAAGGCTGGAAATTTTTCGCAGCTTACTCTCGCGGCAAAAAATTTCAGATTTGCTAAGAAGCTTAAATTTCAAAAAAAAGTTTTTTGTCCCAACAACAATCTATTCTTCATTTCGAACTTAGTTTTCCTTGAAATTATCAAGATATTTTCTCCTCCTGATATATTTAATTAAAAACGAAAGTTTCGATTGATTATTGTATGAAGATTATGCTTAGCAAATGAAAAATTTATTGAAAAAAAGTATGAGAAAAAGGTTGATCCAAAAATTTTCTCTTTTTCTCTTTTTCTTTTTTTTTTGCCCCGCCAAAAATTTTTCAGATCTAATTTTTTTAAATTTAACTTACGATAAAAAAACTAATTGTTTCAGAAATAAAATGTTTTATTCATTTTTTTAAATGGCTTTACAATGTTCTAATTATTTTCATTCTTTTTTAAGCTTAAATCAGAAGAGATTATAGTGTACTCTCTTGCCAAAATAACAGTAAAACAGTATAATTTTTGTTCAAAAGTCGTTCAGTATAGTTTTTTTCTGAGCGAACAAAAATTGTAGAGATTCTCTGTCACACGATAAAAGATGAACGTTGTTTAACGACGGAATGTGGGAATTTGGATGAATGCCAGCGACTTTTTTGGGATCTCTCACGGGCGCCTGTTCCCCAGCGTCGCCTCCGCGTACGCCATCTGCCGCCTTGCGTTTTCACTTGACATGTCTTATTTTTGTATTTTATTAAGGCTGCGATGAAGTTTCAGACCCCCAAACGTAGTTATTTAGTATTGTTGACGTTTATACTAATTGGATCTTTTTGTTGAAAAAAAGGACACTTTTTTTATAGAAAATTTTTCTAAAAAAGCTATTTGAATTATTTTTTTCTTATTTTTTTCGCGTTCTACTGGAAATTTTGATTATAAATAAAAAAATCATTTGTTTGGAGGTATTTCTAAATTTTTTTCATTTCATGAAATTAAAAATCCTTACTTCAATGGAAACATTTCAATGAGTTTCGAACGTTTTTGTTTTAAATTGATCTCATTTTATTTGAGAATATTTTTGAGATATAATAAATTAAAAATTGTGCCGCAAAAATTTCCGAACAAAATTTCCCTTCCGCATGGATTATTTGAATCGCTCCAGACAGCTATTCATCAAAAATATCAACTTATCAAAGAAGGGATGCGTGTCGCATTATCTGTGACATTCCTTGTCACGACCGCTTTTATCTGTGTTTCCGTTCTGGTTTCGTGTTTGATCAAGAGACCATTCTTAGTCAGCTTGAAACCTTAATGAGTACCATTTAGAAAAAAAAAACTCAATAGAAAATTAGTTTTGGTGTCAATAATCTAACTTTTCCCAAGGGCGCGTTCTAAACATTGTTCATAAAAGATCAGGGGGCATAAGAAAAGCGACGTCGAAACATGTTTTTTATCTCCAAACTTGTGGTTGGTGCAATTAACAACCACCAGAAATCGGCATATGGACTTTCAAAAGATATAAGGAAGTTTATCGATGTTCAAACAAAAAGGCTTTCTCGTTGAGAAAAGTCCACTTGTCCACTATAAAAGAACTTCCAACATTTTTTCTGAACAATAATAAAAATTTATTTCTTTTTGACCAAATTCCTTTGATAAATATTATTTTCAAAAAAAATTTTATTTCTAAATAACGTATTTTTAGGAATTGGAAATTTCAAATCTGATCTTTTCCCGTTTTTCTCTTACAGAAAACTGGAAGGCCGGAAAGATAAAAGAAGAATGAATCAGAAAATTCCCACCTTTCTTGAATCCGTTCTTTGTTTGCCCGGGTCGGTTTTTTTTGATGCCTGCCGAATTCCTCCGTTTGTTTAACAAGGGAAGAACGCTCCCAGATATAGGCTAATTCTCATTGGACGTAAAAACAAGTTCAAACGTTTCCTTTTTTTTCATATTTTTTGAAGGTTTGGACAAAAATTCTACATCTTGTGCTAATTGGGCATCTCTTTCATATTTGAACTCCTCTAAGGATTAGTTTCCAGTTTCAACTTTTTTTTCTCATAAGGTTGAAATCTTTTTTTAGTTAAAAAAATAAAAAAATCCCTAGAAGCACTGTTCGAAGTATTTTTCAAGCTTTCAGTGGAGGTTTAGTCTCGGTTTACTGTTGATTTCGTATATCTAACTGCTTGAATCCAAATGATCTGTTTAGTAACAATTGTTTGAATTGAACAGCGCCAAATATTGACACTGGTTTCAGTAGCACCAAAAAAGTTTTACCTGATGATCATATGTCTTGGGTTTTTAAGTACGTCACAGGAAGCGTTTCTAAACAGGTTATGTCCTTAATGTTCTAGTAGAAAAACTCCATTTCTATCAATCAATCCGAGATGAGACTTTTTCTTTTTTTGTTCTTTTATGCTTTGAAATGTTTTTCTGAATAATTCAAATCGGTAATTCAGTTTAAAAAAGTTTCGAGTTTCTTATCAACTCGAAATAAAAAATTTCCGCTCAAAGTTATGCTTTTTTTCAATATTTACGATTCTTCTTTTCGATCACATTTTCCTCGATTTGGTTCACGTTTCGTAATATTTTTTTTCAATTTCAGGAAATGATTACAAGATATTCGAAGAAGAAAAAACTCGATGATTTTGCGTCTGAAGTAAAAAGCAGAAAGAAAAGTTTCTCGAAAAAATTAATTTGATTTCAGGGAATGATCACAAGGTCATTGAAAAAGAAGAAACTTGAAGACAGCTTTCCTGAAGTAAAAACAGAAGCTGAATCAGAAGTAGAAACAGAATGAAAGGCTTTTGAAGAAATATTTTGATTTTAGGCAATGATTACAAGGTCTTCGGAGGAAAGTAAATTTGATAAAAGTGAGCCTAAGGAAGAAGCAGAAGGAGAAGCTTTTGACGACCAGAAGTTTTTGGAAGAAGTAATTGGAATGAGGATAAGATGTCAGAAAATTCATTTTTTTAGAAAGCCGAGCCGTCTTTAAGTCTACTGAACGGTCATCAGTGCACTTCGAAATGCCTGCTTCGTATGTTCTCATCAAATTTAATTTGAAAAGCTTTGGTTTAAGATATCAAAAATTTCGCGAAAACTGTGGAGATTTCTGCGAACAAAATAGGGCTAAAAGGCAAAAGAAAGAGACTGACGCTCGAAGAAATTGATTTGATCAGCAGGTAATGATTTTCAACGTTTGGAATGAAATCAATAGCGTTCAGGAAAGCTCTTGAAGAGTACAAGCCGCCGGCAAAAAGGACACTTATAGATAGGTCAGTTGAAATTTTTTGTGTTTGAGCAGTTTCTTGGAAAAAGTAGCTCAATTTTTTCAGTTTGAGATCTTTTTTGTTTTCAGTGATTTCACGAATGGTACTTGCAAGACGCCAATACCCATTTTTTCGGACGTCGGCTCAAAAGCTCCGAAAATAGATGTCAAGTATTCGGCTTCAAATTCTCTTCGGTCGCTGCCCAAAGAATACCTAAACGAGGCAAAAAAACAAAAAAAGTACGTTAAAAAAACTTGTTTTCTTTTTTTGTTTTTAAAAATAAAAAAATCGAAGTAATAAAAAAACTGAATTTTTTTTAAGATTGAATGTGGATGCAGCGATGGACAGTGTTGGGGCAATAAGAGCTGTCCTTGTTTTTTGAGAAATCTCGAGATGAATCCTTTCAACAAGTTCCAAGGGTGCCTTGCGGAAATGGTTAGTGTCGACAATTTTTGAAGTTTGAAATGGCTAGAAGTGAAAAGAAGAAAAAAAAATTGAAAAAAAACACGGATGATAATGGAAATTAAAACCTAAAGTTACCAGAAAACTTAGATGAATTCGCATTGGTTCCCAACATCCAAAAAAATTTTTTCAGAAAACTGATGCCAGGGTTTGGCTGAAACCGGAATCTGAGCCGACCGTGGACCGGCTCTCAGCATTCGCTTGCGGCCCGGGCTGTCGTTGCAAAGGATGTTGTGAGAACAACATTCTGAAGGAGGCGCAAAGCCTCAAAAAAGTTTACAGGTAAATAATTGCTTCAAACTCCCAACTGAATATCATATTTCAGTGTGGAGGTCTTCTCGAGGAACGCCGATCTTGGCTACACCGTCCGTGCCACTTCGCTCATTCCGGCTGGTACGCCAATATTTAATATGTGACCTATTTCATTTAATTTAGGAACTGTCTTCATGGAGTTTTCTGGCGAGTATCGCACAGAAGAGGACATGTTGAACATTGAAAATCAAAACTACGCCATGCACGCGACTTACAGCCGCGAAGACAATCGGATGATGAAAGTGCTGAGAAAACATCTGAAGAAGACGTTCTGTTATGTGAGATTAATCCAAAAAGTTTTTATGAGAATATCTGAAATTTTCAGAAGTACTACTACTCTCCGTTCCAAGTGGACCCTCATCGTTTGGGCAACGAGGCTCGCTTCATAAGCCATGGATGTTTGCCGAACTGCGCTCTTTTCAGGTTTTCTTTTCGAAAAGTTTGCTTTCATTTTTCAAGAATAGTTTTACAGAGTATTTCAAGGCGGCCTCACGCCTCATCACACCAAATTGGCGGTTGTTGCTCTTTGCGACCTAACGCCCGGGACTGAGGTTTTTCTTTTAATTTCTCTTCTGTGACATTCGTAAATTTTGAGCTCTTCATCGACTACGGAGATAAGTACGTCGAACAAGAACTCGGTGGTAGATGCCTGTGCGGCACTGTATTCTGTCGGAATGGTCCAAATGCTTCCATCGCCGGTCGGATTACGGCGCAAGACGTCTGTTTACTAATAAGCTGACTCATATATTCTTTCAATTCAGGCTTATAAAATTTCTAAGAATCAGCACGAAAAGGCGAAAGAATTGATCAAAAACTTCAGTACTCGAAAGGTGATTCGGTAAAACCCTAAGAGATCGTTAGTTTCAAGTTACTGTTGCAGACCCTGCCGTTCATGCCGAGCAACAACGGAGAAGCCATGGTTGAGAACAACGCAGCGGAGCCATCCCAGACTCCAGTGACCACCCCTTTGGAGAAGAATTTCCTAAAGTGGTTTGGGCCCGTGAGCTTCCTTCTGCTCCTTCTTGTCTCGCTCGCTGCAGCACTGCGTCATTGATTTCATATCATTACAGTGATATTCAATTTATACATTTTTTAGGATTTGATGTATCACTTTTTTTTGTCTGCTTTTCCTCTGTTAGGAAACTTGATTTTTTGTTATCTATCCATCTCCAAGATGGTGGGAATGTCGCGTTTTCAAATAAAATTTTCTTTCATTTTTTGAATTTGTTATAAGCTTTATCTCATTGTTATGTTGCAATTTATCCAATAGTTGGACATTTACTAAATAACCATTTTTTTGATCATACTCCGCTTGTTTTTCTGAACTTTTCGGTTTTTGATGCTTACCTGACGCCATTTTGTCATTTTTTTCATTATATCCGTTGCTCATGGCAATGACGGTTTTTCGTTTCACGAGTAAAATAAGCCATGACACCCGTTTTCTTTTATCTTACGTTCATGAGATTTTTCTTCACTGTCCATGACTCTTTCGTTTTTCACGAGCTGCCTCTCGTTCCAGGTGTCATTTACGAATCAAAGCCAACCAATGCCTTACAATTACCAGTATGATTGTTATTATTGTTTGAAATTTTAGTTATGAGTTATGAAAATAAATGCAATTTTTGTTTGTTGAGCAGTTCAATTCAATTCATTTTATTCAGTCTTCAGAGTAAGATGAAGAAGATCTCTGCTGAATCATGGTATAATCGAAGAGTTAGTCGTCGGCGCTGGTTATGGTCCACAATCGTTGTCCATTAAGTCCCGGCGTGACAGCTAGTATTGGGAAATGATGTGGGCATGTTGTTAGTACCAGCGAATAAACTGCTTCACCATTGAGCAGATACTTGAAGCAATCTCAACCTAATAAAGAGGGATAAATTGACATTTGTCAAAATACAAAAAAATAAATTTATTCCAAAAAAATCTTGTCATTATATAAATCATTTTCATCATTTCAAATTGTTATATGGTGTCATTCTGACCAGAAATAGTAACTCGAACAGAGGGAACATTATGATGAACTTTGCTGGTGAATATTCTGGAAACGGCCATCCTGTAGTCTTTTATGAGATATATGACTGCAAGAGGGTCGAGAATTGGGTAGAGTGTGTAGAAGATAACAATCATATTTTCGATATACCCGAGCTCGATTTCAAAAAATGGTACCGTGAGCTCCAAACATCCCGGGATGTACATAAGGACAAAAGGAATTGCTGTCTGAAAATCTCTCTTGATTTTTAGTCGCTGAAAAATGAACCTGAACAACAAGGGCGCGGAAGAGCTGTCGATGCATGTCGTGTGTTCTGTGAGACATCGACGGACTTTTAACTTTGATTTTCCTCGCTACTGCCGTCCCACAGATTATCACTGTGATGCATGAGAGGCTCTCAAAATGATTCGCATTGATGAAATAAAAAAAAACCTACTATCAAAAAGAAGAAGGTCAAAACCAGCGACAAATAAAAAAAATGAAGTTTTTTGTGCCCGTAAATGTCATATTTCTGGAAATGAATTATGAGGATGTTAAATACTACAACTATTTTTGATCTTGTTTTTACGCAACTCAACATTTAAAAAAACACTCACATAGTACATTGCGCCCCAAAATGGAAGGTCTTCAATATTAGTACCATAAATATCGTACATATTCTTTCTAAAATGATATCTTTCTTTGTGTTTAAAAACAACGAAAAACAAACCTGACTAGATCCCTAAATTCTCGATCAGGATATCCAAAAGTAGCGATTGAAATGAACCAGTCAGAAAAGCTAAAAGCATAAAGAAGCAGCCAAATCGAAGCATACGGAAATGTGAAAAGATGCAGAAAATTTGGTCTGAAAAAGGCTTCTGTAGATAAGCAGAACGGACAAAAATTACTTGCAAACAGCCAAGTAACGATAAACGAAGTGAAACGCCAAAACCAACATGTTCATTCCGAAGAGCGTGACGTTTAGAGCTACGAAAACTTTTTTTTCCATTTCAGTTCATAAAAAAAAAATCACCATTCATAAGGAAAGCAAACTTGAAGCTGAGGGCGAATGGATTACCGCCAAACACAACTACAGTTCCTTTGTACACATGAAGCGTCTGGAAAAGTAATTCTCTATTCGCAGCTGTTCAAAACTAACCGGTTGATTGACAGCGTCGGAAGCTGCAAAAACGGTTGCTTGAACGGTGAAAACGAGCATCAGGTATTTGTAATTACCCAGATGTTTGTTGGATTTGGTCGAAATAAGGTACATCAATAAAGTGTTGATAAGAAACGCAAAGAAGCAATTAACAAATACAATCGAGATTTGGAAGAACAAGTACCCCATTGAGAAGATCTGAAATCAGAAAATGAAGAAAGGACCAAAATTTGGATGAAACCGCTTTTTCACACTTTCTTTCGACCCTTTACGCCCTTAGGAATTCAAATTTTTCAAGAAGGTGAATTTCACAATGAGAACCTCAAAATATCGAGTAGAATGCCCTTTTAGTTCCAATAACTGGTTTTCTCAGACAGCAGACTGAAAATTCTCCAAATTTTGAATAGTTGATACAAATAAAAGTTTTCACAGATAAAAATTTTTCGCAATTTCATACTTTTGATGAAAACAGACTTAAATTTTTAAAGTTCCAAGAACTTCAACTTAATGTTCTTAACAACTTCATGTTATGAAAAGAAGACTGGTCTCCCTCGAGAACACAACTCGTTGATAAGGTGTTAGATCTTGCAAGTTAACATCAAAAAATACTCAAAAAAAAATCTTGGAGCGAAATACTTCTTTCCGTTTGACGAATGTAAAAAAAAAAACAATCACTGTAATCCCACAGAGATTTTCTAAATGACTTCGAGGTCATTCCTATAAGACAGCACTTGACGTAACGTCATCAAAAATGGAGTCATTATTAAGAGGAAAAACCCCATGTAGAACTTTTGTGACGTATTGAGCAACAAAACAGCGTATAGTTGACCTAAAAATTTTTCACGATCGTAGAAAACATTAAAAGAAAGGCGAGTTTTTCAATTTTGAAGATAATTATGAAAAAAATTTTGAAAATTCATTCATATTTTTTTTATTTTTTCACAAACTTGATTTGAAAGTTCCTTATCCCTTAAATTTTCTCCGCTTCTGTTTAACAACTCCTTGCAGTTCTCAATCCAGAATAAGTTTTCTTTTTTTATCGCAGTCCAATATCCGACTAAACAGAAAAAAAGCATTTCAAATTTGAATTTTTTTTTTGAAGCAGATGTAAAATTCAGCTGCTAGAGCACAAATGACAGGAAACTCAACATTCACTCCGTTTTTTTTAATTTCGAAATGATCAGTACCTTACTTTGGTTTGTATTCATTATTTTACTAGCACTGTTAGCAACGTTGGCCATCAAATTCATCGTGAGTTTGAAACTTAATTATTCGGTTGGACATCAAGATGAAGGTCAACTCGGTGAAATCAAAAATCACAAGTTTCAGACGTTACGAGTGATTCTTGCTATCATCTTGTACCTGCCAATCTCGCTGTCAATTGTGTATTGTTTGCTTCGACAGCCTCCGATCCGCGGTAGTGCGGTAAAAAGCCACAGGTCGTATTTTTTGATGAAATTTTGACAGAAAGTAGCGTTCACCGGGAATATCACTATCGGTGGAGATGGAGGTTCACACTGGGGCGATACGTTGCGGAACACTATCGAAGCTTTCAACAAAGTAACTTTTTCGAGAAAATCAGCTAAACTTAGTATTTAGTCGAAAAAAGAAGGCGGTGACTTCATCCAGATGGACGTTCAGATAACTTTAGATTCCATTGGAGTAGTGTACGCCAACGGAACAGCAGGTGATGGTTTATGTGAAACTCTAAGAACGTCCGATTACAGTTTCAATTGCGAATGAATCTTTCACAATCGCTGAGACCAACTGGGCCGATTTGAAAAGAGTGAGGCTGATGGAATCGGGGTGAGCTTCAACAAAAATGAGCTGTGAGGATGTCGCGTTACTGGAAGTATCAAAATGCTCTGAAATTTGGCAGAGTCATTTTTCGATAGGCCAGATGATAATACTGACAGTTTCAATTAGAGTAGCCGTCTACTGCTAGAAAACTTTAAATTTCCAGTCTAGGGGCCCCAGATTGACAAAGTTTGTTCTGTAGAAATGAGAGATACAAGAGTTTTTATTGTTCCAAATATTTTTATAATGGGTCATGCAGAAAAATTTTCACTCAATTCTCAAATTTTTTTGACAAAAAAAGTTTTGTGCTTCAGTTTATTTTGCAAATATTCGTTACGGAAATGAATATCTCAAAATAGCCTTGGTTTTTGTGTTCTAGAATCTTCAAGATCATTTAAAATAATTTTCAATTTCAGAAAAATCATGAGTTTGGAAGAAGCGCTCCAATGGGCAGAAGATAACGAAATGAGAATGTTGTGGCGGCTCGGATCATTCAATACAAACGTAGAGGATTTTTGAAAAGTTACAAAAACTTAAAACTTACAGCTCATCAAAGTTCTGAGCAAAAAACTTGCGGATTCAAATCTGCACTCTCGTGTCGCCATAACTTCTTCCAATCCACTCGTCGTTTGGTTCGTCCGCTTCAACGATCCAGCGGCTCTGACAGGTTAGAACTGTTCCCATAAAATTGAGTGTTGAACTAATAAAGAAATCAAGGCTTTTCCTGGGGCTCCAACCATTTCTCTTTGACGAATGGATTTCCCACCGGAGGGATCGCTACTCAGTGGTTTTTCAACTTTGCTGATGCTGTTTATCATTGGGGAACTCGGTATGGTTTCGAATCAACTTTAGTTTATCATCCTTGATTCAGTTCGATGCTTCTTCCGGGGTTCATGGGAGTCGATTTGCTTCTGACCAGCTGCTCGGACGTCGATGAGTTCGTTAATATTCTGTGTTTGAAAAATCTTTGAAACGTCTTTTTTTACGATTTATCAAAAAATTTTTTTACAGTTTCCTTTATTTTTTTGTTGAATTTCGAATTACCGAGAAATTTTTTTATTTTTTTGCTTTTTAAGTCAAGTGAAAATGGGTTTAATCACTGATCAATGTTTGAATGAGTATACTAGAAGTTTTAATTCGCGAATTTATCTGATTTAAAATGTGAAAACCCCATCTTTTTGAATAACCCGTTTTAATAACAATTTTCCTCGCGAAGCGTTTTTCGCAGATCAAATTTTTTTGAAAACGAATTTTTTTTCTACTTATGATTTCACTGTCTTCTTTCAGACAACTTGTAGCTGACGCGGCAACTGAGTCGATACAAGTCGTTGTTTCGGGCTGCACAAACAGGAGACAACTCGCCTACATGAGAGCTCAACTGTCAGCTCCAGTTCTTCTTGATGATGTCCGTCTTGCAACAATGATGTTGTCTTTAATTCAGTACTCTGTTGAAAGTCTTCTGTGTTTAACATGATACCACGAATTCATTGAGAAACCAATATATAAGATAAGGAAAAAAAACGGCATAAAAGCAAAGCAAACGTAACAAAATGCAAAAAATCATCAATGGAGCACAAAATGACACGGGGAAAGTTTAGAACGGATACTGGCCAACATTAATGAGCACGAGGAAGTGCGTTTCTTTGGGAGCATTTTCAGAGTCGGAGTGGGCCTTCACGCGAACCTGGTGGTCGGATCCGGCGCGAAGCATTCTGTTGGTCCAAACTTGAGCGTTTCCTCCTCTCACGTCTCTGATTGAGAACGGTCCTGCTTTTGTTTTTCCTGAACATTCAACAATTCAAGCTTGTAACAAAAGTCATCTTGTGCTTTTACTTTTTCAAATTTTCAGAAAAATCTACATTTTGACATATAAAAAAAACTCCCACCAAATTTCAAAAAAAAATTCTAAGTTACCATCAGTATAGTTTCACTTTTTAAGTAAGTTTCGAAAAAAATAGTCTCCTTGAGGATATCAAGAATGAAATCTCTGAAGAAAAATACCTTGAGCCAGTCCTTCGAAGGTTTCCGAGATAAAATAAGTCGTGTCAGGAATTACTCTGCCTGTTTTGTCGTACGCTGTCAGAGTGGCAATGTGTGAAACTGAAAAACTTTACTTTGAGAAAAAAAAATTAAGGTAACCTAAAAAACTTTGTTGGAAAAAAATAATAACTTTTTGCCGCGGTTTTAAATTTTTAGCTTCTGCGTTCTCTCCATCCTTCAAAAAACGCCAGAAAGATCAAATTTTTTCAAGTTTAACAAAAGAAAAACGTAGTTGGAAGTGTAATGCTTACCTGGCAAACCGCTGGGAATGGAGAGCATGTGGACCGTGATAGGCACGTCGCCGCACATGTCACAGTCCGGCTCGCAGTACCTGCCGCCAACCATCGTGAAGTTTTCCGGACAAGGATCTGAGATGCATCGGAAAGTTCCCAGTTGGTTGAAACACGTCCTTCCATCTTCGCACTGCTCCGTTTGACACTCGTTTATGTCTAAATCGAACAAAAGTATTTCTTTTATCCGCTTTTTAGCTCACCAAAACATCCATCCTCAGTCATATCGTAGCCTGGCGGACAGAAGCAATCGAAGCTCCCTTCCGTATTTTGGCATTCATATTCACAAGGCTGATCGAAGGCACATTCGTCGATGTCTAAATTTTTTCGCTGGTTTTTGTGCTTTCCGAGCTTCTGGGGCTTTCTTTTCCCTTCAATAGGGTTTTTCAACTTCTCCCTTATTACTTTCGAAGGTTGTCATATTGCTGATAAAATCGATGCGTAACGAAAAAAGATCGTATTTTTGAAGTTAGCTTTTTTCCACAAATTCAAGTCAAATATGGCAAAAGATTCTGTACTATCAAATTGCTTTCACACTCAACTAACCTTCGCAGAGCTTGGTTTTTCTGTTCCAGGCGTATCCTTCAGGACAATCATCTTCCGCTTGCAATGTTTTCATCTTGTTGTCGATTGAAGGATCTCCTTACGAAGTATTTATTTTTGGTAAGGTTTATTATTTTAGATACCTAAACAAAGTCCTGTAGAGTTATCATAGCCTTCAAGGCAAGCAGGATCTCTCAACCCGTTTGAATCTTTTGCCCTTGATTTTTCAACCAATATGTCTTCTGTCAAATCTTCCACCGACTAAAATTTCCGGAACTTTTGTATAAAATTGGATTAAATCTAAGAAACCTTGATGCTGGTCATTGAGAAAGAAACTTCGGTGTCGTTACCTCCTGAAAAATTTTGAATGAAACAATGATGGAACAACTCGCGACCATGTTTTTTGGGGCTCGCGTTTTTCTGCCCTTGTGTTGAGGCTGTAGTTGTAGCCATCATTGTCGTCGAGGTGGTAGTAGTTGTGGGAATTTCAGTGGTGGTTGTTGTTGGGACAGGCGTGGTGGTTGTGGTAGTTGTGGTCGTCGTAGCTGGACTGGCAGTTGTGGGCTTAGGAGTACTAGTCGTGGTAGTTGTGGACGTTGAAGAGGCACTGGTAGTTGTAGGTTTAGAAGTGGTGGTAGTGGTAGTGGTGGTGGTCGTAGTAGTAGTAGGCTCTGGAGTGGTAGACGTTGTAGTTGTTGGCGGTTCAGTCGTGATGATAGCAGTTGTCGTTGATGAAACATCCATTCTTTTTGGAGCTGCTGTGACGATCTCCTCTCCAGAACTATTTTCATCAACGATCTCTTCACCGCTGCTCTCGTCCGCCCAATCGTCATCTGAAAATTTCATTTTTCGACTTTCTGGATTTCTAATCACCTATCACAGTAAGCTTGACTTCGTCGTAAGCCTTGCCGATCGAGTTTGAAGCCACGCATTTGTAAATTCCATCGTCAAGTCGATCCAGATTCAGTAACACCAAGCTATTGTTCGGCTGAAATGTTCCTTTCGATTTCCACTCTCAAACACCTATTTTACCAAAACGTAGGCAATGTCGTCATAAATCAGTTTGTGATCATTTTTGGTCCAGACAACGTTGGTTGTGATTGGATTTCCAGTGACCATGCAGTCCATAACGGTCGACTCTCCTACCATCACTTCAACTGCGTCGATAGTTTTGACCACAGGCGCCTCGTCCATGACATTAACGATGTTGGCAGCACTAAACCTTCTCCTGTTTCTCACTTTGCAAGTGTACAGCTCCAGATCTCCAGGCTGAAAAATGAATTATTGAACCGATGAACGGATGAAAAGCAACCTTGAGAGAAGTTGTGTCTAGAATCACAAGACTTCCATTGTTCATCCAGTGCAAGCCGGCAAGATTCGGCTGCAAGGGCCTTCCTCGGTATTCCCAAGTCACTCCACGATTATAAGCCACGTTCCGTTGGAAGCACGTCAAAACAGCAACATTCTTCGGAATCGGTGCAGGATTTTCTATCTCAGGAATATTGGTTACAGTAACATTGGAAGATGCCTGAAAAATATTATTTCCTTAAATTTTGCATATCCAAAAATACCGTGCTGATTCCAACGCTGTTTTGTGCGACGCAGGTGTAAGTACCACCATCAGTCTCGTTTTTGATGTTCAATCTCAGAATGGAATAGGCCGCTTCAGTTTTGTTGAGGTTCATTTTGACGTTGTCTTTAGTCCAGCTGATGAGTGGAGATGGTGGACCGGTGGCGCTGCATTTCAGCTCGATAGTGGCGCCAGGAGCTGCGACCAAATTTTTCGGCTTGATTATGAACACTGGCGCTGAGTGGAGGAACACCTATAAAGCCTTTCTACAAGTTGATGAGGAATTTTTTTACAGTTCTGGCTGATCGAGGACCTGGCATGCACCGATACATGATTGATCCGTTCAGAGAAGCGTCCTGCAACATCTCATAATCATTTGCTTCAAATTCAAGCTCACTTCAACATCTTTCCAAGGAAGAAGCTGCGGATTGTCATCAGGAGAATCACCTCGGTCGACCATGTATTCCGTTTTCTTTGGCTTGTTATTCTCATCGCATTCAACCCAAATTGGAGCAGGCCGGTCTGTGAGTTCTGAAAGTTCAGAAATAAGTATTCTGAATTTTTTTCCAGATTACTGTTGACAATTAGTCGTCGTGTTGCAATTTTATGACCCGCATCTGACCGAGCAATACAATGATAGAATCCGTCATCTTCTGGGAGAACGTTTCTGATCGCAAGTGTTGTTCCGAGAAGTTGGTATTCTGGAGTGCTCAGAGGTCCACATCGAAATATTAATTTCATCCTCACTCTCATTAGGTTGAATGGTAGTGTTTGAGTCACGAACCCACGAAATAACAGGCTCTGGAATACCAGTAGCGTTGCAAGACAAGAAAACGGTTTGTCTTGGATTCGTCGAAACATTCATCTTCTCAGGCAATATCTCCGGGGCGACTGCAATCATGGATGTTAACTCTGTGGTGCGACATTGAGTATTAAGCTATCAATCTTTGCCCGATTTTTGATATTGAGTTTTTTTCGACATCGAAAATAATCAACGTACTCATAACCACAAGGTCAACGTCTTGCTCCACAACTCCAGCCCAGTTTTCAGCTTTGCAAGTGTAAACTCCAGCGTCTCCTGGCGTGACACTGCTAAAAACCGCCGACTTTTTCCGGGTATCCGAGCTGTCATCCACGCCAGCTGAAAAACGAATCTTATCTAAGAAATTGAATTTTCCTAACTTTGAGTAATGAGTTCTCCATCTTTGTACCAATCGATTGAAGGCTGAGGAACACCTGCCGCTTCGCACCTGAAAAGTTTTTTTCAGGCTTGATATTTTGACATTTTGCAAACCACAGAGTAACGAGGTCTCCTCGGTTGACAACTTCGGTTTTGGCTCTCTCCAAAATTGTGGGGGCAACTGTGAAAGATTTGATTGGAAGATCTATCACGAATAGAAAATTCAAACCTCCAACATTCAGACTGGTAGCTTGACTTGCATTACCGGCTTGATTGGCCACCGTGCATGCATATTTTCCTTGATCGCTTAGCCTGAAAAAAGATTTTTTTCGGAAGCAATTTACAAATTTCACTTTGTGGAAAGAATAGTCAAGGTCTTCTCATCTTCTGAGAACTTGATGTTGTTTGTTGGGAGAATTGGAGATCCATTTTTCGTCCAGCTTATTTGAGAATCGTCGCCTTCAACTTCGCAGTTGATCGTCGATTCTTCGCCTTCCGACCCATTGACGTACCGATCTCCAGATTTTCCGACCTTTGGAGCATCTAAGAAAAGAAAATTACTTTTACAGGGATCTAATAATTACTGATAGTGTGAATGACATATTCTAGTTGGTCTCTCCCAGCATCGTTTTTGGCGACACATTCATAGACCAGATTTCTTCCGTTGGCGGAAGAAACATGAAGAGATCCTTCCTCGTCTGCAAAACATGTTTAATTGAAAAAAGGTGATTGAATCGAACCAATTTTGTATCCATCTTGACCATCGACAATTTGTTTCGAGTTCAATGTCCATTGAATCTTCGGTTCTGGGTATCCTCGTACAGCACAAGGAAGAACGAATGGAGAATCAGCGGCGTAGGAGTTTTCAGTAGCCGGAGCAGAAACGATTTTCGGAGATACTATAAAGAAAATTCTGACTAATTGTAACAGTAATACTTTCAAAAACCTAGCACTTCAAGAGTATAGGCTTGTTGAGCCGTTCCAGCCTCGTTGGTTGCAGCACAAACGTAAATTCCAGAGTCGGAGCTTCTTGCTTCGATAACGGTCAGTTTCTGTATCAAATAAAAAACTCTCGCCGCAGTCAAAATTTTCTTCACTTTTCCCTCCGCAATGTACCGCACTCCTTGAACTCCAGTCTCAACGCGAACTCCATTTCTGAGCCAAGAAACTTGAGGTTCAGGGAACCCTTCCACGAGGCATTCAATCACTGCCAGTTCTCCTTCGATAACTTGTTGTGCTCCCCCGTTTGAAATGATAGGTGCTTCTGAATAATATGCATAAGCATTTTTCGGCATTTCTTCAAAACTCACGAACGACTTGTAGATTGTATTCAAGAGTGTCGTTTCCAGCACTGTTCGATGCATGGCAAGTGTAGATTCCTTTGTCTTGCAGAGTGAGGTTTTTGATCTGAACTGAACTTTGAAAAAAAAGTTTTTTTTGTTTCACCTGAATCGTCTGCGAGTCTTCCGATAGAATGATGTCTTCCGTTTCGGGAGTAATGAGCGTGTTGTTGATGAACCATTGCAAGGTTGGAGGAGGTTTTCCGGTGGCATTACATATGAGGGTGAGGACTTGACCAGTTGGAAGCTTTGGCGACATGTCGATGCTGTTGCGTTCGATTTCCGGAGGAACTGTGTATCAACACGTTATTGCTATAGAGTTGAAAGAACTTTTTTTTTTGTTGACCGATTATTCTGGATTTCATATTTAACTTGCTCATATGTTTTTACAAAAAACCCAATTTACCTAGCACGTCGACAGAGATACTGTTTTCATTAGTTCCTGCATCATTCGTAGCTTGACAAGTGTAGACTCCAACGTCAGTTTTTTTGAGATGAGGAATATCCAGCCGAGCTCCCTTTGATTCAAATTGGAGGAGATATAAAGAGGTCGATACCTTGAGAGAAATGCGGACACCATCTGGATTGTTTAGAATGGGCTGCCCTCCTTTGAGCCACTTCATCGTCGGTTTTGGATTTCCTTGAGCTTCGCAGTTGATCGTTATCGTTTCTCCGAGTGCTTTGATTGCAGCAGCAGAAGTCACGTTCACAACAGGTGGAGCTAAACACTCCGAAAGTTTTTTTTCAAACTTCGAAAACGCTTCCTCACTCCAAACGTCCAAATTGACAGTCATTTCATCTTTGCCGGCATCATTTTCAGCGTAACAAGTCCACTTCCCACGGTGTTCCAGTTCAGCATTGAGAATCTCAATGGCTTGTCCGCCATCAATCAGTCGAACATTGTCGGAGCCTGGGGAAGATCGAGACATAAAAAAAAAGAGAAAAGCCTACCGACGACTTCGCCCTCGGGGTAGTCGCGGAACCATCTCACGACAGGGAACGGGTGACCGGTGACAATACAATACATTATAATGGATCTGTCCAAAATAACGTGTGGCGTCGGCTCGTTCCTGGTAACGTCGATGACTGGCGACGCTACAACCAAACTCTGCCATTTTCCAAAAAAAAAAAATGAAATTCTCACGCCATTCAAACTCAAACAACAATTTATCCACACAAGGTATTAGTCAATAGATACACGACAAATTATTAAATAACAATACAAAGATGAAAGACTTGACAAAGAACAATCACAGCACAAGCCAGAGTCGTGAGTTTCACTGAAATCAGCGATTTTTGGACCAGTAAAGAGGATAATTTCTAAAGCCCCGATTAACCATTTTCGGATGGAAATAACTATCAGTTACGGGGTCATAGAAGAAACAACGAAATGCATGAAGCGACTTTCTCCTACGGTATCTTTGAGGATGTCTAACAGTTGCGCGGACATTCAAGGAACCTGGGTCGCCGCGAGGACTTCTAGGATGCCAAGTGTCAAAGGTCATTTTTATTTCTTTTACTTCATCCCTCAATCTTTTCTCCTCTTCCAACCGCTTTCTATACAGATCATTTTGCCTTAGCTGCTCCTCTCTTCTTTTCTTGATTTCCTTTTCATAGTTCTTTCTATACTCTTCGTATTCCCTAAGATACTGCTTATAGGCGTCTGCAGTGTTTGCGCGTGGGATAGGTACTGGAATCATCGTTGTGGTGGTTGGAACTGTCGTGGTGATTCTAGAAGTGGTGGTCAGGGCTACTGTAGTGGTATGTTGAATATGACCATGCTTGGCAAGGAACTCCCGCCGGTTATGCCGCGCCCGCGCACGCGCCAAATGAGTATACTCCAATTCACGGCATGCTTCAGTCGCAAGGCTCGTACACAAAATTTCGACGTTGAAGTCAACAGAAGTTTCTCCGGCACGGTTGATCGCGATGCAGGTGTAGACTCCTTTGTCGGCTAGCATCGTGTTGTCAATCTGCACCTTACGGCCGTCGACCTGAACAAAATTCTTCGGAAAGCAAGCATTTGATATGAAAATCACATGCCTGGTATACTAAAATTATTCACCTATCCAGTTCGAAGTTTTTTCATGTTTAACTCCGTTCTAAAAACGATCTCCATAGTGTGAAATAGAGAATGATTGAAACTGAGTGAAGAGAATTTGATATTTCTCTGACACACAACTAACCTCATGAAGTTTCGCAAATTTTATATGCAAAAAGCATAGTCTTTTCTCTTTTTCAACTTTTTTTTTTCAGAAACAAACTTGAAAATTGTCTACATTACGAGGTCGAAAAATCTCGGTTTTGTTTTTCTGACAATTGGTATGCGCGATGAAAGTTCCAGATGTTAAAAGTCTTCTAATTATTTATTTCTTTTTTTCTATTCTAATTTTCCAATTAATGCTCGAGTTCGAGTACCTTGATTCTCGACGCTGATCCTTCAATGTCAAGAGGACGACCGTCTTTCATCCAAGTGATTTCAGAGACTGCATCGATTTCGTCGACATTTTCTCTTTTGATGGGACAGGACAAATAAAGCGTGTTGCCTTCTCGTGAAAATTCGGAAGTCGTTGTATTGTGCTCCATTTGTGGTGGAGCTGAAAACGTATAACTTCGACTAACCTAGAAGCTCACTTACATAACACTTCCAACAAAAATTCATGTTCAGCAACTCCTCCCTTGTTCGTCGCCGTGCAAGTGTACCTTCCTTGATCCGAAGACTTCACACCTTCGATTCCGAACGTTTCATTGTTCTGAATGACACTACTTTATTGGCCTCTGAACAAAAAATTCACATGAGCTATCATTATTCTGCTGTCGGAAAGGTCAATGAGCTTTCCATTCTTTTTCCAAATAACGAGTGGTTGAGGAATTCCTGTTGAATCCAACTTTTCTCAATGTTCTAACTTCTAAATACCAGTAACAGGACATTCCAAGTAGATGTTCCTCTCAGCAATCGCCAAAGGATTCCCAATTATGTTCGACTTGTCAATCGCTGGTGGTACGAACACCTGAAATTAAACATTTTGATAATTTTTGTGAAAAAACTTTTACCTTCAGTTGGACGTCTTTTTGTGAGGTTCCAGCAGCGTTTTTGGCTATACAGCTGAATTTCCCGGCGTCTTGAATCTTAGACTGTTTAACAGACAAAGTCTGAATTGATTTTGAATTTTGGTCAGAGTAATTTTCTTACATGCCCGTCTTTGGATATGCTGTATCTGTCATCCAAATAAAGAGGCCGCTCTCCTCTGAAATATACAAAGTTTCAACTTTTTTCCTTGAAACGGCCTCACTTGAACCACACAACTTCCGGCTGATCATCGGTTTTTATAATACCACAACTCAAATCTACGGACTCTCCCGCAATGACTTCATATACTGTCTCCTCGTCACTCGTGAAACGTGGCCGTTCTCAAAAGGGCCTTTGGATGAAAATTCAATTCTCGCTAACCGGTGACATCCAAGCGGTAGTCTGTGAGAAGCTCGCCAGCCTCGTTTTTTGCTTTGCAACCATATCTGCCTTCGTCATTTTTCTTGAATAAAAAAATTACTCAAAAACAACTAAAAATTGTCACCGTGATATTATGAATAGTGAGGACATCTTTTCCCACAGTTCGTCGTTCATCATCGGCCAAAATCGGTATTCCGTCATAAAGCCATGTGACCTGAGTATTAACGTTTTAAAATTTGTAATTCGAATTATAGCTTACTGTAGGTTCGGGTAAACCGAGTACGGGACAAGAAAGTTCGTAAGTGTTGCCAACAATAACTCGCGGATTCTGGTCGATTGGCTCATCAATATGAGGCGCGATCAGCAATTTGATGAGGAAATCAGCTTCGGCTTCTCCGGCTGTGTTTTTCGCTACGCAAGAATATGCTCCAGCTAAGTTCCTCTTTGCCTAAAATGAAATGGAAACCGTGAGAGCCTTTTTTCAGTTCATGTGAATGGGAAAGTTAATGCAAACAGCAGTTTCTTACTTTGCGGATTTTTCTCATCAGTTTCAGAAAGATAACACAATATTTGCAAATGGAAACAACCGACAAATATGGATTGATGATGCTGATTGAACTGCAAACAAAAACAGCTAAAGAACTTTCCTGAGTTTTTAACTTTGATAGGGATCATCAAATTAAAAATTTTTCGAGCTAATCATGTAAAAAAAGCTACGATCGCTGAAAACTGAAAAGGATTGAACTCTACTGAGATGATTTTTACAGTAGAATTAGGCGATTTTCTTTGTGAAAAGAGTTTATCTACCAACCAGAAAGGCTCTCAGCGCTCTATATAACTTTTAGGATTTCACTCGGCTTTATTTTATTCTTATAATCTTCAAGCTCAGCTGTATAACCGGAAACTTTCTTTGTCTGACATTTTGAATTTTGTCAAACAACGAGTTGAAAATTATAAAAAAAAATGAGTAACTTCGTGTTTGAGTTTTTTAAGATCATTCAATTGACTTGATTTTGACCTTCAGAATCATGAGCGTATCTCCTCTCGGTGAAAGAATGTAATTGCTCATGTCCTCGATTTCGCGGCCGCCTTTAAGCCACCTGCAAACCTCGTTTAGCTTTTTCAATCAAGTCAATTTGGCCAACTTGATTGCGGGCCTCGGATTGCCTTCCACTTTGCATTCAATCTTGACTGGTTCTTCGGAATGGACCTTAAATGAGTGAGCTGAGTTTCCCTGAAGTTACCACGATAGCTTTTTTGCCTTGATCTCGTGAGTCAAGTTGGCGAAGGTGGGTCTCGTGAGGACATCCACTGAGAAGTCCGTGTTTGCGTGTCCGGCTTCGTTGCGTGCCGTGCAAGTATATCTGAAGTGCTCATTACTGATAACGTGCCGATGGATCGTTGGAAAAAGCACCTTCCAGCTTGTTCCACCAACGCACTGGAAATCTCGATCGTTGGGTTCACTTCATCTGTAAAGCGGGAGAGAAACGTTTGAAGAATTAAAACTTTAAAAATTTAATCGGATATCGACTCAAAACAAGTTCGAAAAAAAAGAGGAATAACGAGTTTAGCCTGTGTACCACGACTTGGAATTCCACTAAACGACATTCCGCTGTGCCGCTGAGAGCCTTTGCAAACCTTGGTCGCGCTTTCAATTTTTTTTTTCTTTTGTTAAGGTACTCTACTTTAATATGCTCCCACAGCAATACTTATCAATTGAAAGCGTGACCTAGATTCGAAAGACGCTTCGCGAACGCACGCAGCGGAACAGCGGAATGTCGTTCGGTGAAATTTCAAGTCGTGGCACACAGACTATAGTATCGTTAAAAAAAATTGCAATTTCAAGAAATACCAACCAAAATGCGACAGAAGCAAAAACCAAAAAACAGAAACGGTGTAGCGTCTTTTTTATTTTTTCTTCGATTTTTGTTATGGTATCTTTTTGTCAGTATAAAGAACATTTCATGATGAATAGTTTCTGTTTTTTTTCTTTCAAGAAATATATTTTACAAAAAAAAATTTCATTCGATTTTTTACGGAACAGTTGAAAATTGAAGAAGTTCTTGTTACAGAATTTTTGTTCTGAGTGAATTTTTTTTTAGTTTAAACTTGATCCCGAAAACGGCATCTTGCTCTGGGAAATATTCGAATGAACTATTTTTTTTTCGCTGTTTCTTTTTTTATTAATAATAAACAATACAAGAGGCTGAATAACGCGTATTTATGATCGAAAATAAAAAGTATAATCTGAACCTTGCTCCTGCTTTCATTTTCATGTTTTCTTTTCTCTTACCAGGCAAGACAGTGCCATCTTTTTTCCAGACGTAAGTTGGTACAGGAGTTCCTGTGGCCATGCAGTTCAGTGTGATATTTCCTCCTTCTTTCACTTGCATCAGACGTTCTCCGTCATTGATCACCGGAGGGACTAAAATATTTTCATTTTTTTTCTTTCAAAATGTATCTTGGAGAAGATTGAGCAATCGCGTGGTTTCAGGCGCTCAGAGGACTTATAGACCAATTCAAGCTTTTTTGCCCTGTTTTTATTACCCAATACATGGAGTGTCGTGCTGCTCCGTTGTTCGCCGGCCCGATTCGTTGCTATACAAGTGTATCTGCAAACGACAGTTATGAGAAATGGGATTTGCCCTTTTTGGCCCTAAAAGGACGTTTTAGGGATTACGTTGCTGGGTTAGAATAAGAGGATATCGAAGAAGAAGACTTTCGGGTTTTTTGAAAATTTCTTGAGGTACCTTCCACTGTCTTCGAGTGAAGATTCCCGCAAATGGAGAGTTCGGACATTTTTCGAAGCGAAAATCATGTCTGACTTGTAGGGATGTCCGTCTTTCAGCCATTCAACCTTTGGCTCAGGAGTACCATAGATCTGAAAACATTCAACTAGTGGAAAAACTTTTTGGAGAGATACACCTCGCATTGGATAGTGACAGGACGACCATTGACTACCTTCACATCATCCGAAGCCATTATTGCCAGTGGTGGCACTGAAATTCTCTTTGAATCGAAAAATGAGTGAGTTCTCAACCTGTGACTTCAACGTAGGTGTCAGCTTCAGCTCTTCCAGCTTTGTTTTCCGCCTGACAAGTGTAACGGCCTTCATTATCTACTTGGATCTCTTTCAAAATGAGGAGCCGGCCATTTTCGGTGATCTTAAAAACAAAATAATTAGAATTTTCCGAGTTTGGTTAGACCTCAATATCTGCACCAGGGAAAACGGGCTTTCCGTCCAAAAGCCAAGAAATGTTAGGAGCAGGAGTTCCCTGCGCGTCGCAGCGAACTTCCACCGTTTGGTTCACGATTGAAATTTCGGCTGTATAAGGCTTCCCGGCGATTGTTGGAGGTACTGAATATTATAATGTGGATTTGCTAAAAAAACGTTCATAAACTTTTTTTCGAGAAAAATCTTTTTTTACAAAAAGTTCAACAAGATTCAGTTAAAAAAATTATAGTTTTTAAAAATAAGTTGTTATCTTCAAAAAAGTAAACATCCGACAGGAGAGTGAAACTTTCTGAAAAATTCGCTGAGCTGTGACAACTTCCCTGAATCCGATCAAAAGTATTTTGAGTTCTTGAATGTTATGGCGATTGAAGAAATTATACTATTCTCACCTCGGTATCGAAGGTTTTTAACTTGATTAAAAACTGAAAAACAAAGGGATGAAAAAAGGCATGTTGAAAATCAACGTTTATGAACTGTCAACAATTTTCAATTCAATTTCTTCAATCTTTTTTGAACTCGAAGAATTTGAAAACTCGAAAAGCTTTTCTTTTGATGTATCTGTTTCCGTTCTTATTTACCATTTACTGTCGTGTCAAAGTAGGCCGTATCTTCTCCAGCATCGTTCTTGGCGACGCAACCGTATCTGGCGCTGTCCAACGGCTCGGCAGACATCAGGTATAGCTTATTTCTTTGCACGTTAACCTATACAACTCATTTTTTGAAGTGCAAAAAGGCCGTGCGTTAAAATTACTTGAAGTCGTTCGGAGGTCGTCACAGGGACATCGTTTTTCGTCCAAGTGAACTCCATGTTCGTGCCCTGAAAAACCACTTGAGTTGTTGTATCAGAGTGACGAAAATAACATCAATGGGACATTCCAGCGTTAGTTTGTCGCCGAGAAGCACTTCTTTCGACGTCAGCCTTTCAGAGAACCGTGGAGGTTCTGAATTATAATCCCTTCGAAATACCGAGATTTCCGGAAAAAGTGTTGTTATGTTTTTGAGTTGAAAAGTTTCACGGATGAGTTTTATGAATTTTTTAGGTTTGCGAGCACAAGTCACGAGAAACTTTAAAATCGAATATTCAGGTATTCAAAACAGAAAACGTGCAGAGACCAGATTTGACCCTTCTAATACTTCTAATAATCTCTCATCAAAGCTAGCCCATTTTTTTTTTGAAGGAGGCATCCAAACCCATAATTTCAACGAGCAGGTCTTTTTCGCTGCGGCCGGCTTTGTTTTCGGCCAAGCACGTGAACCTGCCGGACAGATGAGCCTACAACGAAGTAATTTGAGAAGTTTCCGCAATCAGTTGGAAATCACTTTTGCAACATCGAAAGAGAGCTGTTGTTTGTCGTTGAGGTAGGTACCTTCGAGCGGTTCGACTTCTTCGTCGGTGATCTTCTTTCCATCCTGAAAAAAAAATGTATAATGAACAGCGCAAGACTTTTCTTCTGGAAAAATTCTCAGCTTCCTTCGGGTTTTTTGGAATTTTTTCGGTAGACCACGTCGTATCGTGAACCACGCAAGAAAAAGAAGTCATTTTACGAAAAACTTTCTATTTATGTTTTTCTCTGCGAAAGTGAATATAGGAAACCACGTCTATGACTGTTGTGTATAGATGAACACTGAATATTTTTTAGAAGATGTGCTCAAAAGAAATAACATATGACTCCGTAACATAAAAATTTTTCTGAGAAATATCAAAAAAATTTTTCTCACTTCAAAAAAATAATGAAAAAGCCAAACAAAAAAACGAATTTTCTTCGAGTTTTTAGTCTCCATCAAAATAATCACTTTAGGCTGGTCATACGGCTGCTTGCAGGTCTGAAAAAAGAAACGTATTTCTACATTCCCTCGTTGTGTAGTAAACCTTGCAAAACGAAAAGAGGTCCTCCTGAGGCTTTTTTTCAAAAACAACACGTCGTTCGTCGAGAAATAGCTTCTTTTGTGGTTAAGCGACAGACACAAACGCCGCTTTCTATTTCGGCTTATTAACTGCGGCTTTTACAATTTTTTGTTTGAGTTCAATCGTCTTTAATTGTATAGTCACTTCAAAGTGGTCCTCGAAAAAAAGAGCAAGGATCCGAGCGACAGACGTCAAACGACCGACGACGAAGAAAAAACGACGCTTTCGTGCCCTTAAACGCTGAGAGTTCACATTGAACTGAGCTTTAGTGCGCGGCTCGTGTAAGAAAAAAACCGACAAAGCTGGGGGCAAAAAAACCGTTCAAATTTCGGGCTTTGAAATTTATACTCGACTTGTTTGAAATAGAACTGACAGGTGCATGAAGGGAGAACGGGATATGCGCGTATGAAATTTGAAACTGCTCAGCTGAAAAAAAAAACGAACAAGATTTGTCGCAAACTCTCGTTTCTCTGAAAAACATTTTGGAAACAATAAAACGATGAAGGCGATCATCAGAAAGCGTGTTTTACATCTCCGTAATTAATTAAAATTTTCATTAAATGTAGATACAAGTTATAGCCTCCTTACTATTTTGAAAAGGCAAATAAGTAATAAGAAAAACAGGAATGCAAAAATAAAAGTGTAACCCAAGAGTTCTCGACAAGATTAGCTTATTTTCGAGCGCTCTTGCCGCATCCGATTTCGACGGGGGGCCACAAAAATTATTTTCAATTACTTTTTTTATTTCTTTCGCCCATTAGCCTTCATAAAACTTGCAATAAACAAAGTGACAATTTATTTTTTATTTCCCTCTCCAGGAATTCCTTGGAATTTCAAGTGAAAATACAGTAAAAGTTCTCATATTCATATGTATTGATAACTTGGGCTCAAATAGTGGACTTTATATGATAAGTGTTTGGTTTTCATATCACATTCATTTTCAGGATTGAAACTGGAAATTAGTTAGAAATCAAAAGTTTTTAAGAGTAAGAATTTTGAACTTCTCCTTTTCAAAATGAACAAATTTTGTTTGATACTGAAAAGAAAATGCATATTCTCTGTTGCAGCTTACAGATAAATCGCTTTTAGTTGTCTATAACTTCAAAAATCGTGGCTGAACTTCAGATTAGGACCATGTTCGTCTAGACACTTTCTCAAAGAACTCTGCGCTCTTCCTTTTTTTGCTTTTTTTTTTTCATAAACCCGATTTCATCCCAATCCAAGCTGCGGCGTTCATGATGCTCTGATTTATGTTGTTTGCTTGTTTTGAACGGCGTAGGGGTCATTTCGGATAAACACGGAGTAGGCAAAGACACAAGTGGGCGTGTCATGTAATGTGCATGTGGCAAAGCACTGGAGGAGGAGTTGAGCTCTCGCGTTCACTCCTACACTTCTCCCTTTCTCCTTCCTTCTCTTGCTTCTTCTTCTTTTTTTCTGCTGCTGCTTCTTCTTCTTCTAGTTCGGCTTAGGGGGCGCTCGACGGCCGCCGTTACCCTCCATGCGGCCGCATCTCACATGAGACGACTCACTACAAAACCCAAGGATCCGTTCAAGGCATGTTTGCCGGTCATCATCGTTCCGTGGCTTTTTTTTCTGCCCTCGACGTTGGCCGCCGTCGGATCTGCCGTCGAAGAGTCGTGCTCCACGCACGGTGCCATTTGTTCTGAGAACGCCGCCACCATCTGTCGCAACTCCACGTCAGTTTTGTTTATTTTCCTAATTCCTTTGATCTCATTCTTTTCATTTTTCTTGAAAAGTCGAAATTTCGGAGCGACAAAATTGGAGTTCGTGATTATTCTTGTATTTTATATTGCTGCAATAGAAATTTCGTTTTTGAAGAAAAGGATTTTTTTTTCGTTCATACGCCATTAAAAATTTGTTTGCTGATTCAAAAAACCGCGAATGAAGAATTTGAAAAGCTCCGAATCTTAGAATCTTTGTTAATTTTCAAACTCGAACCTAATTTTCCAAAGGTTCCCTCTGTTAATACTGCATCCTATTGAGTTGATCTAAGTAACACCTCTAAATGTTCGACAAAAGCCATAAAACGTGTCTACGAGCGGCGGAAATGCCACCGGTCTCGAGCGGCGACTAATAACGCACCGGCAGCTGTCCTTCACAGCTGATTAATGCATCACCGGACGCCAGGCATACCATGAATCTTTCCTTGGACTCAACAATGGCCCGCTTTGCATCCTATTCATCTTCTCCGCGCATTTGTTAGGACAAAACCAAGATTTTTCTTAGACATGTCCTCTTTCTCCAAGCCAAAAGTACACAGTGAGAGAATGTGATTCTCTAATGAGAGAATGTATTTTCCAATCTGCTTCCTCTTCATTTCAAGCCAAGAATTGAATTAATTCTGTTTCAGTAAGCCTCACAGGAGCTCTCAATTACGGTTATAATTGAAAAGTTCAAAATATATTTTGTGCACTTTTATGAAACTTTTTTTTTTAAATCAGAAAAAAAAGTCGAGAGTTGGCACGAATGAAGTTAAAAGTTGACGGAAGCGCGACGAAAAAGCTGTCGCTTTTGCTGAGAGAAGAGTTAATGTGCGAGTTTTACGCATGGATGACGGCTTGAAGGAAGGATAAGGCCCGAAAAAGGCAAAAAGCGCGAGCGATTAGTGGCGGCGACCCTTGGGAACGAGTGATCATCGGTGATAATGTATTCGAGCGGCGGAGGCTGGCGAGAGCTCCAGCTGGTCGCCAACGGCATTCCGATTTTCTGAGGGACCTAAGGTTTATTTATGTGAGGCCCTCCGGCTCATATCGTATGCGTTTCGTATTTCGCTTTAATTGTTCCTGGCTAACATGCCCATTCGTCTCGGCAATTTTGCGCCGCTTCATTTTTTAGCGAAGAGGAAGACGAGTGGTTCTTTTTATGTGCTTTTTGAGGTGCCCTGCCATATTTTATTCGTTCTGGAATGTGTCGCTTTCCGATTTTTGAGGCAATCAAACGCAAATTCAAAGCCTTTTACTGGCTTGTCCCGTGGGAAATCGTACAATGCGAGTGAAAAGCCAAAAAAGTTTTGGTTTTTGTTTCCTTTCACGCAAACTTTTTGGAAAGCTTTTGAGAAAACGTTTTCGAAAAGGTGGTAAAAGTGCTTTTCAAGGAGCTTGAATGAGGGCAATTATTCGAGAAGTTTTGAAGTGACGGCTTCAAACGCTTTCAAGAGTACTTTAACCACCAAACTTTTCAAATTGTACAAAGTATTCGTTCGATTTTTTCCGCGAGTGTGTATGAGCCTACGGTTGTAGGAGTGGAACAGATTAGGTGCGGGCTTATTAAGGAAGAATAAGCCGCCGGAAGAAAAGACGACCGACGACAAATCCGCACTTTCAATGAATGGCTGGCTACGCAGACGCATCATTGCTCACCGAGCTCATTATAATAATATTAGTCGGAAACTCAGTCGCTAATTTTGCAATACATCCTCACACTTGCCTAGGTATTTACTGCAAAATTAATAACTCCCTAGACATCAAGGCTCGGGCTCGGAGTTTAACATAAAATGAACTCCAGTAAATTGAACTGAGAAGTCAAAAAAAAAAAATGCTGCTTCCTCTTTTTATAAAATATCAAATCGTTCCAAAATTGTCTGAAGATACGATTCCGTAAACCAAGTGCATTGAAAAATTTTTTTTTGAAAGAATGTATTGAAAGAAGTGAAATAAGTCTGACACATGCAAAATGCATTGTGTCAGGAATCGTCGACTAGAAGAATTTTTAATTTTTTCTTTGATCTGCTTCTCCTTTGTTTCTTCGAAATTATCATCAAAAACCTGATGTAAATTTATCTTCTGCCAACTATACACGCATTTACAATGGACGGAGAGGCGTCGTCGCACAAATGAATGCAAGTCATAAAATGCGGCGATAATGCTGCAAAAAAAGAGGCTCTCGTTACCCCTCCGCGCAAAAACAATTCAGTGTGTCGAGACAAATTTTCAGCAATTCACGAAAACCAAAAAAAGAAAGAATGAAATTTTGCCTCTGGAAGAAAATCCATTGAAAAGATATGCTAACCACTATGATAAATATTTAATGAACGAGTCTAATTGAAGCGAATTTTCTCTATAGGACTCATAAGTTTTATGCAACTGAAATCGCTTTGTTTTTTTTTATCAAAAGGAATTTAGAACAAAGTAAGGCTTCTTGGTCTTCAATCACTTTAAACTTACGAAGTTAAAAAAATATTAAATAGTCTTTTTTTCAATCATAGCTTTTTCCAGGCATCTAAAGAAAAACCGGAAGTAATTTTTTTCTGCTCGCAATCACTCAGTCAGTAACCATGTTGACCAGAGGATATCACAGTCCATCTCATCAAATATGTTCGAAAACTGTGAAAAATCCGACTTTTTTGACGACTAATCATGAGGAAAAACGTAATGAGATTAACTTAAAGAAAGCAACCTTGCTATAGAAATTTCAGTCTGAATGAAGCCTTCTTTCAATCGTTCAAAACTTTGAATTATTTCTTTTACGCTCCCCGCACGTCGAGAAAACAGATTGTTGTTTTTAAGCCAGTGCCAAAAGATAAAATTGGAGAAAGTAGCTTGACGAAGAAAAGTTTTTTGCTTTTTTAACTGATCTCATCATACAATTTTTGCAGATGCATATCGGCTTGCTCTTTACGAGGCATGCAGGAGTGCGAATGCGACGCAGAAGAAGACAACTACTGCTACCTGTGCTGCGGCAACTCGCAACATCAGTGCATGGCCGCGCACCACCACAACATTCTCAGGCATATTTTATTTCCGACTTCTTTTCCTTGCCTTTTTAAACATGCCCACGTCAGCCTATCCGCCTTTTGCCAAACAAAAAAACTCCGTTTGTTTTGTGGTGTGCAATTGTTGCGGTTCAAAAAAGGCGAGAAAAAAAAAGAAGATGAATAGATGAGTCAGTTGTAAAGACGCTTGGGAAACGGTTATGGTTTGGGAAATTTTCCTATGAATCAGCTTTTTTTCTAGGGAAATGTACAATTATAACGCCCTTTTGAAAGAAATTCATCTCTTCGACATGAAAAAGTTTGTGATTCAGAAATACTACTCAGAACTCAACTTTCAGATAATTCGACAAAAATTTTATTTTTGCTCAAAAATTATTGTAGGGTTTATTATTTTTTTAAGCGAGAAAAAAACTTCTTTTATGATATTTTAAAGAAACTAAAATTCAATTAAACTCGGAAAGCGTTTTTTTGAGCGTGACCTGAGCATAAAGTATATTTGAGTCCGTTTAAAACTATTTTTGGCTTGAAAATGCACTTTTTTGATTTTTTCATGGTGTCTGAAGACATTTAGAAAGTTAGCAAATATTTCCATTTGGACAATACTCTTCCATTTCTATAACTGTTTATAAGTTTACAAATATTATCTTTTTCCTCAATTCTTTAGTTCGATTTCTAGTCACTTCATCTATCGTTTCTCCTTTGGATTCCAAAGAGTCAAACATTAATCCAGGAAAATTGAATTGATCAACGAAAAAAGAAGTCAACTCTTGCCTAATCCTTTAAACATAGTGCTTAAGGCCGAATGGCGAACGATGGGAACGCGAGGCCTGCTCTCGATGCCGAATGCACGGCGCCGAGCTGGAGGGTCTGCCCTGCGACGACACCGACCCCGCGCGGCTTTGCATAGGTTTCTTCCGTTTCCCTCGCCGGCCGGCCCTTCAATTATTCATTTCGGCGCTTTTAGGCGGACGATGCTCCAATTCCGTGTGTCATACCAAGTCACCTGGCTCCGTCTGTGACCGAAAGTGAGTCCATCCGACTGGAACTAAAGTTCCAATGGCCAAGGCCAAATGTTTTCCCTCCATGAGGGCTGCGATGAAAATGACATGCGATAAATTATTCAGCTACAAGTTTCGAAGTTCTTGGGAACATATTTTATGAAGAAAAGAAGGAAAAGGGAAGTGAGCACTACTGCAAAGGGTGCTTGAAAAAGAATGAAGAGAACATTTTTTTACATACAGAATGCTTCTCTGCGAAAAGTAAGCGTTTCAAACAGAAATTATTAAAAAGAACAAGAGCGCTTTGACAGAAATTAACATAAAGAACGTTTTTTCAAGCGTTATAGCTGGGTTCATACGTATCTTTTTTTAAACGAAATTTTTATCCAGATAAAAAAAAACTTTGCGTCTTTTCATTATGAGCTCAAAAAGATTTCTCTAATTTATCATTCTCTTTTTTCGCCAAATATGATGCTTGAGAGTTGAAATAACGATAAGGCTTTTAAAAATCTAGTTTTCCACTAGTAAAGTCTTTTTTTCTGGAGGACCTTACCATATCTAAAGTTTTTTTGTTAGAAAGAACTTTTTTTTCACTGAGTTTCATCAGAGCAAAAAATGTTCAGTTCTGTGATCCTATGGACAATTTTCAGAATGGAGAAGCTTTGTGTGGACAACGTGTGCGAGAACCCGTGTTCTCGCTTTGCTCCACACCTAATGGTGTGTGATTGTCCGGCCATCGATCAAGACACAGGCTTCGCCTCGGAGGACCGCTGTCAGCTCTGTTGCTACGACTTCAACCTGGTAGCGCCAGTTGCACCTTGATTTATAGCCCTTTCATCCATTCAGAAACCAGCGAGCCGTCGGTGTCAAAATGCCTACCGGAAGTACAAGATCATGGACATGTTCCAGAAGCCCATTTGGCGGGTTGGATTGGAATGTGCTGGAGGAAAAGTTTGCAACAAATTTGGCGTTTGTTCCGCCTCAAATCTACCATTCTTGCTCCCGTTCCTGCTGATTATGCTCTACCAGTTTTTATGTCAATTTTGATCACCGCGAACGCCTTTTTTTTCGAATTTTGATTTCTCACCTTGGTACTACGGTTATTCTTGAGTGAAATGTTCACTTAATATTCTGGGTTACGCTCAAGGCGACTAGGCTTCAAACTACCTTTTACGCTTTCGACAAATGTTTGACCGGCTGATGTGATAACTGTGATACCTTTTTCCTGTGCTTATTCCACATGAATAATCGATGAAATTTTTTGAACAATGATATAATGAAAAGGCAACCGTCGGATTAGAATCGGGAAAATTCAAAAAACCTCCCTATCCAGAAGCCTGTTCAGTACTCAATAGAGCAATTTTTAACTTTTGTTCAAACTTGGCTGAGAAAACGTACCTTGAACCACACGACAGTCGGTTTTGGTGTTCCAGTGACGGAGCAGTCAAAAATGACAGATTTGTCGAGGACAATAGGGTATCGCGTGTTGGTGTCCATGAATCGCGGCTTCTCTGAAAAACTTCGAGGCTTGCAAACTGAAACGAGGAAGCGGCAACGAACCCCAAACCATCAGATGGAATGGTTTTCTGACCTCTCCAGCTTCGTTCTTAGCGATGCAAATGTAGTTCGCGGCATCGCTCAACCGAGCGTTACTCACTTTGACTTGTCGATCAAGCACCTAACACATTTTGCTTTTTATTCGAAAAAAGACTTAATTTTTCACTTCAACAGTCGGGCTGAAGACTCCGTTCTGAGCCTCGACATCGTTGATAAGCCATGAAACTGTAACGTTTCCGCTTCCAGAGCTCACTTTGCAAGTCAAAGTCATTGAATCGCCAACCTTCATGGCTAGGTTTTCTGGTCCTCCATCCAAAACCGGGGGCCCTGTATATGAGATTGCAGCTTATTAATATCTTTATAATTACCTGATAATCTCAAAATGAAATCCTTGCGAACTAGACCGGCCTTATTCATGGCCTCGCAGGTGTACTTTCCGATATTTTCTGGTGTGATGGAATCGATAACAAGAGTTTCTTTGTTTTCCGACGGTTGCCCATCTTCATCTCGTATTCTCTGGCCTTCATAGTTCCACCAAATCTGTAACTTCTCTGCTCACTTTTGCAGCCGTTCATTGTTTTTTTTTTGTTTTCATTAGTTCTCTGATTTTTCGAAAATGCTCAGTTCTGACTGAAATTGATGTGGTTTCGTTACCTGTGATTGTATGAAATAATTATTTTGAAAATAAAATATTGCCTCAGGCTTTGGATTTCCGTTGGTGCTGCACTTCAGAGTTACAGAAGAGCCATTAACCACAGTTTGCAAAGCTTCCGATGAGGCTTGATCGTTGATGGAGGGGGAACTGAAAACTTGAGACCATCAAGAAGCCCCACATTTGGATCGAACCAAGTATTTTGACGTCGAATGACTTTCTGGCTTCCCCTGCTGAATTCTTCACAACACAAGTATATCTAAAATATTCGATATTTGAACTTTAATTTCTGTCTTCTGCACCTTCCAGCGTCGGAAGTTCTCGCGGAAAGAATGTTCAGCTTTCTTCCCGACGAAGGAATCTGTGAATTATTCAGTTTGTGTTCGTTCTACTCAAGCCAGCAATCCAATTGAATTTAGCTCACTTGAATGAGATTCTCGTCTTTTAGCGTTTCCTGGGAGATGGTTTGTCCCGATTTCTGCCACTCAATCTCCAGCCGAGATCCCGTGTCGTTGACCTTTTGAAAAGTTGAGATACTAGCGCATAATTCACAAGCAAACTTCGCAAAGCAAGTCGTGGCGCGAGTTCTCAAACACTTCCACAACTTCTGTGGGTTGTCCTTCGATAACTGGAGGAGCGATAACGTCCAAAGTTGTTTCCAAGTCATCGGATCCAACGGAGTTAGTTGCAATGCAAGTGTACCTATTGAAAGATGTTAGAGAAAAGCTGGATGAACAGAAAAACCTTCCTTTGTCGCTTGTTTCGGTGTTGCTAATCTGAAGCTGTCGGCCTCCGTCCAAAAAGACGTGACGTCCGGTGGCAGACAAAGTTTCTCCATCTCGGATCCTGGGAATTATTCAAACTTAATGAATTCTCAAAATAAAATCGATTAACCAAGTGATAGTAGGTTGTGGGCTTCCGCTAGCTGGACAATTGAAAATTGACGTTTTTCCTGCGATCGTCTGGACTTTTCTCACCAAGTTTGGATCTTCAAATGTTGGAGCCTCTCAAAATTTTTTAATGGAAAGTGTTAATTGACTTTTATTATACCCAGGATCCGAACACTAAAATCGCGTTTTTCCTCGCCAGCTGGGTTCTTGGCGATGCAAGTGTACCTGAAAACAAAGCTTTTGATGCGGCAACTTTCAAAACAACAGACTTGTCGGCGTCGTCTTTTTGCAGTTTCAACAAATAAAGCTTCTGTCCATTCGCACTGGTTTTGACGTTGGCATTGCTTTCGAGGGACTTTCCGGCCTTCAGCCAAGTAACGGATGGCGTCGGTTTTCCGAAAACAGGGCAGGAAATCGTGACGGTGTTGTCCAGCATTTGATCATATTCCGCAGGAATTCCTTCTTTTTCGATTCGCGGTGGTGCTGAGAAAAAAAAACGTTACACAATTGAGAGTTGGGAAAACTTACTCATGACGTTGAGGAAAATATCTTGATCAGTACTGCCAGCTTTGTTAGTTGCTTCACAAGAATATCTACCACTGTCCGACTCCTAAATTATGAAACTCATGAAAAATTTATTAACGTAACTTCATTGCGACCTTGACTCGAGAAATTTTCAGTTCATTTCCAACAATTGAAGCAGAGTCAATGAGGTCTGAAATGTTATCTGGGAAAAGCATTTCGCCTTCTTTCAGCCAGACAATGTCCGGCTCTGGCTTTCCCGTGACTGGACAGGACAAAGTGACCGTTGTCTTTTCAATGACGGTTCTAAATCTAGAAAAATTAGACAAAGTAATTGAGAAATAACCTGTTCTTGTCTTTATCCAAAATTAGAATTGTCGGAGGTATAAGAACTTGAAGCTTGTAGTCGAATTTGTTTTCTCCAGCGTCATTTTTGATCCTGCAGCTGTACAGTCCTTCATCTTGAAGCGAAGAACTGAAAAAGGGTGCATAAGATGAGAAAAAGAGAAGCAAAAACTTCGACAGATGAAGACGGCGGTCATTTTGAGATTTTGTGAGTCTTCCGTCCCGATAATCGATTGGGTTGAAGTTTCGAAGCCTAAAACATTTATTGTTAATACCTCTTACAAATAAAATCTTAAACCAAGTGACGTCACCCTTGAAGTTTTTATCCACAATAGGACACTTGAAATGTGCAGTTTCGCCTTGTATCACTTCTACCACTTCTTTGATACCCTTCGCGAGAGAAGGTCGAGCTGAAATTGAACTTAGCAAAGAATAAAGAGAGATTTTACTGATGACATCGACGTCAAAACTGATCTCTGTAGATCCAACGTCGTTTTTAGCCTGACAAAGGTAAGAACCGCGATGAACTGAAGTTTCAGATTTATTCGAAAAGGTTCAACTTTTCACACCACCTGGCTGAGCATGGACGATCTTGAACTGTTGTCCTTCTGAGAGGACCTGAGCATGCTCCAAGCTACTGATCGGGCGTCCGTCCTTCAATCAAATTTTTTTGGAAGGTTTGTGAGTTCAAGCTCACCTTTGTCCACGTAACAACTGGAGGAGGATTTCCTTCAACTTCACAAGGGAGAACAAGAGAGTTGTTCTCAATGACGGTGTATTCTCCACCATCATTGATAATTTCTGGTGGAACTGAAATTGATCAGATATTATTCTAATTGGAACAATTCCTGATTTGCCTTGAACTTGGAGCTGGAACTTCTTTGAGGTCTCTCCGGCCTTGTTTTTGACAGTACATTCGTAGGATCCTTCATCTTCAGGCTGAACTGAAGCGACGTGCAAGTACCGGCCACCGGAAAGTAACTGAAATATGCATCACTCAAGTTGTTTCCAGAAGAAAATCTAATATGTGCTTCCATTTTAACTAATTTAATAAAAATTTAATTATGGTTCTCGAAATACCTGAACATCATCAACACCAGAAACTATTGGGAGTTGATGACGAGTCCAGCTGATTTCAACGCCGGTGGGATCTTTGACGTCACACTCCAGAGTAACTGCTCGCTCGACGTCAACCTGATATTCATAAAGTTCATCAAAGTTTTCAAAAAATACAGCACCTTATGCTCTGACTCAGTTTTTGAAACAAAGACAGGCTTCTCAAGAACGTGAACATTGAAAGTTTTTGAAGCCGTGCCAGCGACGTTCTTCACAAAACACCGGTACACACCAGCTTGAGACTTTCTGATGTCTCGAATCACCAAAGTCATGTTTTCGTTAAGGACCTGGAAAATTTTTCTCAAAAATCTTTATCCGGCTCACCTCGGCTTCTTGTGGGACGTTTCCTCCATCCTTCTTCCATGTCACTTTGGGGTCAGGGTTGCCTTCGGCAACACAATCGAGTTGCAGTTCGTTGTTCTCGATTATTTCAATGTTCTCAATCAGAGTTCCGCGGACGTAGGGAGCAACTGATCAACAAAATTTTGGAAAAAATGCAAAAAATCAATGAACCAAGAACTGAGACGTTGAATTCTTTTGTCGCTTCACCGGCGCTGTTCTTTGCAGTGCAGGTGTACACGTCTTCATGTTCCTCCTCTGCATTCATGATTATCAAACTCGATTTGTTCACAGAGAAGATGGCTTCCTTATCCTGAAAATTCTTTTTCCAATTCTTTGTGATGAAATCCCAGACCGTGATTGGAGATCCCTGTCTGAGCCATTCAATCACAACGTCGCCGCCGCCAGAAACTGGACAATCCAAAGTGATAGTGTCTCCGTAGCTGACCTGAGTAGAAAAGTAAATTGAGTTATTTGTTCCCATTGCTCACTTGAACTTCGATTCTGTCTCCCGAATCGGTGAACTTGGGCGGAGCGATGCTCTGCACGAAGAAGTCGCGCGCAATAGATCCAGCCTACAAATCGATTCTTGCATTCTCACGTTTTTCAACCAATTAACCTTATTCGAAACAAGGCAAACAACATGAGCCGACGATCCGTTCAGCTTGTCGATATCGAACTTCTGACCGTCGTCGCTGAAAAGTCGACATTTAGTGAAAAACATTTCTCGGACCTGTTTTAGAAAAAAACTTTCCATTTAGAAGAAACATAAAACATTTCGAAAAGGACTACCTCAAAAAAAATTGTGTGTTGAATGCGTCGTTTTCAAACTTCGAAATATAGTTTTAAATAAAAAAACGAGTTATGAGCAATATGTTTTCTTATCGTCTTTTCATAGATTATTTTTAAAATTTATAAACTCACCTTATCGCGGGACCAATGATGGTTTCTTTGTCCATGCGCCACTCAATGTTTGGCCTAGGATTACCAGAAACCAAACAAGCCAAATTCAAAGGTTGTCCACGGATAAGTCTTATGCTTTCGTTATATTCTTTTTCGAGGAACTCCGGTGGTTCTGAAAGTTTAATCTGTCATTTCAATTTAACTTTTTCCACTCACCAAGAACTGCGACATTGACGATTTTGGTGTCTTCTCCAGCAGAATTCGTAGCTGCAAGAAGAACGGTTCTCGATTTTGAAAGAATAATCTACCCTTGCAAGAATAAGAACCAGCGTTGGCAGCCGTGGCATTAACAATAAAGAGTCGATGTCCGTTGAGTGGGACTTGGACGTTTGAAGGCAAGCTTTCAGAGTTGTTCTGAAGTTCTTCTTGCTCTCAGTTTCACACATTCACTCCTCACCACAAGCCAGGAAACTGTATGTTTCTCATCAGTTTCACCATTATTGTCGCACGAGAGTGTAGCTTCTTTTCCTTTCACGATCTCGATGTTCTCATCAGCACCCAAGTTCGGAGCAGCTTAAAATTAAGAATGAAATCGTATTATTTGAAAAAAGCCAACCAAGAACGACAAGTTCAACATCAACGTCCAGAGTTCCTGCCTTATTTTGGGCTACACAGTGAAGCATCCCCATGTTGTCAAGCGAAGCTTCTTCGATGATCAGCTGAAAAATTAGGAAAGACTTCAACTTCAGGAGATTCCATCGAAAACCGTCTTCCCACTGTCTGCCAGCTTGATCCCTCTGTAAGGCTCATCTTTCCTAAGAATGGTTCCACCGACAATCCAATTGATGGTCGGGCTGGGAAGACCAGAAACGGGACAACCAATCTCGACGTATTCTCCCTGGGATTTCCCTGGTTTTCAGAAACTTTTTGTGTCTCCACCTCCTTTGCCACAACTTTCTTCTTCCATTCCGATTCATCGATGTTGAGAGGCACTGAAAAGTCAAAATTCACGTTTTTCTCTACAGTTATGTACTCACCCAAGACTTCCACTTCGAAGGATTTGCTTCCTTCGCCAGCAGAATTGCGAGCTACGCATTTGTACACACCGGCATCAGTAACTCGGGCCTATTTAACATTTACAAATTCAATTTTTTTTTGCCAATCAACTTTCTCGACGTGAAGTTTCCGCTTGTCGTCAGAAAACTGAACATTCGCATCGACTTCTGCCATAGGCTTGTCGTTGAGTTGCCAGGAAATCTGTGAAGAAATGTGAATTTAGAAAAAAAAATTCATTCTTACTGTGGGCAGAGGTGTACTGAGGACGGGGCAGTACAAAGAAAACGGCTGAGAAACTTTGACCGACTCGTGAGCGACAATGTCTTGGTCAGGCATTTCCGGCGCAACTGAAGAAAGTCTTTTTTTTCTCATTCGAACTTGAAAGCATACCAATAATGCTCAATCGCATGTTTTTCTCGGCGATACCAGCTGGATTAGTTGCTTTACACGAGTAAAAAGTGTCGTCTTCTTTGGAGGCTTCGGCAATCACAAGAGTTCCATCGTTCTCCACCTAGAGTTTCTCATTTAAAATCAGGGGTCAGTTCTTTAATAAGAACAACTTCAGGGATCAGGAAAGTCATGGTTTCTCACCTTCATTCCGGGAGTGCTCTCTGTGACTGGAACTCCTTTGCGTGTCCACTGGATGGTTGCCGGAGGATATGCTTCAACAGCACATCGGAGCTCAACCTATTGTACCATTCAAAGTCAAGTTTAATACAATTGAGAAAAATCACCACATCCCCAGCCACTGCGGTGTAGTTCACAATGGTGTGCGGTGAGAAAACTGGAGGTTCTTGAACTACAACGGAAGTCGTTTGCGATTCGGATCCAGCCCCGTTTTCAACTAAGCATTTGTATTGACCGCCATCTTCCTTCGCAGTATTGAAAATCCTTAAAGTTCCGGCCGAATCGATTCCATATCTACTGGAGTTTCCGGTGGACAACTGAAAATGCTGATTCGAATCTTCAATGTTTCATCCGACAAAAAAGACCAGAAGACCGTCAATTCGAAAGAAATCAATAGCAAAGTATCTAGAAAATCAGAAAACAAGCGGAGATGTCGGAAAAAATACTGGAATTTGAAATAAACGATTCTTCTTTGAATTGATGGTGTTGCATTTTCGAAAATTTGGATGTATTAAATGAAAGCAAGACGTTATGATAAACGAATCTCAAGCTCTGGCATTTTTTGTTGATAGAGAAAACTCTTCAAGCTTGAACCATAGCAATATGAGAAACGATGAAGCTCTTTCGAAAGACGTTTAAAAATTTTCAGACTCCAAGTTAAAAGTGGTTCTAAATAAAATAATAATCTTATCGAGATGATTATTTGTTGATAGGCGAACTGCATTATATCAGGTATAGCTTCAAAAACCATTTTCTTACCAAAATTCCATCTTTCTCCCAACTTCTTTCCGGTTGAGGCGTTCCAGTAGCAGTACATGGGATCTCAAGAGTCAGACCTTTGACGACGTCCAAGGTTCCAGGCGTCTCCGAGATGATTCGAGGCTTTTCTTGAACCTGTGACAAAAATCATTCCATTTTTTTCTGATAGAATTCCTCACTTCGAGCTCATAAGTTATAGAATCGTCACCAGCCAAATTGGAAACAAGACAAGTGAAATATCCAGCATGCTCGATGTCGATGTTTGACAGCACCAGTTCTCCGTCTTTTGTGACTTTGTGCTGTGAAAAAATTGAGATTCTCAAATCTGAACCTGTTATCTTACGGGAATCGGGACCGTATCGATTCTACTGCCTTCATAGCTCCAAATTCGTACGGGAGGCGGTTCGGCTCGTGCCGGACAAGCGAGAACAACGGTATCGTTAGCGAGAGCAACTCTTGAAACGGTCTGAAATCAGATAAATTTAATGGAGGATAAATGAAATCGACACTACCGTTCCACTTCCATCGATGATTGGAGCTGTGTGAACTGTTAAAGAAACGACGCGTTCATCTGATCCGGCTTCATTGGTCGCAACGCATTTCAAAGATCCTCTGCATTATTGAAATGTCATCGATATCATTTTTTATCATTAAATACTTGAGATTTTCATGCACGTCTTCGATGAGGAGAGTTCCATCCTCATCGACAGTCCCGTTCGTGAACTCGACATCATTCAAGTACCTCAATTGCAAGAAAAGTAACTTATTCAGAATGCAGTCTTTTTACCATTTGATGGTAGCTTTAGGTTCTCCTTGAACATTGCAAGGAATAGAAAGAGGAGTTCCTTGGATCAAATTGAACGAGCTTTGTCCAGGTGAAATGATTGGTAACGTCATGATTTTGATCGGTGTTGACTTCAAAAACAATATTATTGATTCGAATATAAATGATACCTGCTGAATTTCTCCAGCTGCGTTGACAGCTGTGCAAGTGTACGTTCCAGCAAGAGATTTGTCTGTTTTGTGCACAATCAGCGTGTTATCAGTCTGTTAAACGGTTTTTTTTAGTATCATAATCATAAACATCTCAAATTTCCTCTAAGATTCTGAAATTCAGAGAGAATTCAGTGAAATGAGCCTTACTTAGCATGGTTCAATTTTGTAAAAAAAAAAAACTTGAACGGCCAAGGTTTTTCCATTTTTGGTTCTAATAAATCGGTAACAGTGCAATTTTGGCTCTATTTCAAATTTTACCTATTTTTTTGTAGATCGGTCTAACGAGTAATAAGAATTCAACCAATTAATCCACATAGTATGAAATTTTTTTAAACTGGCACCGAGCAAATTCTGTTTTTTTAATAGAGTTTTCTATTGATTTAACAATTTTATCCCGATGGGTTTTTTTAATAGGAAATTGTCCTAATTATTTCCAATCATTTGAGATATAAAAAAATGAAATAAAACGGAAACTTTAAAGAATTTTTCTTCGTTTAGCCGAATTTCTATAAAAGAGTGCAATGGAAAACTAACGGTGATGCTGAATTCGTTGTTGTTGGTGGCGATTGGACGGCCGTCGAGGCTCCAGGTGACCGTGGGTGGCGGAGCTCCAGAAACTGGACACGGGATCGCGAAGCCGTCGCCTTCGATGACGGAGTGCTCGACGCCGGGCTGGGCGACCTGGCTGACGCCAGCGATACTTGGCGTTGGCTGTTGGCCGGGGTCGTATATCACGAACTCTGGCTTTTCTGAACGTGCAAAACATGCAAACACTACTGACTGGGGCGTGCATTCGGGGCCGCATGCAGCATGCTTCACTTACTGATCAAGTTCACGTTGATGTTCAGCGTCGTGTTGCCGGCCGGAGAGATGGCGGCGCACGTATACTTTCCTTCGTCTTTCGGGTTTCCGTCACGCAGAAGCAGAGAAGTACCGCCTCCTTCCACCTTGGAACCAGATTTGAAACACTTTAGTGAAAAACACTGCTTTGATTAAAAAAATTGATTTTACGATTAGGATGACTTTTTTCGGTTACTTCGCGAGAATTTTTAGCAGTTATTGAAAGAAAAAAAATCATCTTGTTACATCCATTGAGTAACTTTTTTTCAGAGTCCTGGCAAAAATTTCATTAGAAAATCTCTTGAATTGAAAAAATTCACTGAAATAGATTAACAGTTCTTAATTTAACTTCTACCAATCTTATTCTTTATAAATTACTGCGTTTTCGAAATTTTCTGAAAAAAAGGTTGACTATCCACTAACAAACAATTGATAAAAAAATGATAAGCGAGAACTTTTTTTAAATTTATTTTATTTTTATTGCGTAAAAAAAGACGAGCTTGCAGTTAAACTTTTTTTAATTCCGCCGTTTTTTCATAAGATAGCAACCGCTCACAATGACTGTTGGAGATGGCTCAATCGGCTTTCCATCCTTGAACCACAGAAGTTGAGGCTTGGGAGTTCCTAGGACGACGACACAGGAAAGCCTCAGATCTTCTCCCTCCACGAGCTGTTCTTCCGGTGGCACGTGGCCAAGAACAGGAGAAGCTGAACTCTTTTTGTCAGAGAATTTTTCAATCTGAACTCATACTCAATCCTGTGATTATCAGATTCGTGTTTTGCGATTGTTGCCCATATGGATTTTTGGCAATACAGGTGTATCTGCTTTGATCTTCCATTTGAGCGTCTGAAAAACTCATAGAAAGTTTGTAGGACAATTTGAAAACTTGTGATCAAGAGGTTTCCGTCTGCAAGAACTGTGTAACGAGGGTTATTGAGACTGTCAAGCTCTACAGAATCTTTGTACCAAGTTATTTGAGGCGCTGGTTGTCCGATAGCCAAACATTGCAAAGTAATCTGAAAAAGGTTAATTAAAGTTTTTGACGAAGACTTTTAGGAAAGTTAAAGCTTACTTGACGTTCAATGTTCACTCGAACATTACCCGGAGAGGGTACGATAGATGGGACAGCTAAAAAAAAGATGTAAATCGAAAGTCTGTAGTTATTCAAAATTACATCCAATTTCGACTTTGACAACTCCGATTGCTCTTCCAGCAATGTTTTCTGCCACACAGGAGTAAGAGCCTCCATCCGATTCTTGCGCTCCCTAGTGATAGAACTTCAACTTTAGACTTATTATATCGCTCTTACCGTTATCTGGAGATGTCCGTTCTCGATGTTGATGTAACCCCGACTGCTCTGAAGAAGTTCTTTACCGTTTCTCAGCCATCTGATGCTTGGAGCTGGCAAGCCTGCTGTCACCTTGAAAATTATTACTTTCAGTTAGAGACATCTTTATTCTGATCTACTTTGCATTCGAAAGAGATGCTGTCACCACGGCCAATCATAGTTTTGCTCTGGGTGAGCTGAACCTCTGGAGGCTTCGCCAACTCAGCTCTTGCAGACTCAGCATGCATCCCGGCTGGACTCACAGCTCGACATTCATACTGTCCGACATCGTAAGGATCCGCCACTCGAATTATCAAATCGTCTAGATAAAGAAATTATTTCTGAACTTTTTCGAAAGTTAGACTTTTGTAGGAGATGTAGTATTTGCTGTCTGGACTGATGCGACGTCCGTTCACGAACCAATGCGGCTCTGGAGGCGGATCTCCTTGAACGTAACAGGAGAAGTTGATAGAGGTCGATGGAACAAAATAAAGCAGTTTTGGACTGATTGAAGCTACTGGGGGCTCCATGATCTGAAAAAAAATTGATTACAGTCAGAAAAAAAACTTTATTTGAACCTTCAAAATCATGCTCTGGGAGGTCATGCCGCCGGCGCTTCTTGCTTGACATTCGTACATTCCAGCGTCAGAGCGAGATGTTGAGAAGATGCGGAGTGTTCCATTTTCGTAGATTTTCTGGACGAAGGTCTTTCGTTTTGAACTTGAGTCGAGTAACAAGAAATTCTTCATTAAGAACTTTATTTGTAAAGCTCTCCCTTTTCTCATCATACGTCTCAAATTTCTCAGAATTTTCAAGCTGAAGTTTCTTGACTATTTTTTCAACTTTGTCAATCATACACAACTGTATTTACCGTATTGGGGCCGTTCAGAACAGAAACGCCATGACGCAACCAACGAATTTCAGCTTTACTGCTTGAAATTGTCGGACAGTGCAGAAAAGCTGAGCCCATGAGAGCCGCTGTTTCATTCCTAACCCCCGTGATTTGAGGAGGTGCTTCTGAAAAAACTCCACTAATCCGACTGATCAGTTTCCACATACCTCTCGTTTCTAGCTGCATTTTTGCTGTTGCGTTTCCGTTGTCGCTTGTGACCTCGCAAATGTAATCTCCGCTGTCTGACAACGCGATTTCTGTCAGCACCCAAGTGGCCGTGTCAGTAGTGCTGTAATCAGTTTTAATTTGGAAGATGACAAGAAAAAGAAGAAACTCGTAGAAAAGTGGTCCTCCGACGAGTTTGCCGTTTTTGGTCCAGTTCACAGTGAATGGTACTGCGCTCTCGACCATGCAGGATAGGTTGACGCTCTGAGGAGAAAAGTGAAGTCAGTCCGGACAAACGTGAAAGAGGAAAACCTTTCCCACAAAAACAGTTTGAATTTCCGGTACATAAACTCGCGGGCCTCCGACAGTAACACTTCCAATCGCCGTTGGAGCAACTCGCATGTACTCGTAATCCTGGTGAGTATTTTCTTTTCAATTCTTACTTCGAGGTTTACCTGGTCATCGGTTCCGGAAACTCGAACAAAGAATAATCCTTTTGGAGGTACAAATGGACCTATGAAATACATGTGCGGATTTTCTCGAATTGGTGATGCCGGTTGTGTCAAAAGCTCATTTCCTGAATCTCTTATAAATTTTTTACGAATTTCAGAGCTTACCTGTGTAATCGAGGAGGCTGATCTTGTTGACAGTACCAGGTGGAATGAGGCCAGTCATGTTGATAACAAGGTAAGTATTTTTGATTAGCCACGGGACGAGGTCTTGCCTGAAAAAAAAATTCGTAAATTTTTTAAATTTATTTTTTTGATTCACATATTCCATCTTATCCACAGGACGCGAAGCAAATCCATATTTGAAGTCGATAGAGCCATGGCCGAAAATTCGGATCGTGTGCTTCCTCCTTGATCTTGTTTGAACCTGTAACATTTTCTCGATTTTGGTGGAATCAAAAAAACTTCGAACCCTCCAAATACCAGGACGAGGGCTTTTCAATCTGATTAATTTAACGTTTTTCAAGTCAATTGTTCCACCTTCTTTTGTGTACTTTGTTTTGTCGATTTCAACGTCTAAAAAATTATGAAAACCGGTCCGGAAAAACTGTTCTTACTTGATGGATCGAAAATGGTCATATCAAGGAAGCCTCCATCATCTTTATCTCCTGACAAAGAAAGAGTCAATTCGCTCAGTTGATCATCAACAGGGATGTCTCGATAGATGAAGCCTCCTTCTTCACGAGCTTCGTAGAGCAAGTGCACTTTTTTCTGCTTCACAGCGTGTCGGACATATTCCAGGACCGTACTAACGTCGCTTTTCTCAAGATGGAAGACCTGAATAACAAACAAATTAACTTTAACTGAAAAAAGAGCTGGACTTGTCCGAAAGAAGCAGCCGCAATTTTTTCATAGGTTCGGAAGCCAGGATGAGTGCGGTTACCGCAGTCGCCAGTCATGACAAAAACGACCTGTTAACAGTTCACTTAGGACTGGGACCGTTGTTTTTCCTACAGAGCTCTGTTTTTCTTGAATCAGATTCAAGACATCTTCTTCCAAATTGTAATCTTTGGATCGAGCGTCGGTGAACACGTAGACAAAAGATGAAGGTAGCGAGATTTCGAGAGCTTTGTGGATTCCTGAAAAGTTTCTCAAAATCAGCCGTTCGGGGAAAAATATTTTCAAAGTTCTTTAGAATGATCTAATGAGTTCATCGCTAAAGTTTAACTTGTCTAAGTTTAGGGGAGTTTTCCGACCGTTGATGACGTCAATTTGAAACACAATTTTTTCAAAAGCTATTACTTTTCCGTTTTTCTAAACATCTTTGTTCTCATTTCTTCATAAAAAAATTCGTTTTGAGTCTTTTTTGGGTCATTTTTCTTTCTTTATTTGAGAAAAGTGGATAATTTCTCGACACCACTTATAACGGAATAGGTATTTTTTCATGAATTCAAAACAAAATTTAACGTTTCTGTTCGACTGGAACATATTTTCTGATCAAAAACTATTTTCATGAGCCCTTTTTCCGTTGCGCAAGAGGCTGGCCACTCATCACAATCGCCATGTGTTGAGGTGCCGTAAATTGCCTATCGTATGCCGTTTTTACAACCACAAATACTGGGTGCGCGACCATTCACAACTCTGACTCCAACTGCCAGTTTTACAACTTCGGAGCAGCAGAATCGAAAAGATTTTCGAATCGAAATTGAACATTACACAAAACGTTGCGTCGGTCTGATACAATTACCAATTTCTTGTGTCGATGCGGTTATCTCGGATTATGTGACCGCAGAAGCGCATTACAAACGAGGAAAAGCATCAAATTTCTTCTCAGCTCAACTTCGGGGTCAAGTTGCCATTGAGGCTTCCGCTGAGGTAACGAGGCAAAGAAGCGCTTGAGGAAATTCATGTGAAATGATCTCTTGAACTTCGACGATTTAGTGATTTCCAGTTGTCGCGTTTTTTTTCCAAACAAACTCAGAAAAACGCGTATTTTGGTGTGTGAAAATAGGCCTTATAGAACTTGATTTGGATCGAAATTTTCGTTGGAAGTTAAGGAAAAATTTTCAAGAAATGGATTGGAAAAAGATTTTTCCAACTGTAGAAGTTTCTCCTTCTATTCGATCGGTTTGAATTGTTCAAGGAAACTTTTCCAGAGCATAAAAGTTTCAAACTCAACACCTATAATATTTTTGAATACGGACTGCAAAACTCATTTGAGCGTCATTGTAACTGGAAATCATTTTTTCGAGATCAAATTACTTAAGAAAACTAAACTCGCCTGCGGTAAACAAATTTTACCATACTGCAAAGTTTTTCAGAAAATATTTTTCCAAGTTAGTGAAAATTATCTTTTTGTGCACCTGTATTATATCATTTTTCGAGCCAGAAAAACGCGAGCTTTTTGCAAAGTTTGATAGGTTTTGTGGAAATACGGCGTGATTCATGTTACCGTTCTCCTGTCTGGCCCATTGCTTCTATTGAAAAAGCGTAATTGGCCGCGACACGTATCCCCCAGCACTTCGCAACTTCTTGTCACTCCAGTTGGACCGCCAGTTTTTATCTTACGGAAGCAAGAACCAGAGTTTGAAAACGGTTTGAAATATAGAAATTGTGGCCAGAGTTTTTTGAAACAAAAGTTTGAAATAAATAATATGAAAAACGGGGGTGATCCGTTTTTTTAAAAAAATATAATTGAGTTTTTAATTTGTGGTATGAAAAATAGTGGATTTCTGGAGCATGAAGTTCAAAATCGCAGAGCCTCTTCTACACAAAAATCAAAACGAGCCGTTTTCCTTCACCATTTTTCTAAAATCAAGTCCTTCATAGAAAATCACCTGTGAGAGTTTTTTCAGGACAGTCTCCGCCGCCGTGCACATATACCTTGCTCAGTTGCCTCATGAAGTACGATGAATCGGTGGTGTTAATGATTTCACCAAGATCTGAACGTCAAATTGCGTACATCAAAATGTTTCGACTTTTCTATTTGCAGCAGCTTTGAAATAGCCATCAAAGATGATAAATCTCGGAAACTGATCCCGCACGTTGTAACGCGGATGCTCATTTTCTTTGCTGTTTTGCGCTTGAGTTGAAATGATTGAGTTTATTTTGAAATTTCCGAAAATTGAAAATATCCTTGCTGCTTTCTAAAGGGCTGATCATCGAAGATTGACGTGAAAAAAATAAAAAACAAAAACTATGCTCAAAATTGAATAGAACCCTAGATCAACGACATACTCTGAAAAATTTCATTCTGAATGAAATAAGCGGTTTTGGCAGCAGCTACAGTACATTAGTTCGAAAATTTTGTTTTCGGTTTATTTTTGAGGACTGTTGGTCAGCAGATCGAACTTCTATAGATTAATTTTGTCTTCAACTCAAAAACGTGTCTTATTTATTTCTGAACGAAAAACGAAAAAAAGAAAACTGACCGGGATCATGGAAAGGAACAAGGATGTAATTGTAGATGAGCTTCTCTCTTTGTTGCATGACTGTTCGGAAGATCTTCGAAGCGCCTTCTCGAACTTGGACCAGATCATCGAACATGGACCCAGTAATATCGAAGACAAACGTGAGTGAAGATTTTCCCACGGCTTCTGCCGGCAACGATGACGGCGTCTGCCATCCTGTAGACTCGGCTAAGCTGAGCAACAGCAAAAAGCAAGTTGTCACGAGGGACAACCTGCGTAAGGCACCCATTGGAAAGGGCCAAACTTTCTGAAATTTGTACAGTTATGCCGTCTATAGCAAGTCTAATTTAAAAATCAGACGATCTTGAGGTGAAAATGCTATGAAAAAAAGGAACACATTATATAGAAAACACGGCTTCATAGGTCGGTACGGTGTCCTAAGCTTTTCACGATAAACTAGTAGAAAGAAGCGAAAAAAAGATCTGAGATTAGGAATGGAACTGAGACGAGAAAACGACGCCTGAGGGGCTGGCCGCGCTTGCTGTGTTGTGTTTTGTATGCAATCACGATGGCGGCCACCGCGAGGGAAGAAGGAGGGAGTGTGAAGTCGGCACACACTCATTAATTACCGTTTGCTGCCCTCATTCACGCGGATTCGAGGTGGAGCTCCAGCAAACGTCTATATCAAACAGGCAGCAAAAGAAAATCTGGCGAGTCGCGCTCGATTTGTCTTTTACGAGCCTCGGAAAACTCTAGGTGTACTTTTTTTCAGGTCTAGGGTCACGATTGGTTCAAGTCTATATGAGAATGTTTTTCCATCAACAGCTCGTCATTCAAGTATCTTGTTTCTGATAAGTTGTCATGAGAAAAATTAACCCAACCATCAAATGAATATGAACAAAACGTTTGAACTTATTGATGCGATAAAAAATAATCTTCGTATAGACTTCTCTATATCTCGTTTTCATAAAAGCTACTCAAGCAAAATTCAAAAACGTGAAAAACTTAGAATACCAAACCAGTGAGTCCAAAAGTGATCACATTTTCCAAACAAAATGATTTTATAGCGATTTTCTTGACTCTAATTCGAATTTGAAAGATACATAAAAAGAACCAGCGTAAACGAAAGAAAAAACGTTTCAAATATTGAGCTGAATACTATGCGAACACAATGGGTAACTAGAATCTGACTAAAAGGTTCAAAATCGCTTTGGATTTTGAAACTCTGTAAAATGATTTGTTCAGGCAAAGTGTAAAATTGAAACGGAATGAGCAGGAAAAATTACCATGAGAAAAAATAAAATGTAAATAAACATTTCTTTCAAATTACCTTCAATTTTCGACGATTCTCTGCTTTTTCTTTGAATTGCTTGAATTCAGGGTTTTACTATTCAGAAAAAACCAAAAAAAAATAAGCATTGTGAGAGAAATACGGAACGAAGAAAGTTTAAATCTTAGTTAGAAAAAAAGCGTCTTCAATATTTGTAATAACGATAATCTTTTTGTCAACCATTTCCATCAGAATACGTATTCTCAAAAAAATTTCTTCATCGTATTGGTCACATCTGTCTCCAAACGGTTGATGGACTATCAAAATGAGAACAGGTACAAAAAACATTCTTCTACAAATATAGTAATTTTTAATAACATCATGACCGTGCCAGAGATGACTTTGATGAAAAGAGAAAAAGTTGGGGACTGATTTGAGGGCGGGACGAAATCCAAGAAGAAGGCGTTGCATCCAGACTTTTGACCACTTTGCTCGCTTTGACCTCTCATTGCGGCACACTTCCTTGCTGCCCTGTCACACAACTTCACTGAAAACGTTCGTAATAGTTTGGAACATTCAGGTCCGTCGTTTTTTATGAGGGCACCAATTGCTCCACTGCGAAACTGGCGCTTTTTGTCCGTCTTATCAATTGGATCCAGTCTTTTTTTTTTTCTTCGAGTTGTCACTTTGAAAGCTGGCGCCAGGTGTTATCAAGATACGGAAATCCGATGACACTTTTGCTCGATGAAAGCGAGCTGAAAAAGTGTCGTTCATTGATGAAGTTCTTGGAATTAAAGTAAGCTATGACAACTTGAGTCACTATCCCGAAAGGACTGACTAGAGAGCTACGCAAACTCGTATTCACGGATCGAGTTCAAACTGTTGTGGTGTAAAGATCTAGGTGTAGGTACTCAAAAATACGCAGTATTATCTGCTGAACTTAATAAGATACCGAGAAAAAGCTTTTTGAAAATGGCTTGAAAACCAAATTTCTATTTCTCAAATTTTCTCTGTTTTCCTCTTTCTTTTGGCTGGTAAAAAGTTGTTTAGTGTTTATCATAGCCGGATCATTCAAGGCGATTGTATTGTAATATAAAATGAGATAAAAAAGCAGTATTCTAAAAATTTTCAGGCTCAAACTGCACATTTTCTACAAATTTTTTCTCAGTTCTTTATGGGGTATAGCAGATATTCTCTTCTGTTTTCAAGTAATCTGACTTGGGTCTATATACCAATAATGTTCAAACTCGATCCACGATTACAAGTTAGCGTAGTGCCCTATTGAGACCAAAAGTTCGCTTCAGCGGGACCATTTTCAAGTGTATCTGCTTCTTTCTAAACAAAGACACATCAAATCACTGGGACCATACAGTTTTTGAAAAAAACATCGTTCTAAAGAGATGAAATGAATCTTGCGTTTCGAAAACACCCACATTTTATTTTCAATTTTCTACTGCCGAAATAGGTTACAGTGATCAAAAAAACTTGGTACTCTGATAATTTTGAAGAACCATCCGTTTTTCGTTTCTTTAAAACTGGACGAAATTATTTTATACGCCGCAAAAGTAATGAATATAATTATCGTGCAACGATGAGAGAAACTATTTCAAAAAAAGTGCAATGATAGAGGATTTTTGAGTTTGAACTGGTAAACGAAAAAAATACTTCATTTATAAAAAAAGTATAACTAGTTTTTTTAAAAAAATTATTATAAAAAAATTGGAAGCCCTCTACGTCAAGTTAGAGTAAACTTCAAAAAAAGAAAGGAAAAATGTTCGCAATAACAAGTTCAGAGCCCTTTGTGTAAAACCTAACCAGCTGAACTATTTTTTTTTTCAAATTAGCCTCGTCCATCTTCTTCATGAAATCTGAAGGTTCGTTGCCGGAAAGAACGTGTCAAACCAATTTTTCATTCCCTCAGGTCGATCTTCTTCAACTTTTTTTCCGAGTTTTGAGTAATGACATCTCCTTCAAGCTTTGGTTCTTTGTTTCGTCCAAGAAATCTACGTCATTTCAGACCAAAGTGTCGTTTTTTTGGAAGGCTAAAAATTTTCGTGTTGCAGCAGGTGTCAGAGAGTTGTTGGGTGCGAAGTGGTGACTAACCCCCTGGGCTTTGGCTCATTCATTTCCAGCAAGCTCAGTGGCGTCAAAAAACCGAAAATCGGTCAGATAAACTGAGCCCAGTCTTTCCGATTTTCCAATCTTGAAACATGCGGTTCTTCCTAATTATGCATGATTAGTGGTTTTCTTTTTACGGAACGTTTCATACAAAACAATCTATGCAAATAATTCTCAATAAAATAAGGAATGCAGAAGAAATTTCTCAAAGTGTTACAAGATTACGATATGTGCTGGCATCACTGGACGGAAAACAAGAGAAAGCGAGAACTTGGACAACAGTGTATTAAAAGAATATAACAAAAAAGAGTTTCGCCAAGGTCCAAGTTTGTCGTCAATTACTGCGCCGGGTACGCGAACACGGACTTTACGGTTGGAAGTTCAAAAAGGTTTCTTTTGCCTTTTATTTTTTCAAGCGTTGCTTGTGTTTTTTGCCCTATTTGCCAATTCTTTTCTTCAATGTTCATGATCGATATTACTATATCATAATCTGAAAGAACTCACAAAATATTGTGAACGGCATTAGGATGCTATTCTGTACTAATAAATTATGTACATTGTCACCCTTTATTTTCCGTGTCTCTATTTTGCCGAATCGTCAAAAAATGTTGTGGAGTTTTTTGTTTCGAGATTCTTTTGAGTATTTGAAGGAAAACCCATCAGAAAGGACCTGATCAATAAATTACGAAAACTCGCACATGTGTCGAGATCGCATGATTTTGTAGACCTCACTTTATCAGATCGATCCGCTTCCTACGATTCAGGTATTGAGCAACTGCGGCAAGCATGGTCATTTATCACACCTGGGCGCCAGGGCGAAAAGAAATGTTCGTCTTTCTGTTGGCGGCTCCGCCTGACTATTTCGTGTTGGGATGAACCCCACATAAAGTACAGATCGAGAACTTCAATTTTTTCTTGCCGGGAATTTGGAAATGATAACTTTTTGTACCTTTTTTTGGAGAACCTTTTATCGATACGACTGTAAATTCCCATAAAAATGAAGATACGATCTGCTGAAAAACGCTCGATAACATTCTGATGAAGCTTGTGAAACTTTTTTTTGTTTTTCTGAAGGTTGTATTCAAAGCAATGTATTAAGTGGTCATTTCATCTCTGAAACTTTTTGCTTTCCCCAAAAATTATCCTTTTCTAGTTATATGAAAAAAAGAATCGTAGTTATAATAACTTTTTTTATGGATAAACCAAAAAAATCTTCTGGAACACAAACTAAAAATTATTCAAACACTAGTTTTAATCGATCCCAGAATCGATTCACTTCTCATAGTTTTGATTGTGAAAATCTTCTAGCTTTTCGAATAGGAAAATCTTTTCAGGGCGCGTACTTTAGGGGTTTTTCCCTCCAACAATAATTACATGTTCAAAATTTCATGCCTAGGATATTTGTCTCTTGTTCTCACATCTTTCAGAGAACTACAAAGATGTAATTCATACTACGTAATGAATCAAAAAATTGAAATTGAGGCTTGCGTTTTTTTTTCCTTTTGAAAATTAATTATATACTTCGAAACAAAATTTTTTGTTATTTACTGCTTCGCATAAAACGCTTTTCTAGAAACGCATAAATTTTTTATGGGTTTCTACAATTGTCAGATTTTGAAAAAACGACCTCGCATGCAAGAGAAAATCTTCCTTTCGGTTTATTTTCGTTTCGAAATTACAATATGCAAAATAAATTCAGAACGGAAGAAAATTCTTAAGCACGTGTACGTTTCTTGCTTTACTTTTTTTCAATGTTAGTTTTCGTACAAAACAAGGAAGAGCGATGTTTTTGGGATTTCGATTCGTCTTAAATTTTTTCAGGTGTTCCGCCAAGACTCATGACTCGCCATTTATTTTACAGGTTTGGGTTTCTTTTTGGGAACAATTTTGTTCTGTTTGAATGTTTCGAGCTTCAAAAATGAAGTTCTGACAATGTTATTGCTTTGCTTGTTTAATTTTAAGAACATTAACAGTTGTAAAAGTTTACTTGGCAATGAACAAAAGTATTCTTCGATGCAATGTGGGTTTCATGAAACGGAGATATAAGGGGACTACAAGTTCATTTGGCAGCTAATTTAGAAATGATGTTTATTTTCTCTCATAATTCAAATGACAGACAATTGGGATGACCGATGCGCGTTGTCGAACAACGTGAGTGGGCTGGAAGAACGGCTTTTAATCAAGTAGATGAGCCATCAGCGCACGGCGACAACGGTGGTGGTGCTCTGGCCCTGAGACCGACGACGAGTGTTCTGGTCACGGCAGCACATCAGCCTCCAGATGCTGATACGAGCCTCAGACCTCGACGGCGGTCTCATCTGCCTCTGGCTCAGGTTCACGGCGACAGCCTCAACCATCTGTGGTTTCCGATAGTTTCTCAGAAGAAAACCTGGTTACGAGAGGTGAACATCGGACCTTGAGGCGCGGCTTGACCGTTGCTCGATGTACGATTGCCCATTTTCGACTTGCTCATACAAACCTTTCCTGCAAAACAAATGAGAAACTTTGGGGGGAGGATGGAAATCTTCAATTGAAAAAAAGAAGGTATTACTCATTTGATCCTGCTGTGCCGTCTGGTTCGCAAAAAATGGAAACAAATTAGCGAAAGGTTGGCAGTCCAAAAGTTGTTGAGTCCGTTTATGGGAACCGCGTAAAACGTTGAGGGTTTTTGCAGTTGCAGTGAGAGTTTTTTTTTTTTTTTGATTCAGGCGTTGATATGGAGATTTTTTATTCCTGGCATTTCGCAGTGTTTTGCTGAGGTGGGTCTAATTTTATTCTTTTTCTGGCCGGCTGCTTTGGGAGTCTGAGGGGGACAAAAAGCTGGGAGCTGAAGAGGAGAGAACGCGAAGAAGAACAGGTAAGACTGGTGTAAGTGCAAATTAAACCTGGAACATTTCTAGGGGCGGGGAGAAACCGAAAACGAAACGATGGGCATGGCGCGGATTCAATTTATTATACTGCACCTCTCCAATTATTATTTCAATGTTAGGATTTTTCATTTTCAGTATTATAACCTTACAGAGAGAAGATTTACCTCTCATTCTCGATAACACGTGTGATGATGTTCTGGGGTGTACTATTTTACGTACGCCAATTTAATCGGAGAATTCTGCAGAAATAATTAGCCGGCGCTTCTTCTAGAAAACTACTACTCGATGTAGCTAGGTATACCAACTAATTGGAAGCTGCAGCTGATATCAGAAAAAAAAAGTAGAAAGCCGTGTGGGCAAAGTCACGTGCAGACTTGAGCGGAAATGAATGAAGGCTTTTGTCACGAAATACTTTTTCACTGTGATTTCAAATCTTTGGTTATGGAAATCCAAGTCGAAGGTTATGGGAAAAGTTGAACAAAATACGTGTTCAACAGGTTCTCGGGAAAAAAAACCTACAAAAAACTAGATAAGATCTTCCAATTTTAACAAGCAATTAACTATAACTTTTGATTTCCCATTGAAAGGCTGAAAATAAAATAATGGGACTGTTAATGTACTCACTAGAAATTTAAAAAAAGTGAAAAAGTGTCGACTTCAGAAAGCTGAAAAAAAGTAGCTGTATATCTTTTTTTCACAAGTCAACTAGGGAAAGCAGTGACTTCCTCAGTCTTCTATAAATGATCAGTAGAACAAAATTATTCTTGATCAACAAGAATATTTGAATAAATTTCGACTTGTTTGAAGCATTTAATTGCTAAGAATTGAGAACTTGGATAATACATTCTTCCGAATGAAAGAACAAACTTCACTAAAAGCAATTGTCTGCTTCAAAAGTCATAAGAGATTATAAAACACCTTTCAATGCAGCATCAGAAGTTCATCATGTTTACCGAAAGTCGCGTTTTGCCTTATTCAACCCAGTATAAGCTAATTAGTTTAGTCGACAGCTTAATTAGGTTAAAACAATTAAAACTCTCTCCTGGAGGAAAAACAAACAGACGGAAACTTTTGTTTGCAAAGATGTGATCTTTTACAGAGCAATTAGCTTCTTAATCGAAAATTAGCTAACTTCAAAAGTCTAATAATTTCCAGATGATCAGAACGCTGGAACAACAGTTCAAGTTAATTATTCAGATGTTTGAAAAACCGAAAAGGACTGAAGAGATTACAAAACCCGGGTAATAGAAAACAAAAATAAGACTATCAGAAGCCAAAAATTAGTCGAGCCACTGATAAAGCGCAAAGACACGTTCGTTCTGGATTAAACGAGAAGCTTCGATGAAGGTTTTCGAGGTCAATTTTGTGGGGCTCCGCGTGTCGAGAATTCCATCGCGCTGGATGCCCTTCCACCTCATTCCTTCATTCGTTAATTATCCCTCTTTTTCATGATTTTTCGGCCAGACCACTTTCCTATCGGTACATTGAGAAATTTCATATTTTCTCGTCTTAAAGAGCAACGGGATCAATAAAATGAGCTGAAATTACTTCATAGAAGAGTTTGATCTTTTCAATTTCTCTTCAGGTTCATCCACTATTGAAGGGCTAGCGCGTGAAGTTTTTCGATCGAAATTTGCATATAATCTCATAATTTGTTTGAATAAACTTATTTTTTTTCTTGTTTTCTATCAGAAATTTCTAGGGTCAATTTCATTTATTAATGAGAAAACAAACGACTTGGAAAGCTAAAAAGTAATTATGCGGGAAAAAAATAGTACAATACATTCATTTTTCTCTAGCCAGATCTACAATGATCACTTCCCACACTTTCTTGGTCTGTGCATAAACAATTTCGTTCCATTTCTTATGGGAAAGTTTTCTTGTGTACATAACATCTCTGGTATATGTTTATTACAAATAAGCGAAAGCATGCCAAAAGCTGTTAACACAATATGAAACGTATGTATACCATCAAAATAAATAGAAAGTAGAAACATGAGAAAATGCAAGACGTTGCCCTCTTTATTGCTTGATTAGTTGAATTGACCCTTGGAGACTTTACCGGTTTCGCCGGTAGCACCGTACTCTGGAAAATCATGTTTGACTAAGCTGTTTCTTTACTTTTTCATTTACCGGACTTATAGTTGGTCGGAGGTTTAGCGACAGGACTTTCGACAGCCCCGCTGTTGAAACGAGCAATCAAGTCGGACACTTTTTCTGAAAATTTAGAACTTTTTGAAAAAATCCCGGAGCTTGAGAACTTTTCGGCACGGCAGCGGTATCGATCATCAGTTCCTTCATCTTTTGCTCCTCGTCTTCGACTCCGTTTTTGGGTGGCCACGATGAGTTGACCGCTTTCTTAAGTGCAACCACGAATGTTTCGAATCAGTTTTTTGAAAGACCTTGCTTCCGCCGAAGTTAGGGCTTGGCACACGGTTCTCGTTGCTCATTTCCGGAGTCTGAACGCGCTTCTCCGGCGACTGAAATACTTTAATTGAACCTTTTCAGTTATTTTTTTTTTCAACACATAAAGGGATCGTGAAAGGTGATGATGTTACACGAAATGGGCTATAATTTCAGAGTATAATTGTTCCTTTCTGGATCACCAGATTTTTCCAATAAGTTTTCGTTTGAATGTTCTTTCGAAAGTGAAAGTTGCTGAATGAGAAGTTTTTTTGTTTGATTTTATTTCAGTTATTTCTTTGTTGTGTCGTTCTGAAACTCTTATTTTCAACTGCTTAACTTTTGAAAAGTATTTTCTCCCCTGAAAAGCAGTTAAATTAACAAAAAATCACCGAAAGCTGAGAAAAATTGCGCGACGGAGAAGTCGGAGTGACGGACTTGGATCCCTTGACGTCAGACTCTTCGGCATCCTCTTTCGGAGGCTCTTCCTGCTCAGGTTCCTGCTCCGGCTCCGGCTCCGACTCCTGAGCCTCTTCCTGTTCCGCAGCATTGTTCGACACGTCCTCCTCCTCGACCGACTCTTGACCTTCCTGAAATGGTTTGTTTTGGAATGAATGTCGATACAGATGCCCGGACGTTTTTGAATTCTTCCACGTCGCTTTCTTGAAGAATCTCGGGGTCAGGTGTCTGGACAACTATTTCCTCGTGGATTTCCTCAGTTGGAGTTTCAGTATCTGAAACTTTGAAATTCTCATTTTTCACGAAATTGGTGATTTATTACCTTCGCGGGGATGTTGGTCCGCTTCAGGGGTAGCACGCTCACCCTCCATTTCTACAAAAAAAATGGTTTATTTTTTCCGCGAATGCACTTAAAAAAGCGTGTGAGAAGCAATAAAGTCGATTTATCACGTTTTGAAAATCTTCATTGGCATGAAGCAGAACTTATGTCTAATCGAAACTGCTTCAAAAAATTAAAACTTTGTAGAGTTTTCAGAACGTCAGGTCAATCAACTGCAAGAAACTAACCTAAGACGGAATAAAAAGACGGGCTTTTTTCTGTGTTTTATTCCTACACAATACTTTGATTTTTCGAGCCATGGCTGTTAAAAAAAATTATAGCAAAAAAGATAAAATTTTCTCACTTCTCGACCTAGTGCTAGATTTCGGAGTATAATCAGAGTATTTGGATGTATAGGAAGAATATTTTCTCTCATTTTCACTCGGGGAACTAGAATATGTGGATTTTTGAGAACGATCGCGGTCTCGAGAAGAAGTGTAGCTGCCATAGCGGCTCGTGTAGCTTGAGTACGGACTGGAATAAGAAGAAGAGGAGCTCATAGCCGTGGTCGAAGAAGATGGAAATGAACAGAAATTTCAAGAGGGCGCGCCGAATTTCGGAAACAAAAACGTGATGATTCATTGGCAGCCGGGAACGATGACGCGGCAACGGTAGAAATTGTCATTATTTTATGCTTTTTTGGCCTGGGAAAAACAGAAAAACGCTATTATAGACAAATAGAAAAATAAACTGCTATTTGGATGTTTGGCTGTTTTGATATTGAACGTTTGGAGCACTGACTTTTCTGAGCAACGTCATCACTGCAACATCATGGGCCAGAAATTTTCATTCTTTTTTTCAAATCAGTCAGTTTTGAGAACGGAAAAGTTTTGCGAAACGCTAAAAGCAATGCCTTTCTAGAGCTCAAGCATCAAAACAGTTGCAAAACAAAATCAATAACGATACGTCAAGCAAGAATGACGTGAAATAATATTTTTGCGACTTCCGAAAATGACCAAGAACTTCGTAGTTTTTTGTGCTCTCACTTTCCTTAAAATCAAAAATCTGAAAAGCCGACGATTGAGTCACCTTGTAAAAGTAAGAAGGAAAAATAAAAATGGAACGCTTTTTGAATTATGCGCTCCAAAACTTGCAATTCCTTGAGAGCGATACCGGATAGTGGCCCTTGCAGTATTCGGTTACTCATTAACGAGTGTTCATTTGTCTACACGCTTGCTGGATATCGTTTCACAGCTATATGTGGCAAGAGCTCGGCTAATACTGGTTCGAAAACAAGCCGCAGAAAGTTCTTTGTTAGGATTGAAAAAGACAAAAGGAGCAAAAAAATTCGAGCAGAAAGTTAAGTAGGAAGGTAGGCTATTTATTGAATCTCTCACAAAGCTGAAGAGTTTACTATTGTAAGAATAGAAAAGGGAAAAAGCAAGAGCTCAGCTCAAAGTTATCGTGGCCCGATATAAACATAGAAATGACGTTTACTATGGGAAACTGTTTTGTTTATAAGAACGTGACTCATACGGTCGATTTCAGGAAAGCGAAGTGTCAATTTTACGTTTTAGAGCACGAAAGAATTTTGAGATAAGTAGTGGAAAATTTTGAGAGAGAAGGTTAGAATAATTTTTCAAAGAAAGCTGCAGTCTAGCGAAGGTTTTGGTTCAAACAAACTATCAAGTTTATATGACGCTGAAAACCACAGCTCATTGAAAACTGGAAAAAATCGAGGAAAAATTTTCAACTGACTTTTAAACAAATGCATCGCGCTGATTCGCATCCGAAGGCGTTTGGTCTTAGACGACGAGGAGGACATGTCTTCCGAACAATGCCAACTAACCCGCCAAAGCTTTTCTCACAGTTTAATGTATGTATGGAAGGCGTCAGAACACTGAGTAATTTTCAAGCGCCGCTTTTTTGAGTCAAAAATCACTCATTCGCCTTCATTTTCCGTTCCATGACCAGGATCTTTTGTTTTTGTGGCAAAAAAAAACCTACTACCATGCATTATTGAGATGTCTGCCGAACCTTTCTTTCAGATTGAAAATCAAGGAATCGTAGTAGAGACAAAATCAGAACGGGTTCACGGTTAGTATATAAAACAGCGGATTAAAAAGGTTGCAATATCTGAATGAACGATTACACGCACGTCGCGCATGGGAGCAATTGCAATAAACGGCAAACAACGGAAGCCGACTGACCAGTGCCGAAATTTGGCAATCGGCCACATTGCAATTCGCTTCAACAAATGCACTTGTTGGAATTATAAGGAGCCTTGGCGCATGAAATAACCTCCTGGTTGTGTAGCCAACAAAATCCAAAAAGGTCGAGTGAATTGAGTAAGATTTCTTGAGTTTTAGGGTCTAAGAAATATTCCAAAAAAAAAAATGTTTTCTCGTGTTCTTGATATTTAGGCAACTTCAAAGTATTATTTTCTTGTTTTGAAAATCTTGAACAGTTCTTTAAAAAAAAACTCGTACTTCAAGATGAATTCATGAAGAAAAGAAAGGGCTAAAAACAGCAGAAAGGAGCTTTTGCGCGCAAACGAGCGCGGTCAAAGTCAGAATGCTTGGATGACACATCGGTCCGCCGTGAATATATCTAGATTTCGAAATGTCGACGACTCCTGCGACGTGATCCAATTGTTTTTTGTCTGCGCTTTTATTTTTAGAAATCTTTTTTGATGTCTGAATGAACTCTTTTAAGACAAGGGCGATGTAGTGAAGATATGACATTTCCACCGAAATCGTAATAAGAAAAAAACAGAAGTAAATAATAAGTTTCCAAAAAAAGGTAGAAAAACAAATATTATTTTGTTTCTGCAGCAATGAAAAAAATTGAAGCTTACTTTTTAACGTTTCTTCCAACTAAGAAACTAGTTTTACACATCCATCTTTGATGATTACTTTTTAGTACACTAATGAGAAAATTTTTTTGTCTTTTTATGGTTTTCGAGCTTCCAAAAAGAAGATCATTTAAAAATAAAGTTTTTAAAAGTCTTCAAAAAAACCTTCCTCAGATTTTTGACTGGGAATTTTGTGAAATATGATTAATGTTCCACGCACTCAATGAAAAAAAGAGAAGGAAATTCATTGTAGAGATTCTGGGCTCGAAAAAAATTTTTTTGAAATTTTTTTCTTTCTACGAAAAAAATCCTTTCAAACACTGTTTTTTTGTTATTTAAACTGAGAGACAAAAAAATTCTGTGAAAAAAATTTAACCAAAAAAACTGTGATAAATTCCGTGAACCTTATAAAAAAATACGGAAAAAAATCAAACAATGTTTAAAAATCAGTATGGTTTCGTCAAAGTGGCTCAAAGTACTGAAAACAGAAAAGAGTTTGGTTGCTGTTTCTAATCATAAGAAGGGCATTTGAATGGAATCTATTAACAGAAACAAATAGAAGATGTGACTGAGTTGAGAAGTGCAAGAAGGGAAACGTCCGAGAAGCAATTTGAGAGGACTGAGACCAGTGACTCATCGATTTCGACCGGCAGATGGCCGCAATTCAATTGCTTCTCTCGTTATCGCCATTTATGCTTATGCACACTAATCATCCAGAATTTTGGCCCGAAGGCAGTTCGAGAGTGCAAGGAAGGTTCCAAAAAAGGAGACTTGGATCGAGTGCAGAGGGCTTAATATGCTGTTGAATGGTTTCTGCGTGCACCGGCGACAGTCAAGGCCGCTGGCTGGCGAGCGCAACACAGCTGCACTACTCGTCAAACCCAAGGCGAGCCGATCCGCCGCGTCGTCACACCAAATTTCCATTTCCAGACATGTTCTGATCGTCGGGTTCGGAACAGATGGGGCCGTCGAGACGATTTTGTTTGGAGTCAAAGGGGAAGAAGCTTTTGACATTGGACACAAGTTTACTCACTGATTTTTTTGATAGGGTTCTCTGAAATAGTTTTTTTTGAGATAATGAAACTTCTTCTAACGCGTTTTTTTAGTCATTTCAAAAAAATATTTACGGTATTGACCATAAAATTATTTCAAAGAAGTTTTCTGAAAAAAATTCCTCAAAAAAATTATGCGAATGCTATGAAACTCCGGGGGGAATTTTACCAGCTCGTTATGAGTTTTTGTTTTCGGAATGAGATCCAATTCGCTAAATTTAGATAAATTTAGACTAGAACTGTGACCGGAAAAACCGAAACTGTGTCTTCCAAGTTTTTTGAAAAAAAAAGTTTTGAGAAAAGTTGATGGTTTGGTGAAAATACGAAAAATATGGTAAAATCAGAACCAGTTTTTGGACGTTTGATTCGAACTATAAGACCTTCGGTGGAAAAAAATAACTGAAATTTGTGAAAAGCGAAATTTCTATGAGAAGCTCATTTGCCTAATGAAAAATTCGAAAAAATCTTCAAAAAAAATGCGGGGGACGTAGCAATATTTATTGACTGGAGAAAAAAGAACACGAGACAAGAAGAAAGAACGGCTTATATAGCAAGGAAAACGAAGAAAATTGAATTTCAGGAAAGTGATCTGAGTGAAAACTGATGAAAGAAATGGAAATATAACGCGATTAAGATGGCTGAATCATAAAACACTTAATTCGATTGGGCGTGAACGACTAAAAACGTAAAAAGAAAGGCTTGAAAGGAGCAAAAAAGATCTGATCTACAATGCAAACATATGAGACATGTGGAAAAGAAGTCGACAAGTTTGAAACATTGACACTGAAGAAGAGATGATATGCGTTTCGCAAGAATAGAAAAATAAGGAAATAGCATCAAAATTACGAGAAAAAATTCCATGGCAAAAAAAGTAGGTAGTGACACTCGTACTACTTGCTAACCTAACTCGACATTATTGTTTCGATGAATCATCTGTTTTATATTTTTTTTTATCAAATTCAACAAAAAAAGAAAAACCAAGTTAAAAAAAAAATGAAGAAATTTTTTTGCCAGCGCCATCGGACCCCTCGTCAATCACAGGCGAGGTTCAGAAGGAACAGGCTAAGGTGAAGTTGTGGAAAACGAAGGCGACACAAACAAGCGATTTGGTGTGGGAAGAGGGCCAAGTCGAGTGAATGGCGGCATCATCGGTAGTGTTCCATTGAATTCGACCCGTACGGAGTCCTCTGCATCGCATATGAGATGGGCACACTCATTGTCGCCGTTGAATTTGAGTAGGCTGACATTACGTCGAACGAGTCCTGCAATAACCCCAGGTTTTTTCTTTCTTTCCCGGATTCTTCAACCTTGGAAGCTTGACGCAGTCTGTTGGCCAAGTAAATGGTAGCACACGTCGACGCCACCAGAAGGGCCAAAGTGATTCCGATGATCAGAAGGGCTTCTTTAGAAAACGCGCCACTTTCGCTCCGGCACGGCTCAGTCTCTTGGGCGCGTGCCAAGGAGGATGACGTCGCTGAAATTGCGGTTTTGACGAGCGAAAATGAGGGTCTGGTTTACATGGCGTGTTTTCGTCGAGGATCGTTAGCGTGTTACTCAAGGTGAGTTCGCTCGTCGGATCTAGGGCCATTTGTTCTTTGGGAGATCTCCGATGGCGGAACCGCAGTCGGTCGGCGTTCAGGGACGAGTTGGTCACTTTTTTGTAGCAATTCTGAAAAACATGAAAGTACTGGAAAAAGTTCATATTAGAAGGGAATGAGCTACAAAGTTGAAATTTCACCAACCTCCGAGCATTCCTCTTTCCGCAAACAAACTTGCACGATGCAATGAACAAAAACTGTACTTTGCTCACTGAACCGAAAAGTTTTGAACTTCGAAAAGTATACCTGTAAAAAAACGATTTTAATATTCATTGAGTTTAACAATGACCTGGTCATTGACATTAGCCAGAGGATCAATAATGTCTCCGAAACCCTCGAAAGGACATCTGAACTCAAATAAATTACTGAGTTTGAAGACAAAAGTTTAGTAACATACCCGCTTTGTACGAAAGTCAATCGTCTAGCATCTGGAGAATTAATATCTTCTCTATCGCTGAACACACATTCCTTCGGCTTAATCCCATGATAGGCGGCTGAAAGTTCAAAAATGTGTGAAAATCAACCAAAAAGATCGGTAAACCATCTGGCCAAAGCGCTAGGAAAAGTTCGACGGTTTCGCCTACTTTGGCTGCTCTTAAGGACTTCCCATCAACACTCCGGAAAACCATTTCGACCTTCGGTTTTGGTTTTCCTCCTGTGGACGCCATAACTTCATGGCCACTGAAACCATCGGAATATGTCAAAGAAAAAACTTCAATAATGTCGAAAAGTATTTTCTTTTATAATATAGGAAAAAAAATTATAGGGTATCTATTGAACTATTTCTTCCTGAAAACTCATTTATAAGTTTGGCAACAGAAAAGAAAAAAAATTGCTCTAATAGTTGACAATACCATTATGAACTTTTTCGTTCTCATATTGGAACAATTGAAAAACAGAAAGGCTGGGAAAATGAAAAAAAAAATGAAAAATCTTCAACAACTCACTTTGACACGTCGTTGAACCGCATAGTTTGAACGTTTCTTGTGTAAAGACAGAAAACATGGTTCAACCGCACTGTTTTAAAATAGGAAAGGTCCGCGTTGTCTTCCAGAGCGATGGTCGTTTCAGCGGTTTGATGGTCAGGTTGCTAAAAAAAACTTTATTTCAAGCGCAGCTTTTGAAAATTATTTAAGTTGGTACCTTCAAAACTCACCAAGTCAATCAAAGGTACATCACACTCTTTGCCGAATGGAATGGTGAGGTTGTAGTTCGTCAAACCTTTCTCGTTTTTCATTGATGTCCCACAAGGATGTCTGGTTTTATGACCATAAACGTAAACCTGAAGAAAGTTTTTCTCAGAAGTCCTACTGATCAAAGTTTACCACAGGTTGAGATTTTGGATCTGCAATCCATTTGACGACGTCTGGATCTGTACTGTTAATGATGACAACAAGATTGTCCGAGGAGCAAGAAACTTCTTCCACTGAAACAAGGATGGTTAAATTATAAATGGATCACATAAAAGCCTTTTGGAAGTTTATAGTGACTCAGAACAATAAGAGCTGAGCTCAAATTTCAAAATTTATTCGTGGAAAGCTTCTCTAATTGTCAACTTTTTTTAACACTAATCAGAACTGCCTAGCCATTTCCAATCAGTTCTTCGTTAATTTGGAACGAAAAAAGAACTATATTGAAAATATTTGAGAGTATTTTTCAGCAGTACTTCACCAAACAATGGGAAAATCTTCATTTCTCACCCAGAGGCAAAAAGTTAACAGAAATAAAAGAAAATTCTGCATCAAAAAGATATCTTTCTGATGACATATCGTAGCATGATACAACGAGGAAGCCTTCTCTATAGCTTCAAGATAATTTCATCTCCTGTCAGTTGCTTTGGAAAAATATTTTTTTATTTCATCAGATCATTTCGCCTCAGTCTCACTATCCGCCACAAGCTCCTCTTATAATATGGTTTTGCTTAGTTTCTTTTTCAAGGGAAGATGAAGAAAGAGAGACGACTAACGTACCGAATCCATCTTTCTGATGCTGTTGACAAATAATCTTTCCTAAAATTATAAGAAAGATCACGACTCGAGGTTTCGATTTCATTTTGTACCGACTCGAGAGCAAAGCTGAAAAAATCAGGTTGAAGACCGGTTAAAGGGAAAAGGAAACAAATGAACGAATTGATGGAAATATGGTACACAAGACGAAAAAGTGTTGATCTGCGAGAGCAACCGACTGGTCGCCATGGTTGCTGCCCATTACACGGCGCTTGGCCCACCCAATTAATCTGCGCCATTGTCCTACCACCTTCCGTGCTTCTTCCACCAATGGCAAATCGCTACCTTTCCAAGCGTTACTTTTTATGGGACAACATTCATACTCTTTTTTTTGAGCTTGAAGCTCTCGGAGTTGTAGAAAACATTCTTTACAAAAAAAAGAGTAAGGGGTTACTGTAGCCCTATCAAACTAAAAAATGAGAAAATGTGTTACGCAATCCTCATCAAAATTTCCCAAAAGAGCACTATCAAAAAGAAATTGTCACAGAGTTCAACAGCCGCCTTCTTGCAGTTAATTCAGAAATTAATCAGAGAAAAGAAAATTTAAGAGGTCGTTGATTTATTGATTTTTTTAATAAATTTTTCTAAAGTTTACAGATCAAATTTTACAGATCAAATTCCTTTACAGATCAAATTCAAAAATTTCGGACATATGATTTTCATTCAATCCGAATATGAATAATATACGTTTTGGAATGAAGCGCACTTTTGTATAGACGGTCAGTCAAATTTTTTTCATGTTCCCTCCAAAAAAATATGTGAAAAAAATAGCAAAAAAACCGTTTGAAAAACCTGCAAAAATCGTATCGTTTTTTTCTTTCTCCGACTTCGAAAAAAATTCAAGCTCTTTAGAATTGAAAAATTGTTGTGTTTCTTTATCAAACAAGTTATTCAAGTTACAGAACGATATACCAAAAAAGAATTGAAAAAATTGAGATTTCTTGCGAAAAAAAAGAGAGAGCCCATGAGGTCAGATAAAGCGTGAAAATAACGGCGAAGGAGCAGGTACGACCGGAAGACGTGAGGAAAAGCTGAACACCTGTCGGAAGAAGAATTCGAGCAGGTCGACATGACAACAGATGGTAGGCAGTGGCTATTCTTGGCCCTTCGGCAATTTGCCATCGCCACGCTGGTGTTAAACCGATCGCAGTCAGGACACTGGTTGGTACTGGCAAATCGGACTGTGTCTGGGGCGGGTGTTGCGCATATTTATTAACCCAATCAACGTACCAATATAATCCTATCGAAATATTGCTCTCCATTTCGGCCTTTTAATCAACCTTTCCCGTTTCGGACAATGATTGTTTGGATGTGGAACTGTCAAGTGTCCACAACAATGTATCAAAATAAGTGCGAAGGCCAATCTGTCGGTCTATCCAAAGCTCACGAATGAAATTTTCGAGTTTCAGGTTTGTTTGAAATTACAGCTGATTGTCTAGATCCGTAAAGCTCCATTGAGAATAGGGTACCTTTTTTTCTTTAGTTTTTAACAAGGAGTGAAAAACTCACTGTGTTTTTTTGATTTTTTTATTTCTGAAATTGTTAAGAATACTGCTCAATTCAACAAAAAAACTAGAAAAAAATGAATCCGCGAAAAATTTTTTTAATTTTTTTGAATCAGAAAAAGAGCTGAAAGTCACAGAGAACTATCGAAATCCGGTTTTTCACCTTATTTGCGATTTAGATCTTTAAAAAAAGCTTGAAGCTTCGTGAGAAGCCTTGGCAAAAATTCAAAAAAAAAAAGGAAAATTGAGAAAGAAGAAAGAAACGAAAAAACACTTTTGACAGACGCTTCACATTTTATCCTAACCGACGAGATGAAGATATCCCTCATTAGAAGGAATAATTCCAACTGCAGTCTCGAAAGCACCTGGCGCTGAGATAAGAAGCGCCGGCCGATGATCCCCCATCGACAGTCGCTTGCCGGCTCAATTAACCTGCTCTAACCGGCTATCAACCTGAACCCTTAATTGGCTGTTTGGTGGGAATGAAAAAATATGGAGAATCGGACAGGAGGTCGTTTGTTCCTTAATGCCATGAATTTTCGAAAAAAACAACTATAACCAAATTTAGGAGATATTAATGTATAGAATCAAAAACCAATATATCAAAAGCCAATTCTTAGGTTATAAAAAAACTTTCTTTCAGAACTGGTTTATCAAAAAAACTGATGTCTTCATTTTTTTCGTCTTTTTCTACGAAAAATCAAATTTATTTTATTTTCACTAAAAAAACAAGAAATATTAAAGTAATCACAAGGAGTTCAACAGGATAATACTTCAATAAAAAAAATACCACTTTTGCACAGAGAATTGAGGAAAACCCTACACGATCCATTTTGTACGCTACAGGTAATGTTATGGCTGTTTTTTTAAAACTCGTGTCGAGTTTGAACTTTGATATGTTTGAATATTATAATTTGTTTGGCCACGAACACTGGAAAATAATAAATTAGTCGATTAGAAACCGCAATCCCATTTTTTAGTGATGCAGTAAAGAGAGATGAAATTATGCAAAACCTTAGTTTGATGTGATCGATTGAAAACATACTGACGAACACTGATTGTCTGAATAAAATTCTTGGATTTTAATTAGATTCGAAATAATATTTTAACTTTTTTATGTCAGTTTTTTTCTAAATTAGTAAAAAAAATTTTTTCTGAATTCATCAGGAAAAAGGGATCGAGAAGTTCAGTTGCTTAGTGGAATACTGAGAAATTAAGTTTGGGTATTTTTCAGATAAGTAATCAATGAGATCTTCGAAACATAAATTTAGAAATAACGTTCTAAACTTCTCACAAAAACAAAATAAATAAAAGAAACTAATATCGAGAAACTGTTTGACAACATCGTTGCTCTCTTTCAGCGAACTTTCATGAATAAAAGTTCGAAAACACATGTTTTCTACACGGATATACTATTGATTATATCACAATTGTTTAGTTCTGCTCGCCATTGTCCACTGTAACCAGTGGAGGAACTCGTTTCGGTGAAGCCGTTTTGGCGGGGGACAGAAGATGGGCGTGGAGATCGGTCCGAGGCTCAGGAGGTGACGTCTTTGCCGAGGATTCTCCGCGGTACGTCGACGCTGAATTCGTTGTCGTAGGAACTTGCGACTTGGTTTAGCCGTTCGTACGCAAGTTGATGAGTTCGCTGCACTCGCCGCGACCGGTCGTCGCATGAGATGGACGTCCGTTGCGTGTGTATTTCCTCTCTGGCGTCTGGTGCAGCTGAAAGGAAAATGCGTAGAGAAGTGAGTGAATTTTTTGATGGTCAATTCTCAGAGAATTCTCAGTCGCATAGTAAAATTATCGACATTGTAAGTGAATAGTCAAGATTGTTTGGGGTTGTGAAGCAAGAAAACATCAATCACGAATAATTGGAACAGACACTCTATGATGTATATCTCCTTTTTTTGTTCTTTCAGGAAAACTTCAAAATAATTGTTTTCCACGTGTCCCAATAGATTCTGCATTAAGCACCCTAATTTGAGAAATTATTTCCTCGTTAAGCAGACGTCTTTGATGTTTGAGCAAACGACCAGTTGTTTTTGTCTACTTGCGCAATGCGTAACTCCAAGCAGAACCCGAAAAAAAATGTACTTTAAGATGTAGAAGAGTCATCGCCAAAAAAATTGAGATAAAAATTAAATGCGTCACAAAACAATTTTTTCATCAGCAATAAAACTTCGGAAAAGAAATTAGTGTACGGTTGCTTTGACTTTTTGTTCTGGATTTTTTCAGCGAACCCAGCTTTTACCTGTCGATTGAGTAAGCCGTAGAGAATGAAGTTGGAAGCCGAGTTGATGTATGGGAGCGCATGAACGCCGTACATGAAGTAAATGAAAGCGAAGGTCGGAGTTTCGTTGGCGGCGCTCAGTTGATAAAACTCTTCGTATAAGGAGTACAGAACGGAGATCCAGTAAGGCGTCCTAAAATTTTACATCTTAGTTGCAAGATTTTTTGTGGATTTCATCCCTTTTTTCAAGAACTCTGATGCTCTCATTTCGGACGGCATTTATTATCAATTGTCACCTTATAGGAATCTTATTTTTCTCTAAAAATATTTAGTAAATTCATCTGTTTGGCTTGAACTTTGTCATGCTTTTTTTGATGTTCACGTCGTCAATTTTGTTCCCTGAACTCTCAGTGAATAATTTCCTTTCAGCTTTCTCATTCCATATGTATCCCAATTAAAATTGATCTTCGGACGATGCTCCAAACTCACCAGCAAATAAAGTGAAAGGAGCAAATGGCTAACGTATAGATGGCAATGTGACCAACGGGAATCTGTAGAACCAGACAAAAATTATTATTCTCAACCAATTATTTTCCAACCTTGTCCTCCATCCCACGTCTCCCACCGAGCGTTTGTTTGATTGCTTTCGCTTGCTTGAACAGGCGTATCAGCATTTCATAATAAAAGTAAATCATGAACAACAACGGCATGAGGTAAGCCTGCAAACATATCACAAACCTATTTTTTCAATTTTTTCTTGAATAAGCATGAGTAATTTGCGAAAAAAAGCGCTCCAGAAAGTATCCTCAAGGGCAAATAGACAAAATCCAAAATTTTTTACAACGTTCAATTTTGGTTCCCTTTTCGAATAAAGTTCTTCTGAATTAGCTTTGAGGCCCACTATTTCTTTCACTGGATGATGAAATTTTTTGCTAATGTTCTGGTAAGAATTCTGGTCACAGTAAGACTGCAGAAATAGTATTCAGTCCTTTAATAAAAATGTTCATTTTAACTGTTATTGTGGCTTAACTCTCGACATTTGTCAAAAATATTTTTGAAAATAGTATCAATACATATGAACTTATGACAAACCAGAACGAAAGAATATAGAGTGAACACGACGAAAAGGCCTTTGCCCAGGTCGTCGACGCACTTGTACAGATGCATGCGGGTTATGACTTTTTGAGTCAAGTCGAACTTTTCGTGGATTATTATTTCCTGAAAAAGGGTTCATTTTTGGAAAATTTGAGATGTGCAAAGGTTACTTTTGAATGGGCATAGAATAAAATCGGGGAGAGCATCCCACAGGTCACGAGGAACATGCCACCGAGCAATATGAACACTGTCCTTTGATTTCGCATTCTCATCTGAAATTCAGTTCGATGAAAAAGGACTCACTTTTTCATTTCTAATTAACAAAAATTTTCGAAAAAAATTTTTATTCTAGAAAAAAATAAAATTACTACGTTTTTCCCAATGCATCCCAAAAAAACTTTGAAAAAAAGTTCGAACCGTCAACCTCCCACTTTGATTTTTTTTTTTGTTTCGGAACTATCTCAAATTTCATCGAGAACAACCTGAAGTGGATGACAAACAGCACAGTACCGGTCGATCGAAAAAGCCACCAAAATGAAGGTGCTAAATGTGTTTTCTTTTTCTCTCTAATGAAAACCACACTGACCTGAAGATCTTTCCAATGTGCTCCAACAACCTGAATAACTTGCAAGCAAAGGTGTCGAACATCCAGAACCCTAGTATCTAGAAAATTTCCATTTTTTTTGCTCTGAATTGTTCAATGATACCTGGTCGATGATTGTCATTGGAAGGGGCAACATGCTTAGAAAATCGACAACGCAAAGAATACAAATATAGGTGAGTGTGGTGTTGTGACGAGATCTAAATTGGTCATTCAAAGCGTTTTTAATAATTTTGTCCTTAAATCTGAGCTGAAAAGGGATAAAAAAATGACAAAAACTTTTTTTGATTAATCAGTTTTCGTCAAATTTTTTTGGTTTTTTTTGTCGAAGTTTTTTTATACATTTTTTTCAGATTTAAAAAAATTTTTCCGCTACTGGTTCCATTAAGATTCAATAACCTTGAGAAGTTTAGAAATATTTTTTTGATATTTTTGATTTCATTATTTTGAGCAATTTTTTTCCCATTTTGAGCCTCTTAAGCTCTTGTTTTTTTCTAAAAAAATCATTGAGATTTCATAAACAAAAAAACAACCTTGCGCCTTGGCTTTTTTTACATGGTGAACAACAGCAAGTATCGCGGCATTTCCACAAGTTCCAAACATGAAGAGCAGAGCGTAGAACCCGGCGATGAGCATGAGCGAAGAGTTGTCATGGTTCGAAAGAGGAAGAGCATAAACCAAGGTGTACTGCAACCCATTTTTCTTTTCAAACAGCTTTTGGGATCATTTAACCAATGACCCGTTTGCTGCTAATCGAAATAATTGAGTGCGATAACTTCTTTTGTGACAGCTAACATTTTCGAAACGGCGCCGCAAATTTTTCCAATTGAATATTTTATTTCATACCAATTTAAGTAATATAGCCAACTTTCAATACTCGATTCATTCAACTCTGTTCGCGTCATGAAAACTATTCTAATTTACATGTATAATTTTGAATAAATTGTGCAACCTTCCTGAACTTTGAGCTTTCGAACACTTGAGATATATCTCGAGCTTTCAACGATGTTTTTCCTCTTAAAACTTTCAAACCAACTACTTTGAAGTTCTACGCATTTTTTTTGAAACCTTTCTCATCATAAAAAAGCGCAGTTTCAATCTGTGAATCATGAAATTTTTGAAAAAGTAACTTCATTCGCCAAACTTTTTTTATTTTGGACGCTGTGGACAAGTTATTTGAATGTTAGAACTGAAAAAAATCCTTCTTGTAGGAAACTTTGCTGAAACCTGATTCTTCGGATAATTGGAGCGTACTCGTTGAACTCATCCAGTTAATCACTTCCAACAGTTTTAAATTTTCAACAAACATACTTACATTTTCATAGACAGTGTCTTTGAACTGTGCAATGCCCTGCATGACTGTGCCAGCAGAAACTCGAAACGTTAAGACATCGGAGATCACTGGAAAAAATAACTCGTAATTAGACAGAATCGGGGGCGACAAAGATGCACGACCAAGTATCAAGTTCCGAAATGAAAAGGTGCGATTAGACAGACCGTGATAACTCGACTGAAGCCAGCCTATTGAAATGGAAAAATATGTGAGAACTCTACGGGGAATGGAGTTTTGACGACAGCAAGTTCTTTCGCAAAGGCGGCAGTTCGGTGGAAATAATTTCGAAGCGAATATCTCATCTCCCTTTGTGCTACCTTTAAATAGCGTTAAATGTGAAAAATACGCAAAGTGCACTGGCACTCACTCTATTTTTTCGCCTATTTGGTCAAGGCTCTTTAAGAATGGCAGCGAGCTTTTGGAAAAATGGGGATGAAATAGGGCAGGATTGAAATTCGGCGATTTGAGAAGTCATTAACGAAGCTCCAGTCAGATATGAAATGAAAAGAGAAAGAGAACAATATGATGTCACAGAGTGGCAGAAGTTGAACAGAAAGCCGTGAGTCAACAGAACTTAAAAGGGTAATTAAACAACTAAAGGGCGGACTGTGGCTGGAAAAAGACTTATTATCGCATAACTTATGGATTCAGCGGGCAATTGTGGTTGGTGTAAAGAAAGCTTTGCATCGAGGGAAAATATGAACATTTTGAATACAAATATTTCTCCCAGAAGTCATCTGACCAAAAAAAAAACGCTCTAATGATAAAGATTGTTTAATCAGCTTAGGCAAACTTTCAGACAGTAGATATAAATTTTTGAGTCCCGATGAACCTGCTTAACTTGTGGTTTTGAAATTTTGAGAGAAAAGACTGAATTCTTGAACTTTACACGCCAGCTGTTATTCTTAGAGAAGAATGACGTCAAGAAAGGCGAAGGTCATTTTCTTAGAAAGACTGTTATTTTTTTTCGTGAAGAAAGTTAAGTTTGATAGAAAATAAGCAATCATTTTTCGAATAGGAGCAAATCGCCTCTGGAAAGCAAGAAAAAATCGTTCGAATCTGAATAAACTCGTTGTTGTTGTAGTCTTTCGTGGCGCCGATTTTTTTTTACCAAGGTTCTCCATGGAAAAATAGATAAATTTGTTTTTTCAACTTTTTTATTTGGAATCAAACATTGTTCAAATAAAAGTTATGAAAATCTTTAATAAGGCTCTCTTTTCCAAAAACTCACGATTCCATTCGAATTTCGTAAATTTTCGAGCATACTAAAGTTTAGAAAGTTTTTTTTACCGTTTCTCAGCTCCTGGATTTTACTCAAAAAAAGACTATGCCACAAAAAAGATGTCCCAAAATGAAGTCCTTTTTAACTGAAACGAATAAAACAGCCCGTTAACAGGTGAAGTTGAATGGAAAAGGCTGAGAATGCGTTGGAGAATTCATCTGCACTTCTTAATAATTCGATGAGGGCGTTTTTATTCTTTGCCAGTGAAATTTTGTAAAAAAAACTATTGCGACGGTCCTCGTCCCACAAAATTTTGAGAAATCGAGGATGAAAAAAAATTCAGCAAAAAAAAATCTCTCAGTGATTTCTTTCAAGTTGGAACATCGGCTGATAATTATACGAGGCGGGCATTTGAAGAATTCCATCAAAATGAGACGATAAATGCTTTCGACACTCGACTGGGTAATTTAGATAGATTAAACACTACTTTCAGAGAGACGTTTTTTTTGTCAGGGTTCATTCTATACTTTATTTCTCGTAGTTTTTTTTTAAATTTTTAATGAAAAAAAAAATCATCGTATTTTGCAATCCCAGACACTTAGAAGTAAAAGTAATGACTAGAAGTTCTCACACAATGACAATCTGGAGGCGAGAAATGTTTACTTGCAGAAGAAAGGGAGCGGGAAGAAGATAACGGCGGCAGAAACATCAGACTAAGCAACTGAGGAATCAGCAGCCCGAGAAAATGCTAATGAAGTAACTGAATCATACTCAGACGCAAGTAGACATTTGAAAAACCTTTCAACTCCTACTCACATTTCAAAAAAGTGGATATCATAAGGTAAAGAAGTGAGCAGTCAATTAGGCGAACTTCGAAACAGGAAGAAGGACGGCTGGTGAAACATCGTTCCACTAAGAGATGAGTTTGGCTAATCCAATTAAAAAGTCCTCCCAAGGTGTCATTGGCAGCAGAAATCTCAAAAAGGAAACAATCGCTACTTCCGTCATATCCCAAAACTCCATTTTAACCTTGAAAATAAACGTGTTGTATTTAGCCAAATTTAAAATTCAAAGGGGAACCCGCATAGGAAATGAAGTCTGCAGATTCCGGTAGCTCTTCGATGCGCCATTGCAAAAACAATAGCAAAGCAGCATGCTTTAAAATGCCACCGGCAAAAGGAAAGTAACAAATAAAGTACCTCTTCAAAATATGAACGACTAGGGAGGGGATATGGCATCGAAACTCAGAAGCGTCTAGGCTTACGGTTTGATGGAAGCCAAGTTCAAGGCGACTTTCAGAAAGGAAATAACTCTTGATTTGTGGCCATAACAATTAAATTTAATGAAATTTTCTAGAAAGATGAAAGCAGATACATGGGAAGATTTGATGGTGAAGCTTATTAACGAATAAATGAACTGCTTTGGCAGAAGAAGGGAATATTTGTTGACGTTGGCTTTGGTAACCAATTGGCATACGTGTGTGTTGTTCGCTCACGCCATCTACCGCACGCAAATTTTTTAAAATCTTTTGAACGACGTGGGACTTTGTCTTCCTTGCGGATTTCAGATGAAACCTGAAGCCCGACTTCAAACCTCGACGCAATACATTTTTGACTTCAAGTCCAATTGCCTATGCATTTATGGGATAATCCGACGGCGACTGGCTCCCCGCGTGTGAAATGCTACTTTTCGAACGTTTCTCAGGCTAAACGTTTGCTCGCCGTTTTGTTATTTGCTCAGACTGTTCCGAAATTCGAGCTCTGTACAGTTCCGAAGTGTTCTGAAAACGTTTAAGGGATACTGTGTGACGAACATCAGCCAAAAGGTATATTGTACTCTGAAATGACAAGATTTATGCATGACAACATCCAGTAAGTGGTCTCTGATGAGGTAGATATGCTCAAATTCGTGATGTAGACTACGAAAAAAGGTTCTTGGATGAAACCTACACATTTTTGCGTGGGAAGATGAAACTGAAATCTTTTCTGATGGGAAATTTTCCCATTTATCAAATCCTAATTATGGTTCCAAAAATTAAAAAAAAGCGAAAAGGATTGTTGGACAAAAACATCTCAAATGCAAATTTTTGGGATCTGAACTTTGAGTTTGACGTAATTTTTGAGAGAGAAACCCTTTTAGAACTACAAACTCACGTGGATATCAAAACTGCGCGAATGAAAAAGCCAGAAAAGAGTTAGTCTTAGCAAGTTCTAAAAGGAGCTTTTTTGAAAATGAAAAAAGCTAAGATTAAGAACCGAATTGTCCTATAATTCAGAAAAATAGATAACTAGTTCCGAATGAAAAAAATAGCGTTGTTTGTACTAAAACTTCAATTCGTCATTGGTTTAGTTGTTGACGTATTCTGCTCTCCGTAGGATTCAGTCGAAATGACATTAAAAACCAGCAAGAAGATCTATATGCAAATGGCCGCGTAAATTACTGACGCCACATTACCCGATATATAAATGAGAAAATTCCTTTGAAGAATCTTTAGCAGACTGCGTGCTTCCCGCCGACCCACGGACAAAACACTCGCTTTCGGGTGTTCGGAGCACAGCAAAGACGAGTAGTGAGATTCGTACCTACAAGGCTGCACACCCGAGCTGATAGTGCTTCCTTGGCGTCCACCGAGAACTCGCAGCAAGTCCGGCGCACATCCCAATCATCACTTGGAAATTAACACGTCGACCAGAAAGCAAATGTATTTATTTTGGATGCCGGAAGGAGTCGTCAAGACAGAATATCTTATTTCCTTTGTGCGCCTTGCTAAAATTTGAATTCGTAGGGAGGTTCTCAGGCGCAGATCCGATGCTTGAGCGTGTTATTCAATTATTTTGCTTTCTCGTATTAATTGAACTCAATTTCAATAAGCGTCTTGATTAGCGGCTTGTTGGGAATTTGGAGCGTTTCTGCAACAAACAAGCTGTTTGTGAATTGATTCACGATCAGCGAGGAAAAAAGCGTGTTTAAAGTGCAATGGATTGACCGGATGTTTGAAATTCCTGGGAAGTTTCCATGAATCGCAAGCTTTGGGTTCAAAGTTTGAGAAAAGCAGAGAAAACGAAAAAAAGCTCGGACCTTTTTTTGAGTTCAAAATTATGCTTAATTAATTAGATTATGAGCCTTCTGCTTTTGCTCATTTTTATTTGAGAGCCTTTTTTTATCAGAAAAACTAAAAAAACTTCGCTTATGGAGAAAAATAATAATGATGATCAATTTTTATGAAGAAACCTTTCTGTGCCATTCTATCCTCAACTTGCACTTTTATTATGTTTTTGTTTCAATGCATAATGATTAAATAAACAATTGCTAGAGCATTTTTTTTGATTAATGACTAAATTCTGACTCACAGCTTTCAATGATTAGAAGCCACATTTTTGATCTTAATAGCAAAGATCAAACAGGCGCGAAAGCATTGAAAGACAGTTTGGCGGGAATTTTGCGCGCCGCGGATCTCCCATGGACCTTTCCCGTTCAAATCTCCTATCGATTTTCCCTCTCTTCTTCGTTTTCGCCTTTTCGTTCGCTTATCCGTTGCCGTTTTATACGAATTTTCTTTCTTTTGTCGTGAATCATCCTTTTCACTTTCCTTGTGATAATATTGCAGGCGTATTTTCCAAATCTTGTGGTGGTTATTATTTCTCACGAAGCCATATTTATGTTTTGTTGGGGGTGCCGGTATCCAATTTGTTCTTGTTCACCGAGAGAGAATTCTTTCGTTTCTAATTTTATGATTTTTGAAAAACAAAAAAAATTGAGAATGAGAATCAAAAAGGAAAAATTTCTGTGATATTGAGAAAATGGAGTTACAAGAGACTGATTTTTTGATTTAAGGGATTTTCAAGCTAATTTTTTTCAAAATGTTAATTTCGATGGTAGAAAAATGTTATCATTCAAACGAAAGTAAAAAAAATTCAGTGTAACATGCACTTTCAAGTGCATGCACTGATAAAAATATAAAAGGTCAAAATTCCTTTTTATTATGCCTTTCAAATTTTTTCTGATCAACTCTTTCTAATCTCAAAAATGTTTATGACGCTAATGAAGTGGTGGACACTAATTAGTTCAGTATTTCACAAAAGTCTGCTGAGAAGTTTTATGGAGCATAAGGAAATGCGAGAGAGACCCAATTTGCAAGTTCATCAAGCTTTCTCTAAATGGGACAGAGCCGTCGAGCAAAAAGCTATAAGCGGAGGATCGTTGTGTTTGGCGGACGCGCGTTACGCGCTCCGCGACTGTTGTTTACCGACGCGGCCTCAAGACCAAGCCCAATTCCCCCTGTAACCTTAAGCTTTTTCCGAGCAATTATTCGCCTCACTTATTCTGCTCATCTTTTGAACTCATAAAAGGTAAACTTCAATCTGAGTTTAGTTTGAGGTGCAATAAAATAATGCAGATGTCAACCTCAGTTTTTAGTAAGATCAAATTATTTTGAATTTTCAATAAACCTGAGTTTGGGTTCGAACTAACAGGTTTACTTGAGCAAAAAATCAAAAATTATAGGACGTTTCGAAAAAGTTATTGAACTTTTATCTTGGTTTCACAGTGAGCAGTTAGATTTTTTTGTAGATAAATTATGGAATCAACCACCTTTCTCAAATGTTTTCAATTTAAATCTGCTAAAGCTCAGAATTAGCTAAACCTCAATGCAAACATGTGGAAAGTTTATTCATAGAAACTTTTTTTGTGGAATTTTATTTCTGTTCGCCTTTTCGTTGAAATAAATGCTCAAACTTAAGTTAAAAAAATTTTAGCAAGTTTCCTTGAAGTTTTTTTACAGCTGACAAAAAAATGCAATCAGTACTAACAACCTGTTGCTATTTTTTTGATATTTTAGGCAAAAAAAGGCTGATAAAAAAATTTCCATACTAATCACACAGATTGATGTTAATGCAACTTTTTTGTGATAATTTCAACGATTTTTGCTTTTAATCTTTGTTTAATGCTCTATATTTTCTCTCAAAAAAAGTTTTGTTTTGAATTCCGGAGAAATAACAAAACAAAAGTTGTGGCGGCGATCGAGCGATTTGTATGCCGAAAATGGCAAGTGAGGGATGATGGAAGAGTGGAAAAAGTGATGGATTGCGATGAACAATAGACCCCATCAGTTGAGGTTGTATTGTTTCGAGACGGTGCGAGGAACTAATCGATCGGTCGCTCATTTGCCTCGTTTTCGATTGGGGCACCGCTGAACGACGCAAAGGTCGCTCCGTTGCTCTGCCCTCCTTCTTCTTTCATTCTTCTTCTTATTCTTGTGTTTTTTCCTCTTTTTTCGGGGCTGTTGTGCCATTTCTCCTCACATTTCTGATTGTTGCACGGAATCCAAGCAGCGAGGGAACTTCTGCACTCACCCTTGGGAATCGTCTGGCAACAAATCATTTGAAATGCGCGCATCTTGCCCTTAACCCGAAAATTCTCTCCTCATCGCTCGTTCGTCCTTCCCGTCTTCTTTTTTTTTTACCACGGATGAGCTTCCCGTTTTTTTTCCGTGTTCTTTTTTTCATTTTTTTGTTTTCAGCTTCACAAAACAACCAATAAATAAGAAGGTCGTTGTGCGTTTTTTCAATGGATAGCGTTTATAATGGCGCCGCCGACGCTTCAAGGTTTTATTCAAAATTTCTTTGCAGTTTTTTTGAACTTTCTCTGCTGAATAAGGTTTAAATATAAATTAGGTGGTTTTTTTCTTTTTTTCCAAGTTTAATAATAAAAGCTAGTCTCATTTCAGTTGTTTTCAAAAAAATTCATTACCCTCCGAAAAAAAGGATTATAGAGAAAAAAACTGATCAAAATTTATTTTCAAAACTGTTTTTTCACTCGTTTTATTATAACGTTTGTAGCTCACATCTTGACACACTTCCTTCGGAAGTAACCGAGTTAGCCGCCAAGTACAATTACGTATTATCAGAAGACCGTAGTATTCAAAAAGAGGTATATTCGATAGGGAAGAATTTGACCTTATCAATTGTTTCAGGTAATCCTCTTAAAAAAGATCATCCGTGAGGCACTCAACAAGAAATTGAAAATAAAAGCTGGCTATGCTCAAATACAGGTTAGTTTTTAAACTTTGCTTTGATTTTCTGTTGGGTTTTTTCTTCGAACCTGTGAAAATCTAAGACACGCAAGGAAACATCAATGAAAAAAAAAAGAACAAAAAAGGGAAAAAATATTGATATCTGAGAAACATAAAAGGTTTCTCAATGAATATTTCGCGTTTTACGTTGTTAATCCCACGATTAATTGTTTACAGAGACTGACGCATGATCGGCGGCAACAAGACTTTTTGAAAAAAGAGTTCCGGGAGCTCAGCGAACAGATTTCGGATATGCAAGATGATCTTCAGACATTAGATGTCTATGATACCGGCGCATTTGGTAAATTCGCAGGACCAAAGTTTGAAAAACGAAAACACAACTGTTAGGAATAACGTAGTTATGTAGGTAGTTTGTGAATGTAGTTCAGTTTTGTTATTCTTGCTCCAACCACTTGAAAATCACTTCACAGGAAATTTACTAAGAGTATTCTTTCGAGCCACTTGAAACTGGAACGACATTTACAAATCAAATTATGCCAGCAAAAAATGAAATACTTTTTTTCCCAGGAGAATGAAAAACTGAAAAAAAGCGTACTTGTACCGAGGTAATCATTATTAAAACTTAGGCGACGACGATGTCACCGATGAGATGACGTCGAGTTTGAGGAACAATCTGTCGGACAACGACACGGAGAACAACCCGCGGCTCGTTTCTCTGCAGGTCCTTATAAAATTCTTTGAATTTATTCAACAATCCGTGTTTTCAGAAGGATCTCGAAAAAGAGCAGAAAGTCAAAAAAGGGCTCGAAAACTACTTGCGTAACGCGACTGTCAAACAAACGTGTCGCAATGAGTCGCAGAGTCTTTTGGAAGTAAGTGAAAAGTTTTGAACGGGGCGAAAATGAATGATTACAGGATAGCCGAGCTAAAATCGCTATGCTACGGATGCAAATTGATAAAATCAATCAGGACCATAATGGTTCAGCAGGTAGAGGTTGAAAACATTTTCATAAAAAAAGTTAACAAAGTTGAAGTAACTTTTTATCGAAAGAAATTGTTCAGTTTTTCGATTCGAGTCGCTGAAAAAATGCTCAGAGTTCAAAAAAAAATTACAGACATCGAGAAAAAGTCAAAGACGGAAATAGTCATCGAGGATCTTCTCTATCGATTCCACAAAGAGATGGCATTGATGGACGGAGCTCGGAACATGCTCAGAACTTTGAGAGCTCAAAAGAAAAACCGATGCCAAGAGCTTGAACGATGTAACTCTTTTTTTTCTCCATTTTATCAAAAAAGTTTATTCGAAAAACAAAACAAAACTACAATGTAGTTTCAAAAAATTAGAGCTCTTGTGAAACTACAAAGTGATTTGAACTTCAGTTAGAGTAATTTGAAAACGGAACACATAGCTTGAAAAAAAGTTGTACATTTTTGAAACCACGAAAATTAGTCTGCCAGAAAAAAATCTGAGTGAGATTTTGTTTGAAAGAATTTGAAAACACAATGAAACATCGAGATCCTTGCAGGCATCGCAAAACTTTGTGCAATCTGCGGAGAAAACGGACCTCATTCACATGTCTCTGCTTAAGTATTGGTAAATTAGCACGTTTGTTGAATGATTAATGCTGTCAATTGCAGCAACCAACTTCCTTTGGATTGTGCGCGCCAGAAAGAACTGATGGAGGAGATCGGAGAGAGCAAAGTACCGTCGCCGCCGCATATGCGTCTGCAGGACCGCTTCACTCCGCCCAGTTCCGTCGTCGGCCAGGTTTATCCCACTCGCTAATCAAACTCTTGTGAAAAATGGATGGGAGAAAACGGGAAAAAGACGATCAAAAAGTGAAAAATTGCGCTCAGATGTTTTAATATGTGGTTAGGCAAGATGAATTCCCACATTTTGAAATTCCGTTCAAAGATGGACGAATATTTAATAAAAGACTCCGGTGTATTGAGAAGAGGACGCTTAAAGGTATCTTTCATGGAAAGTTTGGAACTTTATAGATTTTCTCAATCCTCTCAATTTTTCTGGACAGATTAGCTCTTGAATAGCTGCACTATTTTTTTTTAAGTAGTGAGAAGCCTCAAAAACATCTTTTTCGACTTCGCTTCATTTTAAATCTGCAAAGTTGTTCAAATTTTCAAGTTCAAAATTTGTTAGAGATACTAAAACATCAAAAAAATAAATATAACAAGATAGAAATGTTTTTTTGTTGGAAATGGAGTATATATATTTATATATATTTAGCTAAAAAAATTGAAGTTTAAGCAACACGCCTTTTTTTATAATTCTCTACTGTGAATTGAAAAAAATAAAAATCAGTTTGGATGATCGATGGGAGTATTTCAAACTCTCAATGTTCAGTTTTGAAAACCCCTCTCCCAGTCTCAAGCATAAAATAGAAATCAAATTAAAATTTTTTTATCAAGTTTAAAACAAATATGAGGTTTGACATTGAACATGCAACTTTTTATCACAACACTTTGTTTTTTGAGAAGTTCCAGAAATACTTTCAAGATCGAAAAAAATTCCCACCAAATTCCATAATTTAATCAAACCACTTTTGAAGTATCTTCTTTCTGAACAAATTCACTTCCTCTTCGTCTTTTTTCAATGTTTCGTTAAAAAAAAAACGGAAAACGGAAGTTGAGCTTTTCTAATCTCTGCAAATTATCAACGGAAAAAAGGGACTGATAAGACGCTCAAATGCAAAAAAATTTCGCATTTTTCGAAAATCCTACTGAGATTGAAGAAGAAATGATTTTGCGAAGCTGAAGGTGATGAAAGAATAACCGACAGAAGAAGTCGAAACGTAGGGATGGGTCATGCGGAAGCGAATATTTTCTAAAAACTCTTCTGACGCATCGGAAAAATGTGAGACGCATCTGAGCATGTACATAATCGTCTCCTAGGTTTCAAATTTACGCTTAGATTCAAGCCCTCACGCGCGGAGGAAGTGACGAGGATTGGAACAAAGAAAAGCCATTTTGAATTTCGATCGTAAAATCCAGAACGAAAATTTACTAATTTTGTAAAGCGTTGTCTTGGTTTCGAAAATGAAAAACTTGTCTTACTGTAATTCTTTGTCAACAACAAAAGTAGGAATTCCAAATGACTTCCGAAATGGAGAAAGTCTAATTTTGTTCATATAAATAAAGCAGATTTGCCGAGCGTTCTTTCCGGGTCGACCCGTCGTTTGGAGTAGTCATTTCAAAGCGAACCAGGTCGCCCTGGGGCGACCCATCTCATTGGCACTTCCTACATTAAAGCTTAATTTTTTTATGAACAAATCAGAAATAACTCAGGGGAAGTGCTTATAAAAAAAATTGAAGAAAAAAAGGGAGGGACTTTTTTTCGAATTTTTCGAAAAAAAGTAATCTCGAAAGCCTTATCTAAATGAAACATCTCCGAGATTTCAGCTCGATACTTGAAAACGAAACTTTAAATAGATTCTCAAGAAAAAATAGGTTTTATCAAGACTAACTATTGAATGGTAGTAGTTGCTTACATGGCGTCATAAACCTTATTATGAATGGAAGCTTTATCCGCAGAATAATCTTTGCTGGAAGTTTTTTTCCAATCTGACGAGTCCAAAAAGATCAGTTTTGAAAATAAGCGCATCTTATTTTCAGGACTACGTGAACACTGGCAGTTTACCGCGGAACATCTACGGGCGAAGACACAGCATCATGCCCCCGACCCTTGCCATCAGCGGGAAGCTCGAAGTCTGTAGTAAAAATACTCTCAAATTGAAACTTTTCCTGGAGCCAAACGGTCTATTTTGGAGAACTTGGAAACTATATTTTTGGCAAACTACAGATATAAAATATGAACAACTAAAATTTGTGAACTTTCAGTAGCAAAAAAATAGAGAAGGAGATTTCAATATTCTTGAAGTTTGTACAATTTCAAGTTTAAGAGTACTATACCGAAAATAAATCATACTAAAAAAATTGCGGAGGAAAAGATCACGGTCTTTATTTTTGAGCCGCTACCGCTTAGTTTCCTGTTCGAACAAGCGAGGGAAGTCTTAAAGCAAAATTCGAAAATAAATCAACTTTTCTCTAAGGATCTTCAAAAAAAAAACTATCGCAATCTAATAAAGATATGACTAGCTCGAAACGTCAACGTTACTCTCATTTGCATCCACTTTTTCATTATTTTTAGCTTTCAACTATTTTGCAACACCTCAATTTTTTGCCTGATGATGTGTCATCGCTCAAAAAGTTTCCTTAGTGGTATCAATTTGCTGAGACCCTCACTTTGCCGCTTGGAAAGGTTTCATAAAAACAGAATTAGTCATCTGCATATCGTCTTGCATGATCAGTTTCCATGTAGGTTCGTGTGATTGGCTGTGTGGCAGTTGTGAATGAAGTGGCAAATCGCGCACACCGTACCGAAGCCCTGGGAGTTTCCGCGTCGAGCGGCCTCTCTTTTCCGGACTCTTCCAACAGCAACTCGAGCTCCAGATCCAAGAGTCGTGGTCCTGTTCGCACTATCAGCGGGTTTGTTGCACAAATATCTCAGGAATGTAAAACGAGGCCGGAGTTTCAAAAACGACAGTCTGTAGGGAAAATGACGCGATTCCATAAGATGCAAATTTTTTTCGGTTTGATCATTCTTTGCGTCTGCATACATGGCGCTTTTTAGGATAACGCATACTGAAAAGCGCAAACTTTTGAAAAACGGCTTTGTTGTACATTTTATTTATTTTGTTTCAAAGTTTGAAATTAAATCAAAAATAGTGGACTACAAAGAGAATCCCCTCAAAAACAGTTTTTTTGCCGTTTGGAAAGTTATTGGCTACCCTAGACGCAAACATTAAAATTTTTTTGATTCTTTTGAGATGGGAAAAACGCAAATTTGAAAATTAAAAAAAATTTCGATCAGATCTTTGAAAGCTCCCAACTCGACATTGCAAGTTTCACGTCGTCTTTTTTTTTTGAGTTCCGTCTCGGTAGTAGCACTTTTTATAAATTTTGTTTCAGAATACCTTTTTATTATTTTTGTAATGCTCAATATTGTGAGTGGAATGCAATTATAGAAACTTTTCAGCATTTTCGCTTTGCGAAAAAACCTTTTGACTGTGAACATAGTACTTTTCCAGTTCCGGTGATGAAGTTTTTGTTGTCTTGCGAGTCGACAGCAAAATTGTCGCTCAGACCGACGCTCGACCTCTCGGACACAATCTCTGGGATCACAGATTCGACTTGGAACTTGATCGAGTAGATTAAAATTTTTAAGGTTTTGCTATAAAAAATGAACTTTCAGTCGAAGGAGCTGGAGTTTGAAGTATTCTACAGAGACGAGCGGTCGATGTGTGCTTTCGCAATCGTGAAGCTGAGCAACTTGGTCGAGAACCCGTCGAAAGTTGGAATGCTGGTGCAACTCGAGCCTCAAGGACAGCTTTTTGTGCAGGTTTCCCTATCTTCAATTTCTCTTTCAGATCTGAAGTTGAACGGGTCAAAGTAAATCAAATTTTTTAAAGAGGAAAATAGTTGAATCGCCGAGAATCGAAAAGCCGTGGCAGTCAAAGAAAGTTCTCTGCAGTATTTTCCAAGCTTTTACTAGAGTTTCAAAAAAGCCAACTTTACGTGGCTCATCAAACAATGCGTTAGTTTAGAGTAATTAACTGAACGGGATTAGTGAATAATTCTTTTTTGCTGCATTCGTTCTTGTACTAGAAAAGTTGGCAACAAAACGCCGAAAATTGAAAAGTTGCTATTATTTCTAACGAACATGCAAGTCAAGGTAGACCCCAGCTCGGACCTTAGTAAGGCAAACTGGACAAGCCCCGGACGTTTTTTAACATTTCAGGTGACCTTTTTAGTAGTTTTAGCATTTTTGAGTGATTCCTAGAACTGCTTAGAAACGTCCGGAGCGCGCCCGTATTTCGTTACCGAGGTCGAAAGGTTTCTTCTACAAAAAAAAACAACGAACGCGTGTTTAGAAAAAAAAAAATTGGATACCTTAATATTGGAACAATTCAGTTCCACTACCTGAATCCAGTGGTCAGCCGCAAGCCTAAACTCGAGCGGCAGAAGCGTCTTTTCCGTGTTCGAGGTTGAACTGAGTGAAACGGACACCGGATTTCTATTTTTTCAATTTTAGAAGGCGCCGATAACGAAGGCGTCAAAAAGCAATTGGGAGTCTTTGCCTTCTCACGTCTTCTTAGAAGTCGTGGTAATGAACCCATTGTCGACTTTGGTAAAGGTGAGTCAGAAAAAAAGCTTTCATGCATCCGATTGAACTCTCAGGTAGAAGCTCTGCCTCTCAATCGCAAGAACTGGGTTACGAACGCAACCGGCCATTCAGACAATCCATTCACGCTGTCAGTCTTTCATTGATCTCTTCTTTTGAAAAAAAGAGCTTTAAAGAACTTTAATTATTTCAGGCGTTCGGTGCCAAACGTGCTGCCAACAGCAAGAATGTCCCTATTCCCAGTGGCCGCGAGGATAAAGATAAGGTATAACACTCTTCCCACAATCTTAGGACAAATAAGACAAGTTTATGCCGACGGAAGTGTAAACGACAGGCACATACTGTGGTCTAAAAGTAGTTATAAAAATGGTTGGTGAAAAGCAGTAATGAAAAAAAAACCCTTTTTTCCCTTCAAGCGAAAAAAAGGCTCACGAGTGATTTTTAACTCAATGCTTTGATTGATGTTCAGAAAAAAAGAAAAACGAACAGGAAGATTAACTATTAGTTAATTAAAAATGACTTCAATATGATAATGAGCGGGAATTATTCAAAGCAAAGTTTTCCAAATGTCGTTAGAGTTTTTTTCTGTGAACGTCAAATTTCTAGCTTTTCTCATAGGAAATTCAAAATTTGGTTTATTTGGGAAATCACTTTCCCAGAGAATGACGAATTAGAAGCAAAGATCACTTTGTACAAAAGCAATGATTCATGGATAATCGATTCTGAAATAAACAAAACTTCTGCTCGAAACAAGGCATTTCATATCCGAGCTCCCAGTTATTCCATCTGTCGCCTTTCTAAGAGGAAATTTCGCCAATTTCTGACTGCCTTTTTGATTTTTATATTTGCATAAGTGTTTTAACGACGGTTATTGCAGCGCTCTCGCATCATTTTTCCTTTGAAAGATTTTGTTTTTTGCTCTTTTTCATCAAGATAAAAGTACAGTGGGACGATAAAATTATTCTCGCTGTACTTTGTAAAAAACCCAAAAAAATTTGTAGTCATAGTGAGACTTCATTTTTCGATTTCCTGTGAGTCTTGAAAAAAAAGAGTATTTCCTCTTTTTTTTTAAACTACTTATCACTGAAATTTATTTTTTTAGCGCTGAGTGCTTTTAATAAATATAAATGCGTATGCAAATACTGAAGCTTTTTGCTGGTTTTTTCCTGATTTTTTTCTTTATACTTGTAAAGTACTGCTTTCAAAAAAATCTCATAAATGCAACTAGATGAACATTTTTTTCTAAGGAATAGAACACAAGAACGCCTGGAAAAACTGTAAAACTAATGTTTTTGTATAATCAATAATCGAATTATAACAAATGTCGGTCAAAACAAGTCAGTTCAAATGCCGAACTCCGCCTCATTTCATCATAAAAAATGTCGTTCTTTTCAAAAAGAGTAGAAAGCCGGCCAACTTTCTTAGAATTGTTTGTCACTTTAATGTTTGTCTAAGGCCTTGAGCACTAATTCACAGCTGTTTTTCGGAGTAACCTGAGCAAGTTCAAGAAGTATTTATTTAGTCAAACTCGAAAATAATCTGTGAAGCACCTGCTAAAGTATCCCACTTAGAGTTTGTCTCAATGATGGGTGTCTAATTGAACACCACGTAATTTATTACTTAATTTTAAAAAAGCACTGAATCATATTGTAATTTGCTTGTCTCCTCCTACTCATATTCGTGGTAGGAAGTTTCATGAGCTCCGTCATTTAAGACTTCAACTCTTTCCCAGATTCTGTGCTCCGATTCAAATGGGTAATTTCTTGTGCTGCCTCCCTGATGAAGTGGAATTTGTAAATATTCTATTTGAAACTTGTAATAGGGAGTTTCTTTCAGAAGAGAATGGACGAGGATTTGTCCGTTGAGGCTGTGGCTGTGCAGCCACCACGAGCTCAGCCAGCTCCTCCTGTCACAACTTCCGCCTTCTCCTTCGAGGATTTCCGGCTTATCAGCGTTCTCGGCCGTGGTCACTTCGGAAAGGTGCTTGATGAGTTCCTGGAGTTGTTTTTGACTATTTTTTCCTTGCATCATTTTTTTTTTGAACGAGCGAAGTTGGACGTTTCTTATGAATTTCAACATTGAACTTTAAAAAAAAATTTTTTTCAGGTGATCCTTTCGCAACACGGTCCCACAAAGACCTATTACGCTCTGAAAGCTTTGAAAAAAGGTGACATCCTGGGTCGTGACGAAGTTGAATCTCTTTTGGTCGAAAAACGAATCTTCGAGGTTCATCTTACTTCCCAGACTTGTTCTGATTCCTCCATTCCAGGTCGCTTCTCGAGCCCAACATCCATTTTTGGTGAACCTTCACGGATGCTTCCAGTCTCCGGAGCACGTCTTCTTCTGTATGGAATACAGCATGGGCGGTGATCTGATGCGCCACATTCACGACGACGTCTTCGGCGAAGACCGTGGCTGCTTCTACGCTGCTTGCGTTGTTCTGGGACTCGAGTTCCTCCACAAGAACAACATCATCTATCGGTAAAATAAAACAAGACCTTATCAAGGTGAAAGAGCGGTTTAAGAGATATCAAGCTTGATAATCTCTTGCTCGACAAGGATGGATATGTCAAAATGGCGGACTTTGGATTGTGCAAAGAAGGAATGGGCCCAACTGATAAGACTACCACTTTCTGCGGCACTCCTGAATTTTTGGCCCGTACGTTTCTGTTTCTGTTTTGTTCTCAAATCGGAATTCCAGCCGAGGTCTTGGCCGACTCTTCCTACACTCGGGCCATTGATTGGTGGGGTCTAGGAGTGCTGGTCTTCGAGATGTTAGTCGGAGAGCCTCCTTTCAATGGCGACGATGAAGAGGAGATTTTCGACAGCATCATCAGCGAGGAAGTGCGGTACCCACGGTACCTATCTGTCGAGAGCATCAGCATCATGCGTCGAGTACGTCACAGAAAATATATTCTCATCAGAAAGTCCTGATTAAGCTTCTTCGTAAAAATCCTGAAAAACGTCTCGGCTCTGGAGAACGTGACGCCGAAGACGTCAAATGCCAGCGTTTCTTCCGCGTACGCCTCTCTTTGACTCATTTTCACTTTTTAATTAATAAACTGAGATGTGACTAATATAATTATGATGCGTTCAGCACATCAACTGGGAATGGGAAAAGCTTCTCTCGCGCGAGATCCGTCCTCCTTTCAAGCCGGACATCGTGAGTTATCAACAAATCGATTGATTTAAAAAGTTAATCATGTCCTTTCAGAGAAACCCTGAAGACGTTTCGAACTTCGACGACGAGTTCACTTCTGAACGTGCTCGCGTCTCGTCTGCAAAAAATAATCACGTCATCACCGAGGCCGATCAGCGCCTTTTTGCAAACTTTGATTTTTCCGGGTTTTAAAAACCCAAATCTTGTCAAATTTCCTGTTTTATGTGTAAATAATAGGTACATTAGAAACTTCCTCAATCCGCAACCAGTTTTTGGCGGGATCTAATTCGTGTATTCTTGTGTTTTTATTTTGTGATCAAGTGCAATATTCAATCAAAATCCCTGTATCTTTTAAACTTCTTTGGTGTAACCGTGTCTGAAAATGTATTGAAAAGTGTAACTTTTTTTTCCGAATTTCCTGTTTATTAACCTTCTACGCAATACGCCTACTCAAAGATTATGATTTTGCTCATGAGCGCCCCATGCGTTTTTTTCCGCGCAGCTCTAAAGCTGGCCGCTTTACAACTTATTTGGGTATTTTGTAAATTTCAAATGTCCTAATTTTTTTTTCAAAACGATGAACGCGGTTTTCCTATAAGTACTCTACACATTGAGAATCGTGCATTACTTTATTGTCTAACATTTATTGGTTTTGATTCCCAGAGCCCCATTTTTTAGAACTTTCATTTTGTTACTAAGGGTATTCTCATGCCTTGTGACTCATGAAACATCGCTGTTGTCGTATAAACTTTCTCTAAGATTCCCGTTAACATGCAAAGTACAAACTAAATTCGGATACTCGTTTATAAACAACATTTTCTGGCGATGAGCAGAAATAGATGCGATTATATGAAGTTAATTAGGTTTTATTCTTTGTCAGGGAAAAAAAAACGAGGATCTCAAATTCTCATAAGCAACGTGATATGAGTCAACGGAGTAAATTGGCATCATGGCGAAAGTTAGCATCGTTTTACGCTTCTCCTCAATGTACCTTTTTCTGAGCTCTCAACATCCGACTTACAGTGTTTGCTATAATTGGACGTGGCAAGTTCCGGTTTCTAAAAATACTAAAAATCCGCACTTGAAGAGTCTCTAAATGAATATTCTGAAGGAGTAAAAAGAGATACCGTGTCATCTGAAGGAAACTGTTTCTTTTTTCCAAAATTCGGAAGTCTTTCAAAACTTCAGAAACTATTTTGATTTGCATTGACTTCTGTCAACAGTAATCCTCTCAATCCCTAGGTAGACAGAAGGCTTCAATATTTCAGATGAACTGACTTTTCTATTTTCTGAGCCGACGGTAACCTTAGCGACGTAGCTGCTCTTATTAGCGCGTTTCCAGAAAAATAATAAACAGAAGGACATCAAAACTTTCGAAATTTTAAAGCTCATAATCTTTTTCAACTCATTCCGAATTCACTACTAGAAGATGTATCAATTTTTTTCTTTTCTTATATTCTATGATATTCTGAAGAATCGGCAAAAAAACTTTTAAATCAACTCGACTTAGTGAGCCTGTTTTCATTATCTGATGAATTTTATATTCGCGTTCCAAAAGAAAGCTCAGACGGATTGCGCTACAATTTATTCGAAGTTCTCCAATCTCAAAGAAAACATTTGCTTTTCTTTTAATTTTGCCAATCCAGTAAAGGAAAAACAGAAATTCTTGCTAATTCGTGCAACTTTCAAGCTTCCTATTTGCTTTCTCAGTTTTTATCGAATATCTTTCTAGATTTTAGAAGGAAGTCAAATCCGTGATAAATGCCACCTCGTTGATATAGGAAAAGTTTTTCGAATTTTCTCACATTTTTTCTTTCCAACCACCAGGTTTGAAAAATGAGTGTTAGTAGCGTGATCGTGAGAACTGAACTTTGCAGGTTTCATCGCCCATTATTCATGCGAAAAGACGCTGACCTTGTGCTCCCATAAAAGTCGTTAAACTCTTTCCCACTCATTTGGCTCAAAGAAACGGAAACTTTCAAATTTTAAATTGCTGTTTTTCCTGGAAAAAAGTGACTACGTTTTCTAGTTTTGAGCCAACCACATCTTAGTATCTCTAATTTCTGATCGTCCTGTGTTTTTTAATCATAAAACAAGTGAGACAATGGAAATCATAAATATTTGTAGTTTCACAATTCATAAGAGTGTTACTGAGCAGAAATCCATCGTCTCGTCAGTTTTTTTGTTTCCCATTATTTTGCTTTTTTTGCTCATTTTTTCTGACGTATTTTGTTTTGATGGCCTATTTTGAGAGAACAAAATTAATGATTACGACCGAATTGAAAAATTTCATGAGTTATAGTTCTTTTTAAGTTCTGAAAAAAATTGCTTTCAAAAACCATTGAAGCAAGAAGAAGAAGCCTTCTCATGACTAATTCTTCTTAAAAAATCGGTTATTCATTTTCTTCCCAGTAGAAGGAAGATTTTACGGTTTTTCTAAGATTCTTTCAGTCATTTTTTGAAAAGAACTTTGAGATTAAAAGCCTGCATAATAGTTCAAACACTTGAATTTATCTCAAGATTATCCTTTCTGGGAGGACTCAGGTTAGTCATGTTTTCCTCCATTTTTATGTGTAGACAAGAGTTCTTCTAAGATTCAGACTTCCTCTTTCTGATCTTTATGATCTTGACTTGGAAGAAAAATGATCAGTATCTCAAAATACGCTTTTCCCCATTTTGGCAAGCTTTTTTCTAAACGGATAAAAATGAGGAAAATCGGGTCGAGGCTGTGTCTTCTTCGCAATAGGTGTGCAATTACAGCGCCTGATCGAGTAATGAGCCCACTGAAAGAGCCTCGGACACTCCCTCGGAGACTTTTTTGTCTAGTCATTTTCATCTCCCTCAATATTCGATTTGAGCGGATGCTTTCCAGTTTCGTACATATTCCAGCATACCACCTTTTTGCATACGGTAAATGCATTATTTACCAAGTTTTCTCATGAAAAATTACTGTGCTATACACAACTTTTGAACTTTCCCACTCTCTCAAATTTTTCGGGATATTACAAAAACTCTGAGAAAATGATAACATTTTCTAACTTCCATCAGTTATTATAACTTTTTCAGTTTATTTATTTTACTGTATTTGCTTTATCTTAACTTCTTTATTGCCTTGAAGTTTCTCAGAATGAGTCACCAATGAAGTTTTTGTTAGTTTTCTTACCGACGATTTTTCTGAAAACGTTCCTTTTGCGACTTCCATTTGTGGTGCAGTGAAGCGATGCAGCACAAAAGTATTGCTCCCTTATACACAATTTTTGTTTTTGCCGAATCTTGCTCTCGTCACGTTCGTATGATGAGAGAAACCAACAAAATCTATTAAAAGTTTCATCTAGTTTTAATTTGTGCTTTTCCACTCAGAAGCCTTTTACAGAGAATTGGGCGAAGTTATTCCAATTAATATATGTTTGATTTTTCGAAATCCCCTGACTAAAGACGAAAAGATTATTTGATAAAAAACTGAAACGCTACTGCAAAACTTGTCAGAAATAGTGATGAAAGCGTAAACATTGTTATTTTTGACGCGCTAATTAGTGTCCTACGCCGTTTCAGACGCTCTACTACCGTACCTTCATTAATCGCCTGCTCTCATACGCAAACCAATCACTTCAACGTTTTTCTCTCAAGAGAATAGGTCGTCTCTCAGCCAAGTTGAGAGAGAATTTTCAAGTTTTTATTTTTTTTATTTCGTCTAGTGATATTTTTTTTGATCATTATCAGTGAATCTCATTTATTCTCCTGCAAAGTGTTGAAAATTTTGGAAACTCTAAATGTTTCCAATAAACCAATTTTCTTCGTTCAATCTATCTTTTTTTGTCTAAAAGCGAAAATTACCACAAACACCAAGCCTACATGACTAAACTGCGCTCATTAAAGACTAATCCGCCACCGATCTTTAGATTATTCAAGCCTTATGTTTCGGCGAAAAAAAAAATTCCACAAGTATATAATCCGTTTGTCGCCACAAGTATTCCTCCCCCAGTTTGTGCCGAGTCTTTTCTCGTTAAGATTGACTGAAAGAAAAAGTTCCACTTTTGAATTCAAGACAGCTGGGTACTCTGATGGAGGAAGAGTCGACGAGCTACGCGAACGACTCGGGAAGTCTGGCCGACATTCCGGCAGACTGGTGCTTCAACATGGAAGTCTGGCTGCAGCACTTCGCTCCACCTAACATCAGCTTGACCATGACCGCCAAATACTCCTATTACAAACTTTTCAGGTTTTCTTTTCACTATCAAATGTCTTGAGGCATCTTCAGCTTCTGTGTTTTGTTAATCAAATCCGGCTTAGTTTTGATCTCGGGGATTTTTCGCCCTGTAGAGTTTATTTACTTGGGGAAGAAAAGCATAACAGCTATGAATCTGCATCAGATGGGGCACTGCTAGTCCGTCACCATCTAATGTAAAGAAAATGCTAAAATTTGTATCATACCAACAAAACAGACAGATTTAATATTTTCATTTGCAGCTTTCGTTACAATGGCGTCTTGACTCTGATTTTGGTAATCCTGGGACTGATTGGAAGCTCTTTACTATTACGACAGGTTCGTTTAGTTAGCTGGGAAAGTCATTGAAATTTCGAAAGTGCGTACTTATCCGTTCACGGCGGGAAAAAGTTTTAATAATATCTCAGATATTTCTCTTTATGTAGCGAAACATTTCTTTAATATATATTGGCGAGAAAAGTAGCATAGAAGAGATTTTTCAGATCTACTGCTCCAGAATCTTCTCGAAGCGGCTGGCCGTTCATCTTGGAGTGATCTGTTTTTGGGACATTCTCTACCTACTTTGTTGCCTCTGTGAGTCAATTACCGGACTTTTCCCAATTATTTCTCGATATTTTGCAGCCACCTATTGCATCCCGGCGTTGGTTTTGGATACCCCGCTCATATATGGCTGGTTTTCATATGTCTTATTTTTCTTGCAACCTTTTGCCTCTTTGTGCGTTTCTTGCACGATTTGGCAAGTATTTGCCATCACACTTGAAAGGTGACCATTGGGAGTTTCAGTATAGGCTAATGAGTTGAAAATACAGATACCTTGCCGTTTCCTCTCCGCTGGAGCAAAGAACTCGCAAGGCAAAGTTTGGAGTTGGATGGATTTGTTTCGGGATTACTGTTGGGGCTTGCATTATAAACTTGCTGCCAGTTCCTTTTGAATATCAACTGGTTCGAGAAAGTTCTGAAAAATATCCAGTTTCCGAATTCAGGTCGATTGCTATGAAGTTTCGGTTGTAGATAACAAGGCAAACTTCAGTTTTCACACTATGTTGAAACCGTACAACGATAACAGGACTAGGATATACAAATTTGGTAAAAAGAACTTATCGAAATGTATCGCATCATTTGCTTTTAGTTGTTCACTTCTTCCCTGATTTTTTGTTCCGTGCCCCGCTTCCAATTGTCATCATCGGAACTTTGACAGTGAAGACGATCCAAACCTGTAGCCAAAGAACTGTTGGGAACTTTCAAATCGGCATGAGGTTCAGTCGAAACATGCCGCTCCGTCTTTCTGTAAGTCGAACTTATGAATCAAAGACCTCGGATGAATAATTAATAAAAACCTGTTTTTCCGCTCATTTCCCTCAAAGTGCTCTTCAATTAGTGAGATTCATAGTAAACTTGTCGAGGTTTCTAGGAATTAGTTGATTAAGTAGTTCTACAAAAACGATGAGAACCAAGGCAAATTAAACTTGAGGTTATGTCAGACGTAAATTGAAGCTGCAAGCAAACTTATGATTCAAAAAAATTGGAACTAATTTTAAGAAAATAAAGAATCAAAAAGCAGATATGAAAAATTCTCCCGAACGTTTTCTGAAGTTTTTCCAAATACTTATCCATTCCAGCTTCTCAATTTCAAATTCATCCTCTGCAACACTCTCTACATGTTCAATACCATCCTTCTCGAGCTTCTCGGATACGGAGATATGGAGTATGATCCCATTTCTGAATGTTTTTGAAATGAGAGTTGTTCAGAACCGGAGACTGGAATGGCTACATTAACTCTTTCTATCTAACTGACGCGTCGAACATGTTGCTCGTCGTGCACAGTGCCACCAACTGGCTATTGTTCTACAATTTCCCAACTTTGAAAAGAGTAAGAAACTCCACAGATGATTCATAAATTTCTGCTCCAGCGCAAGGAACCCACGAGTCTGACGCTAACGAACTCGATTAAGCAGAACTCGGTGAAAACTCGAGTGGCCGAGCACATCTACAAACAAATCGCACCGGTGCAAGTCTTCATTGGAGCGGATATCATGCACAAAGTATAATATTTTGAAAATTAAAGAGTCTCATTTTAGTTACGCTGTTAAGGTAAAAAATGTCACTCCACGTAATTTTCTCATTGTCTTATATCACTTTTCTCTCAGCTCTGCAACGAAATCCCCGAAGTTCATGCAATCGTGTTTGATGGGGAGGAAACTGAAGACGAGAAGCAAGAAATATTGGCTGAACATGGGATCAAAGTCGGAGAGTTCGTTCATCACGTTTTCAGATGGTGACAGCTTTAGATTACGCGCTTTTCTAATAACTTCAACGTTTTCAGGTTTGGCGAAATGTCGCGAAGAAACACGAAGCGTTTGGTGTGCAAATCATTGATGAACTCAGAGCTCCGCAACAAATATCAGTTCAAGCCCCATCAGTGGAAACAAATTCGAACTGCCGTCGTTCATGTCATTGTTAAGCACGTCACCAAGTCTGATTTGTACTCAAAGACTCTTTTCAACTTCAAACACAGAGACGCACATGGCAAGATCGGACTTTTCAACGCCGATGAAATAGAAGACTGCGCGACAAGGATTTTCAACCACGTCCTCAGCGAAATGCGAAGCGGCGTCCTTTGCGCCAACGTCGAGCAACGGCAGAAGGTGCAAGTTTCCTCGAAAACGTGAAACTAGAGATTTCTTCATTCACTGATGACTACTCCACATAATAGAAAACGATAGAAAAGAACCGAATCTTTCTTTGTGAAGATAGTTCTTCGCTCTTTTCGCACTTTCAAGACCGAATGTATGTAGCCTATTTCACTGAATTTCGTCGTAACTTATTTTCGGGATGCAAAGAAACCGAAAGTTGACCAAAAACGTTAATTGGGATAATTTTAACTTTTTCGAAGCCTTTCAACATAGTTAGCATGATGAGAAGAAGCCACAATTTCTTAATCCACTAATATGATAATCGTTAATTTATCCTGACAATGCATGAGATTAGTTGCATTGTGCTCATAGAGATTGAGATTATAAATAATTCTGATCCAGAGATTTTCAACACTTCAGTTTGATGAATAGTTGTTCAATGACTTAAGTTTTAAATATATAAAGACTCTGAACAAAAAAAGTATTTGAGATTGAACTTTTTAGAATGTCTTCATTAGCAAAAAGAAGTGTTTTTTTAGCTATCACGAGTGGAGAGAAGCGACTATGTGAGGTCCATGTCGACCGGAGTGATGTCAGTCTCTCGGGAGCCTCCGCGCAAGTCTCAGTCCGTCTCCATTCGATTCCAGTACTCTGCTTCCATTGATAACGTCAAAAATGAGCAAGCACTCATTGAAAATGTTCAATAATCGTTGTTTTTTTTCTAATTGTTATTTTTGCTCTCTCAATTTTCAAAAGAAAATGCAGGTAAACTTGTTTTTATCAAAATACGCCATGGAATGATTGATGATGAACAGCAATAAGGCAAGTGGTACAGTGCAAGATAAAGGCTTAAACAATGAAATTCTCCGTTTCGTCCCTTCGTGATAAATTGGCCCAATAACAATCAGAAATGATCACAACGAAAATAAAGACACTAGGGCTCTATCACGACTTTTTGAAAAACCAGGTAGTACCACCAGTAGAATGAATTCCAAAGAAGAAACGACAGCGGGAAAAGATATCGACAGGTCTTGTCAATTTTCAGTGCGTATCTCGAGTGCATTTGAGAAGTCTGAGTAGCTGTTTATAAGTTTGTGAGTAACAAGAGCTGAAACCTGTTGGTAAGATGTGGCTGAAATTCCTTCATCCTGCGTTGACGCGGTCGGTGAAATGGATTTGGTGTTGTACGTCTGTGAAACTTTCTTCCCACCAAAGTGAGTTTCGTCATCTGAGTTTTATTTTGTTCGGCCAGAGGTTTTTCAATAAAGTACCAGAAAATGCACTCGAATCGTCGAGTTCAACTTTGTTTCTTTTTGGACACGAGCTGTTATCATAAATTGACATCGGCGTGACGGGGCCTGTGATTACCATTAATCAAAAAGGGAAGGAAAAATTTGACACCGCGGAACTGTCTTTCGAGAAAAAAGTAGCAAGATTCAGGCTTTTTTTAGATTTTCAAAAGTCTAACATACCTTCACGGACTTTCATTTCGAAGTCGTGGTCTATAAACTTTATTTTCTCGCTCGAAGCTTCTTGTATGGAGTCTCGCTCGGAATACTTTTTCTGTCTTCCTTTTTTTCGAACTTCTGAATTTACGACTAATTTTTTTAATGTAAACAAAACAACTGACTTTCCTTTCTCATTTCCGCAACAATGCCAATTGTCGTTTGATGTATCAGAAGAGTTTACTTTTCCTGGAAAACATTATCCAGAAATGAGATCTATTCCAGGCAAACACGTTGCAATGCTAACTGATTTGTGAACATTTGATTTGTGAGTTGTTTTGAAGTTCAGTAAACATGTAAATTTTTCTTTTTCTTTTGCTTTCAATTTCAAATTTATTTGTGCTTGGAACGACCTGAGATTGAGCTTTTACCTGAAAACACAGAGGCTTGTACTTTTTTCGCCATCGCTTCAAATTTTTCTGCTTTCCGCATATAACTGTTGATTGTGGCGAACTCCAGCAAAGCGCAGAAGACGAATAACATGCAGACTGGAAAAAAGAAGGTTCTTGAAATGGAAAAAAAATGAACCAACCTCCATACCACAAATCGATAGCTTTTGCGTAGCTCACCTGTGGGAGACCAAAACGTAAACCATTCCCCTAAAGTATGTACAAAATTAAGAGACAGTTTTTTTTCAGAAATTAAAATACCAATGTTGTTAACGAAACAAGAGTTGTGAAACTGAGAGTTACACGGGCAGGAACGGCTGAAATTTCGAAATTCAATTGTGTTCATAATATTCAACACGAAAACCTCTCCGATCAATCCAAAAGGATACCCAAGAAATCATAACAATCAATCCGGTCGGAATGTAAGACTGGACCAAGTTATATCCAATTGACCTAGACAGGAACAAATTTCCTGTCAAGCAACTGAAGTCGTCTGCAATAATTTTGAGATTTGACCTCCATTCTTTTGAAACAAACCCAGTTTATAGGTTTCGGCTGTAAGCGCATAGCGATACGTTCCATTGCAATATCCTTTTGTGACATGTTCGATTTGGAATTCAGGAAGTCCAATGTCCGGATTGTAGCGAATTGGGTTTTCCGCAAACCACGTCACGTTCATTTTCTTTGCAATATAGGCGTCTGAAGAGTCTTTCTTCTCAAAAGTCCGAGTCCGTCTTTTCATGCTAAGATTTTTCATTCAGATTTTTTTGTTCCACAATATTTGAAGAACACGGGACTTTACCGTAGACTCTGGTCATTCTTACGACTTTGATCTCTCAAAAGCTAAAAAAAACGTTGGTTGTTTATACATGGAAAACGATTTTTCGAAGACAGTGTTAGAAAGTGCTTTTTCAAAAGGTCTCAAAAAAGACTAAAACTCACAACTTAAAACTCTAATTGAACACAGCTGCGAATCCATTGGATAAAATCTGCAATGAAAGGAAATAAGTTATAATATCATCACAAAATTTTGCCTCAAATCAAGGCTGCAAGCCACAGTCAACGTGCAACGACAGGAATACGCGATCGTCCCGTCTGGAGCCACGAAAAGATTGAAATTAGGTACAGTAACTTCTTGGAAATGCGCTTGACGGGCATTTGCAAAGTAGAGGTCAGGAAGCCTGAAAAATCATAAGACTTCCAACTTCGAACCAAATTTACCATATTTTTTGACGTGTCTCGTCGTCGTTCACTAACACGTAATCACTGAAGTTATGAGATAATCTAATGTCTTTCCACGACATGTAGACGTACAGATCGACGTCAAATGACTGAAGCAGGATTTTTTAGAAACAACATTTCAAACATATTTTTAATATTGTCGTAAACTTTTAAAAAGACAGATTAAATGATAAATATGTCGTTTAACAGAAATAAGTGGATTGAAAGATCAGATTTTTATCCTGTTTTTAAACTCTTTTTTTCAAATTTTTCAATGTTATGATCCAAAAACGCGATATTGCGTGAGCAAGTCGAGATAGTGATATTAGTAAGAAAAACTTTGTCTTTGCATATTTGTTACAAAGTTTGTACTTTAAATGTATTTTTTTCTTCTAATCAAATGAGTATTCGGATTTTCATGTAATAAAAATAACAAAAATCAAATAATGAAGTTTATAAGAATAATATCTAGAGATTCTCTTTTTTTTTAAATTTTTCTACATTTAATTTTCATGAATAAATTGATGACCATTTCCGTTGAGCGAAAATTGCCGAGACTTTCCAAATACATGCCCAACTTCACTTCCAGGGCCGTCGAAGCATTTTCGGTCGGCGGTCGGAGGCTTTTCTGAAACTTACGAAACCTTTTCTCACCTGAATGCGCACGTTTCAACAAAAAATCGAAATAGAGCTCTAATACTTGCTACCTGGCTGAGAAGGCTATAGATGTCTTTCTGGGCGTTAATGACAGATAGGGCTAATCTGAAATTTAAAGATTTATTGAGCTGTTTTTGGTTTACGATCTATTTTTCTGAAAAAAAGTTATCACGTACCTTTAGTTCCAGAAAACTAAACTTAGAAGTATTTTTCACAGAATTTTAAAAATTGAACCAATTATTCTCAAACTTTGATGATCGATATTACAAATGAAAAAGAATATAAACTCACAAAGCGAGAAAGATTCTGTTCATGAAGACAACGCAGAAACAGGCGTCTGAATGGAAAGAAGATTTATATAAATGTAGGCATGTTCAACGAATCGAAAATAGCACCAAGTCTTCAATTACGCAGTTTTCTTATCTACTGTGAAAGCTCAAAGCCAGAACAAATCTCCATGATGGACGGTTCATTTTGAAGGCAACCCAGCGGACAGCGGAAATTGAATGTCAATGCAAGGAAAAAGAGCAACGCCGTTCGGATTGCCTCTCCCCTTCTAAACAAAAAAAAACCCCGTAGCGTTCAAGGTTTTACCATTTCTCTGAAGATTCTTTTTTTTGTCCGTTTCTTTTTTTGAAATAGCAACATTTATCAGTTATTCACACATTGAATATTTTTTCCACAGAAGATTAAAAATGTAGCGCGGAATCAATAGAATCACTTAGGGTCATGGCTGAGATTTTTATTTTTGAATAACTGCCTTCCGTTCGAAATTGAACGCCTTGAGAACTTGATGGCCAGGAGGTTGATTTTTGTTCGCTTGTCTGTGGATCAAAGCTTCTCAGATAATTTTTAAAAGCCATTTCTGATAAGATGATAGATTTTGAGCAAAATAAAGTTGACTTTTCGAAATTATAAAGAAGCGTTTCCGGAATGATTTGTGGATGAATGACAGATATCAACCGTGCAAAAGAGAGAGAGAAAGAAAGAAAGTCTAACCTCCCTTTTAAAAGATGTCAGCACAAAAATTTCAGACATTAGTTATTTTGTCACAATAATGACGACCATTAGTATTAGAATCACTTGCATTATTGTTAAAATTTTATTGCGTGAAATTTATATAACGAATAAAAAAAAGCGGCAGTTCTTGTTCTTGGAACCTTCATAAAAAAAAACCAAGTCCCATTTGTAATTTTTGTTGTTTCTCGTAAAAAAAAGCGATTCAAAAAAAAAACTTTCGAGAAAAAGCGTTCCCGTAGTTGATGTCGGAACTCGCTTCATTAGGTTTTCTTTTTTTTTTCCTGTGGTTCTTTGACCCCTCAAAAAAACCTTCAATTTTTTTCCTATCCAATACAAACAAAAATCACAAACAGAAAAAAATCATGAACAAAAAAACCAAAAAAAGCTTTTTTTGGCAATCTTTTACATAGAAATAGAATGCTACGAGAACGGAAAAAAGTCTCTGAAATTATTTTGAAGGAACTCAATTATAAACATAGGTCAAAAAGTGCAAAGCTCCCCCTTCCTTGTTAAAAAAGAACTTATTTTGTGAACCACGGGAACCGGGTACCTCAGTTTAGCTTTCTTTATTAATAATTCACATTTATTGAGTGAGGAGGAATGCAAAAGAACCTACTCTAATAGGTTATAAAAAAAATTTCGTGTAGTAGTTCTTATTGGCAAAAGTCCTCGAGAAGTTGAGAAATAGGAAAAAGTAAAAAACTCAAGTTTGATCGTTAAGCTGAAAGGTTGAAGTGGCAACTTTCGCGCTTCTCCTGCAGCATAATCATTTTTTTTTTCGCATTTGGCGCCGTGTGTCGGGTTGGAACAGGAAAAAGATTGCGGGTTTCAACGATTTGCAAATTCAGAATGCATCGAAAATTGGATGAATAAGAAAAAAACAAGGAGAAACGGCTGAACACCTTGGAGCTCACGCTCAAATGCGTGCACTTTTTGTGGAGAAAGAAAGGAAATAATCGTTTGGCAGTAGTTGTAATTATTCAGGAGCAGCACGTAGTTTGAACAACGTTCAAGATGCCGAAAATTGGTTTAAACCAATGCGGCATTTTGCCGATCAGAAAAGATTTTCGGAGCAAAAAAAGCCTGAGAAAACACACTTTGTTCAATTTTACGGATTCTCCAAAACTTTCAAGCTCGCAAACTTCAATAATAGGATGATTCAACAAAAATAACCGCTTTTTGTCGGGTTTGGATTGAAGATCCGGAAAATTTTAGATTTCACAATTTTTTTTTCCATTTTCATAGACAAGTCATATATTTAAAAAAATAGCAAAGTTTAAAAAACAAATTTTAAATAATTGCAGCTGCTTTTGAAAAAAATTCCAAAAGGTAATTAATTTGAATTCAGACAAAAAAAGTATTTTTTTCATCTCTCGGTCCAATTTTATAATTCAAAAATCTTTAACAAAACGTTGTATAATTTGTTTTTAGAGCATGAAGGATTTGAATATTCAAATCTGAATGAAGATGTCCTGAAAATCCGTCGATGTTGGTATAGTAACGTGTTTGAATATATATCTTCTCACCCAGACCTCGGAATTGCTTTTCCTTCCGTCTGCTCACAATCTCAAATTCAGAAAATCTCTTGTGAAGTGAACAAAACTGGGAATTTTCATTTGAAAAGAGGGGGAAAAGTGCAACAAATTGAGGAAAAAGCGTTGACACTCGTTGCACAACTTCCATGCCTTTCAAGAAACCTCCGAAAAATATTTATATTTAGATTAGAACAAAAGTATGATTTTTTTCCTTTAAAAAAAACATTTGGAATGAGAGAGTTTGAAAACTTGACAGGGATTTTTTTGAATTTCCACAGTTCCAATATCACCATATCTGACGTTTTTCATCTTTACAAACTTTTTTTATTTTTTTCAGATTCGATTAAAACAGAAAAGAATCCATCGAGCTCCATTTAATCTTTTCGTCACATCAACCGACAAGCTTTCAATAAAAAAATCCATTACCTGGAAATTGACCGATCAAATAAAAACGTTCTGAGAAAGAATGAAAAGAAAACCGTAGGCGTCCTTTTAAAATTCTTTTATGTGGACTCGCTGTAATAAATATTTCCAAAAAAAACAAAGGCTCAATATTTCAGAGCTTATAATGAGTGGGTTGGAACATGTACTTAGTTGCCTCTCATAACCCACATTTTTGCTGCCTAACAAAAATGTCAAAATTTGAAGGACTAACACCTGCAGTGACATTTTGCCTTGGATAAGCAGCAATATATCCGTTTGATTGACGAGTTCACCTTTTGAAAGGTGCAAAGGGCAGTTCGAAAATTGGCGGTTAGGTTAAGCGGTGCACATGTGTGAAAAATATTCGGAAAAAAATTTGAAAAAGGTATTGCGATTTTTGAAAAATCTGATAAAAAAAGACAAAAAAATCAATTATTTGAACTTCTTTTTCACATCAATATTTCGTATGACGTCATGCGTTCAACTCAGTTTTCGAGAAGTTATTTGATGACAATTCAAACATGCATCGACTAGAGTTCAATAAGTTTTTTTCACGGAAATTATCCGATCAAATAAAAAAACCAAACTTTTGTTTCTACTACTGGAAAAAAATAACAAAAAAACTCTTTTATAATTCGGCTCAAGCAGCAATTTTCTCTTCGTGTCTCTGAATCTGGAGCATTTTTTTCACGCCTGAGGTACTGCAGTTCGTCACTCCAAACGACGGAGCTTCAATGAGAAATGCCCGCGACATGGAAAAAAACATTTATTTTTTTGAGAAAGTAGCAATTTGTGGAGAGATGAAATATTTCATTAATGACTATTTTGAAACCTTGGAAAAAAACAACGAATCCTACATTTTCGATGGATTTCAAAAAGAGAATCAAAAAATTGGTAAAATTGTGATTTATTCCTGGTCCTCATCTATTAAAAAAATCTCTTGTAACATCTAGCTGACACAATGTTTCAAAAAAATTACAACTTCAGATTTTTTTACAAATACTTTCATGAATCAAACACCGCCTCACTCAACTTGTCTCAGTTATTGACAGAAAAACAGTTTTGTCTCCGCGTTTGTACTTTTTTGTGAAAAAGAATGAATTAAGCCTTGTTTTTCTCAAAAAAAGGACAGGCTGACAGTTTGTAAGTGTCGAGAAAACGACAAAAATGCACTCGTGCACTGTATAATCACTTAATTGTCCCTTTACCGTGCCTCGGTTTTCGACTTTTTTCTCTCAAGAAAAAATGTTTACATGAAATGAAAAAATCGGCGGATTGTTCGAATGTTTTGAGAGAGCGAATTGGTGGGCTCGATTGACGCGGCTATTTCTGTTCGACGCCCTCGACAGGCCACTTTGGTTTAAAAAGTAGGCGTCTCGAGAATCGTTCATATTGTCTTTGCCTGGACCAGGATGCGGCGGCGACCGAGAGGCTCTGCTTCCAACACTTTTCTTCTTTTTCATTTGCTCCATTTCATTTCAAGTTCTTCCTTCAAGTCAGAACAAAGCTACAATATCTTCTTGAATATCCGAACTTCGGAAAGCTTCGCACAGCTTTGAACTGTAGCTTCCTATAAAACTAAGAAACAAATCGCAGCTTTAATCAAATATTAAAAAAAAAAAACTTTCTGATTAGGCTACCGGAACATGATGCGTTTCATCCTGTAGATCTCCTGTTTTGCTTCTAACTTAAACGATATTCGGTTCTTTTTTGTGGTTCTCAATTAAAATCGACTGCTTCAATCAGTCTGAACCATTACTTTTCAGATGAAGGAAATCATTGTCTCATTCGCGCTGCTCTTGGTGACCAACTACGGAGCAACAGGTTCGAACCTACTTTATTCGGACTTTTCGATAAGCTCAAGTTTAAGCTGATAATCATTGCAAGCAAGGTGATGGTTTCTATGCGGTCGGCTGTAGCCAGAAGTTTGTCCGATGCGCTAATGTAAGAAAACTCACAACGAGGAAGAAAGTGACAAAAAAAGTTCAGGGAATCGAGTATGAGTTTCCTTGTCCGGTGAATCTCTACTTCGACAATCGGTTGGCTAGATGTGAAATCAAGTCAAAAGTTTCGCTTTGCACGAATCCGGAGAAATGGGAGGGCAGATACATCAAGGCGATGTGAGAATTGAAAAAAAAGCTTTGATGAAAATAATGCTGTAGAAAGTTCAACTGCGACCGCGTCAAAGACGGCACCTACGGACTCAAGGGATGCATGGACATTTACTACATGTGCAGCAACGGAAGACCTCATCCGAGAAGGTTAATAGGAAAAAATGGAAACGATTTCATGAAAGACGAGTTCGACGCTTGTTTGTTGAAGTCACCTCGAAAAAAACAAAGAGCGCTTTTTTCAGAGTCATAAAGGGGAAAGTGATTTATAAATAAGTCACACTTCTAGTTCAAAGCTTCAGAACAAATGTAAGAATATTTTTTTCCTCTTGAGGCTTTCAAAAATTCAAGCAACTTTTCAAGTTTTTTTAAAAGAAAAAAATTCAAAATGGAAAAAGTTCGAGACGGAAATAAAAATGAAATTAAGCTGTCCTTTCAAACAATACTTCGACGTCAAAACAAAGGCATGTAATCATCCGGAACTTGTTCCTGCGTGCAAAAACTTCAAAGATGTCAGGTGAATTTCACTTGGAAAATACAATCAAATCTAAACTATTTTGCAGTGGTAGACTTGAAGATTACAAGTACGAGGAGGTAAGAAAATATTTCAAAAATGATGAAAGTCTGAGCTATGAAATTTATGACTCGAAAAATAAAAACAAAGCGATGTACTTAACTTTATGCGTCATTAAAATTGTACGAATTCGCATTTTTTTAAGACTTTGACGACCTCTCCCGATCCAGTGAAAGAAAACAGCAGTGAGTTCAACGATTTCTGATACTTAGAAAGTTTGGAAATCACAGCCATCGACTGCTCGACGCTGGGAAATGCGACAATCGTCAAAAAGAACTGCACCTCAGAATACTACATCTGTACTAATGAGCAGCTCTACAAAAATACTTGTCCCCATGTAATTTAAAGAAAATTGTTAGAAAAATAATATTTCCAGGGTTTGCTCTATGACATCACCAGAGACTTGTGCGATGAGCCAGAAGCCCTGAGCGAATGTACAAAGAGCGAAGATAGGTGGGAAAATGATTTTAAAAAATTGGAAATTAGGGCCACTAAGAATATCAAAAATTTCCTCGTTAGAAATTTTCGAAAGTTTCACAGAAATTTTTTACCGTTCTAGTACTGCTAAGTCCAGATGTAAGTTCAAAACTATTTTTTTCTATTGATTTCGAATTTTTGCTGAAAAAAATTGACTTTAAATTTCCACTCTGAAAAAGATTTTCTAACTCCATCTAACAAAGTTCAAGTTTCAAAAAATTTCATTTAACACGTGATAAAAATACAAAAAACAGGTCAACCTTGGAAATAATCACATGTAATTAGTGGACCTCAGCAGAAACCGAAAGAAAAACTCAAGAAAGCTCAGAACTGGAAAAGCTTAATCTATCAGAAGATCTCTTTAGAATCTTTTGTTTTGGCAAGCTAATAAATTTGAGCGGCGCGGATTTTTGCACCAAAAGCGATGGAGCCATTCCTTCGATTGTTTTGGTCATAAAGAATGACTAACTAAAAAAAAAGTTTTTTGAAATCTAACGAGACGATAAAATCAAGAAACGTCCGTGAAAATTTCGTCCCACAAACTTATCAAAAAGTTCCCCTTATCTTCTCTAAAAGCCAAATTATTTATTAATTGCAACCGAAACTAGAAGTTAACGGAAAAAAATTCTCAGCGAATACGGAAAATGATCTAACAAAATTTTGATAATTCTTTTTCTGGTATTGTTGATTTAATAATAAACAATTGAAAAAAACAAAAATGCTTGTCGAAAAAAGTTTTACCGTTCAGCCAGTCATACATGGATGTGTTGGAGTATTCGTTCAACTGCAGCAAGAAGGTTTGAAAAAGAAAAGTGGAACGAATCATCAAAAAGAGAAGATTTGTAGGAGGACGGTTTCTATCCGCTTGGAGTTTGTCTTGGAAAGTTCGCGTCGTGCAACGGAGGCAAACGACGGGACGTCCTGTGCAACGACGGACTTCTCTACGACGCCAGGATCAACGCCTGCGACTACCCTTTGGCCTGCAAGTCAGTGAATCAGAAAAAATGAGAAACTTTCAATGTCAGAAAATAATAAAATTTTTCCGAGAAACTAGGAAAGCTCAATGTAAACTGTGAAAACAGAAAAATTATTTTCAACTGGATGTCACATTTCCTTGTCGATTGCACCTCCGAAAGAGGATTTTCAACTCTTAAAAATATGTAACAGAATGAAAGACAAGCAATTTGTGAAAAAAGACGACCAGATCGTGGAATGTAACAAAAAAGAGTTAAAAAACACGGCATTTGATTAGTCAAAGATGATAAGAACGACTAGTTTTTTGGACTTCAATTTAGGACGTCTGAAAAAACTTTCATGAACATTCTTAGATCGGAACGCTCGCAGCCGAATGTGCCAGATCTTTTTGGCCATGGCGGTGCTACTGTGAAAGAGGTAGTGTGCATTTCGAAAACATAAGTTCTCTTGAAATTCAGGCCAATGAGACAGAAAAACCAAAAGTCGATTGTACCGACAAAGGAGACGGGATTTATTCAGAAAAACCGTGTGCTCCTGTCTACACCAAAGTGATAGCCTTGAGAAGTTTTTGACAACAAATCGAAATTTCAGTGTGCCAACAAACACGCCTACGTCATGGAATGTCCTTCCGGATTGAAATACAACCCATGGAGCCAATCCTGCGACTACGAAGATCTATGTGAAAAGTTTGTACCATGATGATATCGAATCAGAATGAGCCGTTGTTAAAGAGCGGCAAGCCAGGCGAACGATCCGACAACGACTACAACCACGACCACAGCTGCACCGGAAAAAGAAACGTCTCAAATTTCGTGTTCCTCACTTTTTTCATAACAAGTTCAGCTTTTCCTGTGAAAAACTCGAGGATGGACCTCAGGCGGCGGCTCCCTGTGAAACCAAGTACTACGTTTGCTACAATCACCGACTTCATGTCTTGAGGTGAACTGAAACCACTGGAAAGCTATAAAAAATCGACGATCCCAAAAAAAGGTTGAAAAAAAGTGCCGGGTTTCGCAGTTATCAAAATTTTTGATCTTTTGAATGAAGAAATTTGCGCTTTTTTTGATATTGCCGAACTTTCGCTTTTTCGAAAAAAAAAACCTGGAATTCTTAGCAAAATGCATACATTGAAGTGGATCAACATGAGTTTTATAAAAAAAGTTTCTTTTAGCAAAAGATGAAACGTTTTTTGTTCACCCAAATAAACATTATTGAAGATTATTGAAATTTCCTGGAAAGCTTGGATCACAGTTTTGTTTTTCCAAAAGTGGCTTCGATGTATCTGTTCAGTCTTATGTTTCGAATATATTTATAATCACCACATTAGAAAGCACCTCACCGTGACTTCAAAAGTATCCCAAAGTCCAAATAAGTGTCGTTAGGAGAAGTTATAATCATTCGAAGAAAGTCATATTTCTAACTCAGATGGTTTTTTTTTCCAGATGTCCCTCAAACTTGGTATTCAATCCATACAACTCGGAATGCGATCGCCCTGCGAGCGTTCCGGAATGTCGCGCTGATCTGAAGAAACCTGACACTCCAGTTTCAACTCCTATAGGTGAGACTGTATTTTTTTTCTTTTTATGATGGATTTCAAATTTTGAAAAATGAATGTCTTCAAAATTTTTTTACAGATCCTTTCTGTGAGAGACTTGCTGACGGACGCTATGGATTTGGCTGCAACTCCTTTTACTATCAATGCACGAACTTCGAAACTGAGAAGGTTTTTTGATAGAGTGGGCGAAAGAAAAAAAAAATTCATTTCGAAATTTGATTAACCATTTTCGAAAAATCGTGAAAACTAGAGGACTCTGTTCAGAAAAAAATTTTCCAAGAAATAATTCTTTTTATATCCAAAAGTGCAGACCGACTCTTAATTTCCATTCCGGTATCTCAAAAAAAACCTTCTCAAATTTTTATCTGATTTCCACGCATAGAACCGTTGCGAGACGGGACTTTTCTACAACGCAGAGAGCCAAATGTGCCAAAAAGCGAAGGATGTTCCGGAGTGTGCCCGGTAAAGCAGATCACTAAAGATTTAAAAGAACAAAGACTTTTCAGCAACGAAATCGGCCTGGAACAAGAAACTGAAGAAAACGCAGCGACGGTCGTCCCACCAACTACGCCAAAGACGTACTCTTCAGAATCATCCCCGGTATAAATGAAAAAAAAATAAATAGTGCAAGATGGAAATGTTAGGTCACAATCAACTGCGAATACAAACCGGATGGAATCTATGCTCTACCATTCTGCACGGAAAAATATGTTCAATGCGTGGACAGTGAGTTATTTTTGAATTTCAAAAAAAACGCGAGCAAGATTTGTAAGTTAAATTCTCCAGCAAGAAAAAGCTCTGATGATAGAAAATTCTAAAACTAAAGGACGGAAAAATAACGGTCGTAGAAAAGGAATTTCATGTAATTAGGTTATTCAAAGACGCTAACAAATTGAAAGGGGGTCCAAACAACTCAAATCCGCTGACCAGGAAAAATAAATTTAGGCCGTCCCATTGTTTCGGAATGCGCACAAGGGCTCTTTTACAGTGAAGAAAGTGGTCTGTGCGACTACAAAGCAAATGTTCCTATTTGCAACAACAGGTAGTAAAAAAAATTAAAAAAAAAAGGAAAAAATGCTTGAAACATCACAGACATTCTGCTCCTCAAGGACCGCCCAGATCTTCCTACGACAATTCTCATCGTAAGAGCTCTTTTTTACATCTTAACTTCGAAGCCTCTTGAGACTTGCGAGGCGTCAGATCGACGCCAAAATAAATTGGGGCCATTGAAATTAACGACAGCTGTCATAACTCCAAAATAACACTGCGATTCAGAAGCGTTTTCCTGCGTTGGAAAAGCTGACGGCTACTTTTCGATTGGATGCTCCTCCACCTACTTCTCGTGTATTGAAGGAAACTCGCAAAAGGTGAGAGAAAGGACATAATGAAGCATGATAGCAAAACTTGACTCTTGACTCGAAACTCTTTCTTTGAAGATGATGTGCCCCGCTGGCCTGAAGTTCTCCTCATCGAGCAACAGATGCGAGTATGAAGACCACGTTCCTGAGTGCCACAGAGGAGCTCCAGCGTCCTCTCCGTAATTTTTCGTACGTTTTTGAAAAAAACACTTGTGTACTTTAGCAATGAGTATAACTCGTGCACTGAGAAGGAAAATGGCCTCTACAGCTTCGGAAAGTGCAGCCAGAGCTACGTCACTTGTTACAACGAAAGAATGATGGTCAGCGTGTTTTACAAATAATTTCCTTGATAAATTCATTTGCAGGTCGGAAAGTGCGCTCCACCGTTGGTCTTCAACCCGGTCAACTCTCTCTGCGACTACAGAAGCAACAACAAGGATTGCTATTAAACATTGTCATTTTATCAGCTTTCACGATATAACATTTCTTCATCAATAGCTTCACGAACACGAAACAATAAAAAAAAAGAAAAACTTGAAAGAAAAAAAAAACGAAAAATGATAACTAAAATGCGTTTGAAATGCATTTGAGGCTTGAAATGAGAAGCTCTATAAATTCAAATTTGCAGAAATACACGAAAACTGGCAGAACGCGTCAAGAAAGTAAGCACAGTAAAAAAAATGAAAGATAGTGGTAAAAAATGAGACAAAATCGTTTCCAAAACCAATAACATTTTTATGGCTTTTTAAATGCAAACACAAAAAATTATTCTCATGGAAATAGGAAAAAAAATTGCAAGTATCAGAAAGATTGGACTTTTAGTATTATAGTTTTCGGTCGCATTCAGATATGCTTTCAAACTTCGTGTTCTTCGGACTTTCTAACAGATGTTGAGGGATTCGTTTCGACGCGGATAACCTCAATCGGCACGGCTTTTTCTCGAACGTCGGTACTGACAACTCGGGCTTGATTGGAATTTCGTGGAGGAGCAATCGGTTGGTTCATTGCGTACTTTGGGAGCTCGTTGTTGAGTTCCAGTTTCAGAATTTCTTCTTTCAGTAGAGCCTGACCGTCATTTGAATTTGAAAAGATAATAAGTTTAATGAAAACCTGAAGGAGGTCAGTTCCTGTCTGAGAGCTTCTGTTGTGCTTGTTCATCTTGTTTTCTGAATGTTTTGCAAGCTGTTTTTTGGCGTTGCTTGGCATCATGTAGAACAAGGCCCGATTTTTCAACGGCATCTTCGAAACAACTGTGTTCAACGATCGACCGTCCTGCTCTGCAAGGAAATGATGCAGAAAGTATTTTTCTTTAGATGTTTAGCCAATTAGAATCAGATTGTTGGAAAAAAATTAAAGTTTTTTTCTTGAGAAGACCAAAAAAATTCAAATTCCAACCAAATAAAAAAAGTTTTTTTCTTACTTCCTGCATCTTTCTCGCGTTCATCAGCGACGTCTTCAGCAGGAAGTTCACCTTCATCTTGAGCATCAGCAAGAGCCGCCATGTATTCTTTGTCGATGTTATCTTTAACTCCCTGAACTCTCATAAATCTCAGAATTTAGTTTATAAGGGTACCGATGCTAAAGCTTCAATTTGCTGTTGGATGATATTCATGACAGTAGAAACGATCGATAATCCTATCAACAAAAGGATGGAAACGATGATCATGTAGTCATAATCAGTTGGAAGGACATCGCCGAATCCAATAGTTGTGAAAGAAATAAGAGTAAAATACAGCGAAGTTCCATAGGTCCAATCTTCAAAAGCCATAAAAATAGCCGCACAGAGGAAAACGTAGATGATCGTGGCCACAAGTAAGATCGAGATCGGGAAAGAAAGTAAGTCGTCTTGATCCGATGTTTCTTCCACGTTCCCTTTGACAGTTGTGTGTCCCTCTTCGTTCATTCCAACCGCATCCGTCATCTGAATTCGAATGACTTTAATCTGTCAAAGTCAACTAACCTTTCTTTCAAGGTCCTTGCTCACAACACCAGTTGATTTAATTATGAGCTTCCAAATCAGTTTGCACAGCTTGGCAAATAAAGAACCAAGACAGATAAGACTGATGACTGTCAGTGGAATCCCACAGAAAGCGTACAAAATTGTGAGAATCCGTCCCGGGATTGTAAACGGAACAATGTTACCGTAACCTGGAAAAGAAGAGCTCAAAAAAGGTAAAAAACTCAAGTTTTAAAGAATAAATCGCAACAGTCTGGACTGCCTGAGGCTTCTTTTCTGTCATCAATGAGGAGATAGAATACAGACCAGACAACTCAGACTATCTCAGGCTGGGGGAATGAAGTATTGTTTTCATTTTTTGCTGACTAAATTTTCAACAATATGATTTATGTCTCACCAATTGTTGTGTAAACTGTCATGCAGTAGAAAAGTGAACCTAGAAAAGTCCAATGAACATCTTTCTCAGGATCAATCTGTGATGTAAATTCTTCTAGCCAGGATTTCACCGATAAAACCGACCGGCAGTATCCCTAGTTTTTCCTGAAACTCTGTCAAAGTCACAGCCGTCGCGTTTGACTCCGCCTGGGCGGAAAATCTCGTTCGTTGTCGTTTCATTTGAATGGCGTTCAGTTTGATAATGGTCCGCTGAAGAAGAACAACGACCTTAACGAAATCGGATACTCTCACACACCTGCATAAGAGCATCGCGATCTTTCTGCTGCTCTTGGAGCATGTGCTGCTCGTTCGGACCCTCCAACTCACGAAATAGAATTGCTCCGATGATCGTGTAAATTGCGAGGATCAATAATGGCAACATCCCTGAAATTACGTTTTTCATCTCATTTCTAATTTTTTCTCTCAAAAAAAAAACCTTTGGCTCCATCTCGTAGCTGGCCAAAAAGCCTGGAAACTCCAGAAGCTACAACGGCCATTTTTTACCCTGATCTGCAACGGAGATTAAAATACTTCTTTTGAAAAAAAGTTGAAAAAGTCGGAGAATATATTGAGAACGCAATTCAAGAATTAAAAAACCTGAAACTTCAGAAAACTAAGGGCGAGATTTTTTTATATTTGGAATAATCCCTGTTCAAAACTCAGATTAACTTTATTGAGCTTGTGAAACTTCAAACTTCACACTGAAACACTCTTCTATTAAATCAAAACTCAAGAAATAGACGTTTGTTTTTTTTCTTAAATTTCCAGGAGTGATTTTCACTGGTTCTTTTTTTGAAAAAAATGTGTCTTATTCAAAAAAGAAAATGATTTGGTTATCTTATGTGTAAGTTTTTAATTTAGCAGATCAGTGTGTCGATTTTCAAAGCTGATGACTTCTTATCATGGAAAAGATACAACCAAAACAAATTTTCCTGCCAAAGTTGTCGCTTTGGTTTTGAAATGTTGCTGAGGAATTTGAAACAGACTATAGTAAAAAAGAACGATCCAGAGACCAAATGAGTGGGATGTTAGGCCAATTAGTCTTAAGGCCAACAAAAAAGCTCGGTAATGAACGGGAATCTGAGGGAGAGGCGATGCCGAGGGCGAAACGTCGAGTGGAGAGTGTACGCGAAATCATACACAATCTGAGCCCGTGGCAATTGTTCACTTCTGCGACATCCGTCTTCTTTCTTCCTCTCTATTTCGCACTTTTTACCCAATTTATCTCTGTTTGCTGGATCAATCCACCTTTCTTTTTTTGCCGCAACCAGGTGCTTTAAACTGTCTAACCCAGTGGCGGCGCATGTGCCAAGTGGCTGTTTGAAAACAATTGCCAGAAATTTTCTGCAACTCGCGTGCCAGGAAAGAATAAAAACATAAACACAGAGCAATAAATGTTGCCAAGCAGAGTTTCACTGAGAAATTGGTGATTTACGCAAAAAGGAACAACAATTGAAGAAGTTTCTGAGCTTCAGAAGTTGAAGTGAAGATATAAAAACATGTGAATTCTCTCTCGCGCTCCATCTAAAATTTGCCATGGGAAAATGCTTCTAGTACCTTTGAAACGTTTTTTTTTGTATTTACTTATCATCCTGTACTACCGCGTATACACCAGAGAACTTCAGAGGGTAAAGACTTTTCCTCGAAAACCGGAAAAAGTGGAAACAGCAGTTTTCAATGTTTTTCAAGTCCCATTGGATTTGATTAAAAATATTTATTGAGTTTTGATAGATTCATGCTCGTGTTTCACAGAGAGGGGTTCGTTGAGAGAGAGTAGGCTGTAGATTTGGATGTGTTCTGAACCTCTACATGATTGATTTTCGTTCAATCGGAAACTCACATTGTGTACCGTATCGTAGACTGAGACCGCTGAGTGTTTTTTTCCCGAATGGCGCAGCCGAACAAAAACTTCTTTTGTAGCTTTTCTGAAGCGCTTCGAAGCAAGATTGTAAACTATGGGGTTCACAATTGGAGACAAGTAAAACAGAAACCCTGAACTCAGAGATTGAAGCTTTCCTCATCAAAACTCCTTACCGGAAATGAAGTAAATGTATTGGTTCAAAAACGGCATCAAAGTGTCGTTGTCGAGGTAAAAAAACAACAGCCGTTGGAGTTGGAACGGCAAGTAACAAATGAAGAAAGCGATAACAATCGAGCCTGTAATTTTTCACTCGGTTTTTAATAAAAAAAACATGTTTATTGGCTCAGGAAAGATGTTCGGCTTCTTGTTGTTGGCACAACAATTTATTTTTGGTTCCAACTAATGAGTTTTTTTGCTTGGGACGTGACAGAAAGGCTTTTTGCTCTTAGAAAATTGTACGTTTTAAAGTTAAAACATTTTGTTATAATTTTCAGTTTCAGGTCGGATCGAATGATTTTTACATTGAGACCCTTGATTCAAAAATTATCAGGGGCTTTCCCAGAACTTTAAAGTTAAGAAAGACAGGCCGTCATACAAATTTCACAAAAAGTTTTCTACTCGATGAAGTCTCACTCAGTACGACGTTAATTCGCATATTCAAGTCATCAGGAAGTTCGAACTCCCGTTGAGCAGTCCTGTTCGTCGCAATCTGAAGCAAAACAAAAGAGGTCGTGAATTTTAAATTTTTGAGCTCACCTTGCAAGATATCAAAGCATACAAAACTAGAATAGTCAACAAAGGGAACGCGAAGAAAATGAGGGCAGAGAAGTGGAAAAGAAACTGAAAAATCGGATCTCGAGAATAAAAAAAGATATCTGTACTTTGAGACTCGGAATTAGAGAAGGCTCAAAGATGACGGCGATCATGCAGACTTTTGATGTCTTCACCTGAAATAAGACGCTTATTAGGTCTAAGATCATATTCCCTTCTTGGGACGCTACAAAAAAAACAGAAAACAACTAACAGGCACATTGTTGTTCGTTGAGGGCCAGCTCTTTAGGATATAGTCGGCTCTGTGGTGAACAGCAAATGGAATGGCGCACGCTATCGACACAATCCAAGTGATAAGAATCAAAACTTTCACCTAAAGCTCAAAATTAAAAAAAAATAGAAGGATCGAGATTTCGCTGTCATTCCGAAAAAAGCATTGAACGCTTTCATTTTAACGTAAAAGTTTTGCATACATATTGACGTCCTGGTTTTAGTTTGACGTGGAAAAACGGATGGCATACAGCGATATAGCGTTCGATCGCAAAAAATAAAACTGTCATGATGGAAACAGAACTGAAAAAAATTTTGGCGATATGAAACATTTCGAAACGTTTACTTGGTTGTTTCAGCAATCAACGCTTTTAGGTTGCATACAATGTCGGGGAAAGGCCACGGATACTGCTGCCAATACATTATGACCTCAAACGGAAGCCCGACGCAAAGAGTCACAAGGTCTGACACCGCCAAATTCGTCAAGTAGGCGCTAAAAAACATTCAAATTTGTTCATAGAACTGCTCCCAGTAAACTTGAAAATTTCTATTACTGAAATCAAAAAACATGCTTCTTTCAAAATAACTAACCTTGCATGGGTTCTTAGCATGGGATGACGTTTGATGACGACGCAGGTAGTAACGTTCCCGATGAATCCCACAAAAAACATAAGAACGTAGAAGAATGTGATCTTTAAATGTTGTTTGAGGGTGTTCCTAATGAGTTATTCACCTGCATGAGAGGTTTGTCGTCAAGAGCTCTTTTTGAGAGGAAACAATGCTCCATGTAACACTCTTCCTTTTGGGCTTCAGAGTGGTTATATACAATTGGACATAGCTCCGCTAGACAAGCACAGAGGTCTTCAAAACCATGGCATTGAGGAAGAACCGACATGGATTTAGTTGAAAGCACAAATCTGAAACTACAGGTGAAATTCTGAATTTGAAGGCCCACAAAGCAGCAAATTATAGACGATGACGAGTTTTCGGGAAAAATAAGCAAAAATTAGAGTGAAAAAAAGCAAAAAAAGTTTTTTTAAATGAAATATTATTACAGATTATCTTTGAAATCTAAAAAGTTTAGCAACGCTAACCCATTTTTAACCAAAAGCTATTCTTATGGAGTTTCAACTGAGCGCTTGCTTGTCAAGATGACAGAAATCATTTATTCGCGGCGTTTATTTTTCAAATTCGAGGATGGGAACACTGACTGGCAAAAGGCAGACGCGTGAATTAATTGGACAAATCCCAAAGCTGCTTTGGAATTAAAAATGGATGTGGGGGAAGAAATTGGTGTGATGGAGTTCAGAGTTCATATCAATTTTCAAGAATCTTCAATCTTGCTCATCGAAGATCGAAGATCTACTAAGTTTCACTAATAAAAAATTATTACCAGAACGTTTTGAGGACATTTGAAGATGAAAGAAGAAGGTGAGTGCCCATTCGCATTCTCGGAAAACATTTTATCTCCATGAAAAATGGAAAAAAAAACTTTAAGAAACTCGCCAGAGGCGTAAAAAATCTTGAAAAAAAAGGAGACAGCGGACGGAAGTGAGGGGAAACCGAGCCACAGTCAGGTCCAGGCGTAGGATTCGAACAGAAACGTGAGAGTTGGCCTAATGAAGCGAGCAGTTGACATGACTCACGAGAGCATAAACACTTTTGACACGACTTTAAGGCCCGAAAATGTTGAACCGAGAAAAAAGGAAGGAAGCCCGAGCATATTCTCAGAGCATTTCCTGTGCGTCACAATAAGACTTTTGAAAAGAAGAAGCCTGAAGCGTTAATATGCCGATGACTGCGGTCGCTTCTGGACGAAAAACCGCTGGATGAGGCGTGATGAGCGTTTTTTCATGCACTCCATTAGAATTCGGAAATTTTGCTTGGCAGTTTTCGAAGGCTTCGACACATTCGCTGGAAAAATATAAAAAAGAAAATGCGTGTGAGGAGAGCGTCATGAAAAATGCACTTGAAGATTTTTAATATTCTTGAGAAATAGTAGGTATGAAAAAATCTGTTGACTGATACGAAGAAAAATCTAACCAAACTTCTTTCGAAACTCCGGAAACGATGACATTGCAGAATTTAATTTGCAGCAGCAAAGGTATAATCGGAAGGCAACGTCAGAAAAGTCTAAAACTTAAACAGCAGCTTCAGAAATTACGAAGCTCAGATCTCACGATCAAAACTTTTTCAAAGGCAGTTTTTCTTTTTTTTTGTGTGAAGTAATCATTAACGAAAAGTCGGGCATGTCTGAATAGAGCTGGAGGTGAGATTCCATACCATATGACAAATAACGTGATAGAAAAAAAGACGAAGCAGAGAAGACAAAAAACGGCTTCATTATAAATTCCTCGGCGGCCATGAGACTGACATCCCTGTAATCGGCAAAGTCGGAAGCCCACGGAAAATCCAATGTGAATAGCCTAAAAAGCATTTTCAGCCCTAATACAGAAAAATCGTGTGAAAATCAACGTCAATGTGAAAAAAGAGTTTACCGAATTAGAATGAGTTAAGATTTACTGTCATCTTTTGGAGCAGCGATTCTAGAAAAAGAAACCGGTCGAGCAGATTTCGCTAGAAAAATACAGAAAACACTCCTGAGCGATTGAGAAAAAGTTTCAATTCTTGCTGTCATCCAAAGGAAACAATATCCTGTATGAACCCAGATCGCCCGCATATCTTCAATCATGTACTGCATTTTAAGGACTGTTAAAACCATAAAATCATTCAAAATAATGGATAACCCTTTCAAAAAAATTCCTATTAAGTTTTATTTTGTGAATTATTATTATCTTTTCTCTTAATTGATTTAAAATAGATTCTAACGAGAAGAAGAATTCTGTGGACTTTCTTTCCAGGGAAGATGCCTGGACGTCGAAGATTTGTAGGGGCAGGACTGAGATTTCAGTAGCAGACTAACACGAACGCACTATTTAGCACTTTCAGGCTTGCGAACGAGCTGTCGACCAAATTGGAAGCGACGCGAGGGCGTCATGACCGAGGCGGGCGAAGAAAGAAATGCCTCATGAAACTGAGCCAATTTGGCACAGACGCAACAAAATAAGCGACAAAATTTCCTGGAAATACTTCCTTTTTTGCTTTCCTGCAGTTCTGTCGCCATGATGAGTTGGCGCGTGGTGCAAACGCAAAATGAGTCCGGATTTTGCGACGCTTTCTTTCCTGAAAGCGTGGGACACATGTTTTTATGAGTGAGTATCAAATTACTAGAAAAAGTAGAATTGGACGAGTGAACAGCAATCTCTGTTTTCGAGAACATCGAGACTCATTTGCCAAGATTCGGGCAGAAGTAATTGCTGCAGATTACTCTGGACGAAGTCAAAAAGTCGTCTGTTGCGCTTTTTAACAGAATAATAAAACGACGAGCAAAAAAATAATTGATTACCAACTTACTAAAAAAAGGTAAAAAAACTGGAACAAATGCAGCAGATTTTCTTTTATTGTTGAAACAAACGCAGTCGATCATCACATCTTCTAAAAATGTGAAAAAGAGGAATTTTGTAGTAAAATTGACGTATGTCTTTTGAGTTGTCTTATGCAAAAACAAACTCGCAGAAAACGCGAAAAATTCTTCATCCGATTTGAAATCGGTGGAATAGGAAAACAGTTTTTGACAACCGGGATACGTTTTGGAAAACAATTCAAGAGCGTTTTTTTTTAAGATTTTCCAATCAGAATGTGATAAAAATTCAAAGTTTCCAAAGATTCCAAATATTGGACGAGAAAGAATTGCTCAAAAGCAAATCCATCCTGCAGGAGAATTTTCTTTCTCGCGCTTTGTATATAATCATTGAAAAAAATTTGAATAAGTATTCCTGAAATCTAAAGAAACGAATTGAAAGTTTGAAAAGGGAATTTTCGGATCCAGACAAAGTTTAAAAGCGCAGAGACCGGACGAAATGGCCTCTATGGAATTTCCAATGAACACAGTGCTTTCAAATCAAAACTTTTGAAAAAAAGCGCGGTTTTTTGGGAAATTTTCGCAGCTCCATGTAGTCCGCTCATTTTCCTTCCGCATCTACGGCACTTGAACCAAGTGCAGACATAAAGTTCCTTTTTCGTGAGCTTAGAAAAATTTCTGTGTGGTTTTTTCTCACGTTTGCGAGTGCCCTCTCTGAGCTTTGGTGGAGCTTATTTGGTCAAGAGAAACCTGCGAGAGAGTTCCTTCACGACTGCATAATAAAACTGTGTCCTGACTGCTTGGAAGAGGAAATTTACCGATGAAAAAAACAAATTTCAAACAGAAACCTGGCTTCAGAACTTCACAGTAACATCATAACTCCACAGTAATATTTTTTTGAATATTCATTTAAAAGAAGAGTTTTGATGATTGACTTGTCTTTGCTACAGAGTTGAAAAATAAGTTTAAATGAAATGAATCGATGCACAATTCCGGCGCTCAAATGGCGTTTTTTTGGTTCAAAGCCGAACAAAAGACGAATTGAGTTGTCGCTAAAATCACATGAACAAATGCCGATGAATAACGAGAAGCAAAATATCCTGAAACCTTGGAAATAGTGCGACAAGAACAACCAGCTTTTGATTGCTCTGTCTCCGCTACGTACCTCACAATTTCCGTTTCCGCTATTATTTTAATGTCTCCTGCGAAAAGTCTCATGTTTTTTGTAATTTGTCTGTCAGTCGTTTGCAAATACTTCTGCAATATTCAAAATTAAAAAACAAGTTTTTTCAAGGTAGATGTTCAAGGTAGAAACCGTTCAGATTCTAATATTAGAACGTAGAATAACAAACATGTTTCTGTCCAAGGAAAGAACACTTTTCGTGTTTAATTGAACTTCAGGCTGTCGAAAGATCCTAACGCTCAGAGTCATTTCATTTTCTAAAAATCAGCCCAGACTTTTCAATTTTTCATTAGCAAAAAAATTCTTTCTGACCTTCACAGTTTTGAAAATGATTAGAGATTATAGTAGGTTATCAAAAAAAGTTATTCAAAAATTTCATCTCATTTGGAAGTATTATTCTGAGCCTAAGTAAAAATAAATATCTATTCACTTTGAGTGGAAACAGTTTATTTTTTTGCTTGGAAATGTTATTTCAAAACATTTGATAAACGAAAAAAACATGTTTGAACGAAGCCCTTCTCATAGAGTATTCAACTGTCAAGCGTTTCGTGGCACGTTCAGGTTAGCCACGATCCGAACGACTTCGGTATCGCATTAAAATGTTATGAAACTACAAACGGATAGACAAAGTTGATTGTTCCAGGGCAATAGTGAAAGCATACTATGTGAACCAGCCTTTACTTGGTAGTTTTTCTTTTTTTTTTTCATTTGGTTTAATTTCAGAGGAAACGTCGGAAAATATTGAAATTATCAAAATTTTGGCGAGAAAAAGAGATTTGCACCAGGACGCGCCAAAAAACCTAGTAGTGAAATATGTAGGCCTTGTGGTTTTCAGTTACCTCGGTGATTCCGTTTATTCGGTTAGATCCAAACCGGATTGTTCGGAAATCAATCTTCATAAAAGATTTTCCTTTGTATGCACAAATTATCGTTTAGTACATGCTTGCCTTTGGATGTAAACTTACAGCAGCCTTCAAAAATCAAGAAATCACAAGTGACTTTTCTCAAAAAAAGATGCAAGAATACAAGTCTTTTAATCTTTGAAGAGAGTGAAGAATCCGCTGTGAAAACATCATAATAACATGATGAAAATAGACTAACCGGAAGGTATTTTCAAATTGTATATGTATATGACGTGTCACCAACTCCTTTGCGATTGATGAATATTCGTTGTAATTCTTGTTTTAAGGGTAAAGTATGAATCGCAAATCCAACGTTCATTTCCAACCGGCCAACCAAACAATGTTAGGTATTATAACTTTCTTGAAGTTTCCATGTACATATAAAGCAA